ACTTAGACGATTTCGCTGTATAAATAGAATTCCGCGTCCGGAATAATATTCATAAGGAATCAGCTACTTTGCAATAATGCTGTCTGTGGAAGAACTTGTCAAGGCTTACAAGCGTTCTCGTTTCGCGAGGCCTGCCCGTCGTTGCAGACTTCTGCTCGCACTCATAGGTCGGTCGAGACCATACAAATACACATATTCCTTCTGGAACTTTTCGTGGTTGTCGAGTATCAGGTGAAACCTGTGCGATGTCTTCTTGCCGTCGACTTCGAGCTCCTGGCAAGAAAAGCCAGGAACTTTAAGCAAGTTGCACGCGAGCACCCCCCAAGACTTCATGACTCGATCTTGGAGGAATGTTCGCTCGTGGTTGGCCTGTACCAACAGCGCCAAGTCATCCTCGCTTGTCGTCCTCCTGCTCATGGCACACGAAACCACGAAAAGGAACCACCCCTCCTGTTCGGAAAACCTCAATTTCTTATGATTATCCGATTATTGTGTGATAGCTGCTCTTTTCACGGATATTCCACTATAAAGCTTCATGAGTTTCCGTCATTGTACTAAATACTGAGGGTAATTATTGCGGAAACGGACACGGATTACTTTGCGAAATCTCCCTACCGTAGTAACTTACACTTCCGTCGACAAGGTGAAAAAAATAACTTATTTTAGTTCAATATACAGTATAAATAGTTTTTCGGATAAGCGGAAATACGGTATTTCCGCTGCGTCATCGGGACGCTCCTGCATGTAAGCAGCCACACGAAGGCTGCCTGCCGACATAGCTTTCTGGTTGCCCGCGGCGAGCTGCCTGTGGCCTGGGTCCGTTGCAGCCGGGTTTGTCAATGGGTTGGCCAGTCGGGGCGCCGCACCCCAATGTCCACGACCAGGTAAAAACGGGAATCACTTATTGTCGATTTGATACAAATTTGGGAGGGGTTTCAATCGAATCGTACCGACCAAACCGATCCACAATCGATCTGATTGGTTGAATTTCATTGAGAATGTTTGATTGGATAATAATTTTGAGCTCATCTGAAGTAGCCAATCAAATCGATTTAAATTCCAACGAGAAACCACGGCACAACACGAATTTTCACTCGAAAGCACAATATTGTATCAGTTTTTATGTATCACTTTGGGAACTTGGAGAAAAGAGAAAAAGGTGTCTGAAAGTTTTCTGACGGAATAGCTTGGGGCACCCAAAGCGAAATATAGTGAAAAAAAGCTGAAATTCACAGCAAAATGGTGTACAGTACTGCTGTCGCCCCTACCTATTGTGCTTTTCACCCAATTTGCCCATTGTTTTGTCGCACTAATCAATGGATTACAAAATTAAAACCACACGTTAAACATAGAGTATGGCACATGAGCTAAATAAAAACATGTCGTTATTTACTGGACCATCTCACTCGCAACGTGGACGAGACCAACATGCAGCGCGATCGATTGAACGTCGCGTTCCCATCGTGTTGAATCTTGTTCCGCTACGTCGTAAGAGTCCAAGTATGAGGCGAACGACGTCAACTTCAATGCCATAACCTTGGACAAGCACAACACACCTCCAACGCATGTCGATGCTGATCATTGTAAAACAAGTTGAATAAGATAAAACCGTGCACCTCCACCAATTCTTAGCCAATCAAAGCATCACGAATAGTTATAATTCAACGCGAACCGTAAAAATACTTCATCATGCATCCGTAAAATCACGGCGAGTGCCATAATTTTACTGTTAGGATGAGTTTTTATTAAAGCATGGTTTTAGACCTGGATTAGCCAAAAAAGGTGAAAAGCACAATACTATTAATAGTAGTACTACTCGTCTCCTGCTATGAATAGTAGTAGTACTATTCGTCCACTGACGTACCCCCCCTTGAGGTGCAGCAAGTGCTACTTACTCGCCATACTATTGCGACGTGGTTTTCGTCGACACTGTCCACGAGTGTGTTGTACTATAAGTACGGTACTACTACTCCTATAAGTACTACTACTACTAGTAGTAATACTACTACGATCAAAATCTCGTTCACTTGTTTATTTCTGCAACGCTAGCTCCAGCCGCTTGACGAGGTCGTCCTTGAGGCCCTTGGTGTCGAGCCCACGGTCTTTCAGAGCCTTTCGCAGCTCCACCACTTTGAGCTTGCTCGGGACAATCACTTCCTCCACGTCCTCGTCGTCGTCGTCATCCTTTCCTTCGATCGACAGGTCCACAGTGTCGCATACAGTTGCCACCACGTCACAATGTTCTGTGGTTGCCTCGTCCGGAATAGCCGATGACGAGGTTGGCATGTGGTGCGCCTCCGGTGATGACAAGGCTGGTGCACGGCTCGGTGACGACACCACATCAACCAAAGCGGCACCATGTACTGGTGACGACGGCTCCTTCACTGGTGACAATGTATTCTTCACTGGTGACGATGGCTTGGTTGCTGGTGATGAGGGAGTTGCCTTCGGTGACGACACTTCGACGTCCGCCGAGGGTGCGGCAGTCGTGTGCGCACCTGTCACGTCGTCAAGTGTCCGAGTGGGCGGCGCGTCGTCGTCCGCATCTACCTGGGAACTAGTGTCATCATGATGCTTATCGCTGAGTTTCGTGTCGACTGCAACAACAGCCGCCTCCAACGCGTCGAGCTTTCGCTTCATGTCGAGCTCAATGTCACGCTTCTTGGCATCGATCTCCCGCCGCTCCACCTGAATCTTTTCTTCGATGGCTTCCGTGGATGCATCCACCAACGCTTGTGTCTCCTTGGTGTGGCGCGCGGGGAGGTAGAAGATCGGGATCGGCGACACTGTCTGCAGGAATCGAGCCTGGTGCCGCTCCGTGCTGATGCTCAACGCATGCTTCCGCTCGAGCTTGGCGATCTTGTCCGCCGCTGCCCGCTTGTACGACGCGATCTGCGACTCCACCTTTCGCCGCGCCGACCGCTGCTGCGTGATTGTGGATACCTTTTGGCTTTGCTGCTTTTCCTTGGCCTCGGCGGCGTTGAGGAGGCGGTCTTGCTTTTGTAACAAGTCGCTGTCTTGTGCGAGTTGCTTCTTCGCGCGACCAAGATGGCCCATCAACGCACCAAACATGCGTCGACTTCGTTGCAGCAGCTTTGGATCGTCCTCCGTGGGTTTGACGTTCTACATGACACCCCGTCAGTCCATGCATCACACGAGTGCATGCAATACCGTGGCAGACAATCGACGCCTCTTCAACCCATTGTCTTCGTCGACGGACGTGGTTCGCTTTCGAGGTGGCGATCCCGCGACGGGTCGTTCGCGCCCGCCCAACCGATCGTGGATGCTTCTGGAGCCATCCCCACGCGGGGTTTGGACCGTCTCATCCTGGCTGCCCCGTCGACTGGCCCTCTCCCTGTCATCTACGCACACACATGTTAGCTGCTTTCTGCCTACAGCCACGACGACGTCATCTACCGTCATGTCGGGAGGTCATGGTGCAAGATCTCGCTGTGTGGTGGAAGGCAGAACGACTGCAGTTTTCCTCCAAAGTACGGTTCGACAAAGTACGCTTCGATAATACACTTGAAGTTAACGGCGGACAATCCGGTAATCGTACTTAAAGGGTTCTCAAGAATTTGTTTTTTACCAGTGCATCGAAGCATGGACTCATCCATCGCCGCAGTGCCGCGGCACACGGACGACTACAATGCCTCTTACCGGGACAACGTATGGCTGGGCCAGTTCCCTCTGGACCACCAGTCGGTCCTGTACTACTTTGCTGGGTCTCCATGGTACGACAAGAGCTGCAACAACGAGATCCTCAAGATGCAACGTCGGCCGCTCGAACATCTCCAAGGCATGACCGGCATCGAGTACGAGCTCCAGCCAAACGAAGCAAAACAGCTTCCCCAAGTCCTGTATGTCATCCACAAGAAGAATCGCACAAGTCCACGCACGGCCAACGTCATGGCCGTGTATTACGTCCTCGACTGCACCATCTACCAAGCCCCCAACACGTACACACTGCTCACGTCACGCTTGGTACGACAGATCAGCCCAATACCGTCCTGTATACACCCCCACATCTTCCCAACGATCTACGACGACAATCGTCGATGCTATCTCGTCATGCTGGAGTCATTGGAATCCTGAGCATGGTGTACACGTTGTAGAAGAAGTGCAGCTACCGCATCAACAAAGCATTCAAGGCTCTCAGTGCGGGAGTGCGTTTCAGTCCCACTGAAGGCTACGCGTGGGACTTTAGCACGGAAGAGTCTCCCGCGCCCGTGATTCCCTCCGAGCGTACGTCATCCTGTGGTAGTTGGCGTCCTTGACCTGGAGAACATTCGGTAGAATTGGCGGCCAAGCTCAAGCGCAAGTACGAAAAAGAAGAAAAAATTAAGCAGAACAGCGCGCGCGTGGACAGCATTCTGTTTGGACTCATCAAAAAGGTACCAATCTTAGCTGAATATGCATACGACCATGCAAGTTGATCATCATGCGATGCAGTATGCGCCGGACGTGCTCGAGAACAAGGGAGCAGCGGGGGAAGTCAAGACAGAGCAGCAGCCTCAGCCAGACGGTCCGCAAGCGAAGCGACAAAAGGTGGCCACGGCCACCACCACTTAACAAACGACAACATGAGAGTTTACTTGGATTTTTTGCCTTCGGACGTTTGAGTTGTTGCTTTCTCGGGCGTGTTGGGGTCGTCGCTGTCGTCACCGTCATCGCCAGCGGACGTCTTCTCTTGAGGGGGTTGCACCGTCTTGGCCTTGGTGGACACGACGGGGCTCGACGGATTCGGCACGTCAACACCACCCTTCTTTCCACTCGTCGTAGCACGAGACGGCTTTGGATCGTCTTGCTTCAACGACTTAAAGATCGTCGGCAGCAAGAGGAACACCACCAGGAAGAGCGCAAACCCTGCCGTGATCCATACGTTCTCTCCGCAAATGTTGTTCACGGGGGATGGCAGGCAGTACTCCGCCGCTGGCACGGGCACGCGGCTTCGGCTCGGGATGGTCGGTCGTGAGGCCATCAAGTCTGGAACAGTTGTGTTTTGGGATTTGAAAACAAAATCTGCACATGTTATAATAATATTTATAACAAATATAGGTGTTATAATAAGAGGGTTATTATCAAGCATGCCGCCACCAAAGATGTCAAACGCGGATGCTGTGCACACTTGGAGCAGTCTCGAGGAACAAGTCGATGCGCTGGTGCATGTGACGTTGTCTCTCCTCGACAACAAGCAGGAATACGTAGTCGTGACGACATCCACGTTGGAAGGCAACGACTGGAGCAGTTCCGTCCGATTGCTGGCATTCGATCCGTCCACTGGCCACATCGACCACATCCATGCCTTCCGACTGCCCACGACGGCCGGGGCGTTGACATGGCATGCCGCATCCAGCTTGCTCGTCGTTGGCGGTGACGATGGCGACTTGTACTTTCTCACGTTTGACTGCACGTTGATGAAATGGACGCGCGTGTTGCCGCCGCACGCCGACTCGATTGGCCACGACGACCTCATCACGAGTGTCGACGCCAGCACGTCCACGTTCGCCAGCGGAAGCTGGGATCTGGCGGTCAAGCTATGGGACGTCGAGGCGCTGGCTCTGACGGAGACCTTGCAAGGCCACTGCGACAAAGTGTGGGCGGTGCAGTGGCAGCCCCAGTCGACGTCGGTGCTTGCGTCGGCTTCTCAGGATCGGACAGGTACATTCTCATCACCATACGACCTCCTTTCTGTCCCCCTATCATCCACATCTTGACGATCCACGTGCCACCATATATGTGACGACGTGCTGCATGATTCGCCTGTAGTTCGCTTGTGGGATGTTCGAACGCCATCCCAAGCGACGACAACGACTGTCTTATCGACACCGTATGCGACGCTGTCGCTGACGTGGCAGCCTCACAACGACCATGGCATCACCGCAGGACTTGAAGATGGTTCCATCTACACGTTTGACATGCGGTCGCCGCACGCTCCGTCATCCATCCTGGTACACATCTGTATACTTTGTATCGTGTTGAATGCTTGAAGTGACGAATATATTTTTTATTATTTTTTATTATATTATTTAAACATATCTTCGAACCCTAGGCCAACCAACATGCCGGGTGTGTGTATGGTGTCAAGTACAACGACGAGGGCACGTCGCTGGCATCTTACGGAGACGACGCCGCCGTGCATTTGTACTCGGTTGAGACTGACAAGGTGGCGCAGCTTCCACGGTACGAAAGGGTGTTGTATGTATTCATAAATTATAATGATTTTTTATTCGTGATTTATGTGTATTGTAGGTACTCGTACACGATGCACACGGATTATGTCCGTGGGTTTGCGTGGCTGGGCCAGGCCAAGTGGGCCGTCTCGAGCAGCTTTGACAAGTCGGTCCACTTTTGGCAGCTTTAACTCACGCCGCATGAAAAAATATATGAGATACAGTGTCCATCACCACTAACAATCAATGCACTCACGTCGTTTCAACGTCGTTACCGTGTCACATTTGAAATATTGCGGACATGTTGTGCGCATCCCAATCATGCTAGCACCATACTAGTACTTCGATACTTTTAGAAACGTTGGTTGTCATAGTGTCAACAACACCCATCCTCTCCACGGTCAACAACTACTATGTTGCACCTGACTGCTGGTATTTTGTCCTTTTATACCCAAATTTAGTTGACTTTTGTGCTGAAGCGCCAAATATCGATCGATTCTTTGTACTGAATTTTGTATGTAAAAAGGTGTCGTCCTGTGGTGATTTGAATCACACTAATTGAAGTCTTGACGTTGATGGTGGTTTCTTGCAATCTGATTGGCTAAATCCTTCTCCCGATTCTTGTGTACATTTGGTTGTGTCGATTCATGCTCCAGTTTCGAATAAACACATAAACATTACTACTTTTCTACCTACCTACTACATAACTACTGTACTGTCGTGTCTACTTGACAAAGTATTCTTATACATGTAGCCAAAGTCCGTCGATGTCTATCCAATCGCACCAACACATGCAAATAGACTTTTAGATGCACAGAAAATACACGATTAAATTTTCGGCAGCACGGACATGAGATCCATCGATCCCCCCCCTCCCCTTGTCCCTCCTCCCCCCACCACGACATGGTTGTCGTTGTGAGGTTTGCGCACATGGATCGTCGACGGTCGGTGTGTTGAATGGGGCGACTTGTCCGGTGGCCGCGCGGTAGTACCCCCCGACGACGCCGTGGACGGGGTGATCACTGGCGGTTTGGCCAGTTTCGATTCGCCCGTGAGCCACTCGTGGTCGAGAGCTTCCATGGGGGTGCACCGCATTGCGGGGTCCCATCGAAAACACTTTGTGAGCAAGTCCACGAACTTGAGGTCTTGGCACTTGATCAGGGCGCGGAACTCCCTCGAGTTGGGCCGCCGCTTGCGACCGCGCGAGTTGATTGTGATCGTGGGCTCGCCAACGTCGTTGAAAAAGTTCTTGCGGCGCTTGCATTTGTCCACCATGTGCTTGGGGGGAACGTCGAACACTTCCATGATGCACGCAAGTTGCTCGCCTTCGTTTTCGCCGGGGAAGACAGGGTACCCCGTAAAGAGCTCGGCCATGATGCATGCAAAGCTCCACATGTCAATGGGCATACCGTACGGCAGCCCCAACACGACCTCGGGGGCCCGGTAAAAACGAGACTGGATGTACGTGAAGAACGTAGCATGGTGAAAGCACGACGACCCAAAGTCGATCACGGCCACTTGCATCGGCTTGGGTTTGCGGACGAGGATGTTTTCTGGCTTCAAGTCGCAATGCACGACGTTTTGGGCATGGAGAAACACGAGGCAGTGCAGCACATCCGTCGCGATTTTCTTGAGCAACGGCACGGGGAGTCCCCGAAACTGCTCGAGCTTCAAGTACTCGTACAGGCTAATGCTGAGCAACTCAAACACCAAACACAAGTGGTTGCGAAACGTAAACGTGTCCAGCATAGCAATCACGTTGCTCGTCCCGTCCACGTCGGCATGGTTGAGGTGCTGTAACAACTGCACTTCGACCACCGACTGTTCCTGGAACTTTTGCTTGTTGCGGACAATCTTGACCGCGACCATCTGCCGCGACGCGTAGTCGTGGCACTTGAGCACTTGGCCAAACGAACCGCGCCCAAGGTGCCCCACTACATCGTACCGGTACGCGATGTGGTCGTGTAGGTTGACAATGTAGTCGCCCTTGTCGTCGTCGAACCCGTTGTTGGCTACGCCACTACTTCTCACTTTCGACTCGGCCGTGCCGACATAGTGCACGGTGGGGAAGTCGAGAATCTCGGTCGCTTCGTGGATGGTTAACGCGGCGGCGTGGGTGGCGGACGCGAGCACTTCCTCGGGCTTCATGGGTTTTGTGGTCGACGGATTCGATCGTTGGGACGTGTTTGTGCGATGGTGATCCATGCCGCGAACGATCTCCTTGGGCTTGAACGGCTGGTGGGGGTACTGTGGGGGTGGCTGCTGTGACGGCGGCGCGTCGGGGACGACGTTGGTTTTGTTGTCCTGCGGGGGCACAACCAACGGATCGACGCGCGTATTGGAGTGGCGTTTGTCAGGAGGGGGCCGTGTCGCGATGGCTTCTACCACCACCTGCGCCTTGGTTTTGTCGTTTACTATGACCGCCTCGGGCACGATCAACTGGTGTAGTGTGTTGGCCACCCCGCGAATGCTCCGGTGCTTTCGATGGCCTGGGCGAAGACGTAGCATTGGCAGCTCCATCTCCCTGTCTGCCTGCAGCGATTACAGTGTTGTTGCACTTGCTGCGTCGAGTATGAAACGCATCAGGAATGTCGAGTTAATTATAGACCTATATTGATGCTCTTGGGGTGATGAGGGGGTGAAGGGGGACATATCTTTATATTCCCCCCTTTAGCGATTGGCGGGGGGAAGCAGGACGAGTGTAGCATTGAGCACGTTGTAGCCAGAAGGACCATTAGAGTTGACATTACGAGGCTGCGTTGCAAGTCCTAGCAAGCCAACGAAGGAGGATGCAAGTTAATAGTATTAACGTTAACGCTAGTAGGATTTTCTGCGTCGAGTTGTGGTAACCGTCAAATGTTTGCAAGGGACCGATGGACGTCATAGTATATTCGGTTCGCATCCAAAAAGGGAAGGAATTGTTGGCATACTGAAGATACTCGACAGTGGGCTCGATACGAACACCTCGTCTCATGGAGTTAGGCATTCTACAGTACGCCCTTACTGTACGAAACCAATGGCCCAAGCCATTTGAGTGGCGTCGACGAACATGTGAATTTTCTTCCAGGTGTACTAACGTTAGTACTACCGAAGTGGCAGCCGCGATCACCACCATCCAAGTGAATGGTTTGTAGTATAATATTTGTTGGCCCCGCCGTCCATTTGCATCCGTATGTAGCCACGAAGCTGACGATACAGTAGGTATGTAGTACTAGTACACGTGTAATCTCATTGGGGGTGTTGGAGAGATGCTGAACAGCCTCCGTATCTGAGGAGGTCGTGGGTTGACGAATCGCAGCTTACAGTACACCGATTGCTGACGACACTATTTGATTAGATTCACTCGTAACGGCTGACTATTAAAATAAACGGCCAATTATTGCCCTCACTTCGACCGCTTGGCTTTTTGCCATATCTCATGACGAAATGAAAATTGGAAAAATCTGAAATTATACAGTTGTAGGGGTAAGAATGCTCTACCAATTGACTCGAATTGATCGGAATTTGGAGTATTTTTAGCGAAGTTATGTTCCAACAAACTCAAAAGTTTTGAAATTCACCGGACCAGTCGATTGCCCTTTTTACATTTCATTTCAGTGTTAAATTTAGAGTTGGGAAACAGTTGGACACGTATTTTTAAAGCTAATCATGTTTAAACATCTTTTGCTTTGTATGTACTTAAATAAATGGATGAGGGCAACAATTGGTCCAGGGGCAATAATTGACCGTTTACGTTATTAGTACTTGAAAGGGGCATACTGGTACAGACTACCGGTAGATAGTAACTCCGAGGGTCGCACCCTTTTCTTGCGTTGTGCCTATGGGTATTTGGGATACAGTAGAGTATTGTACACGCTTTATTAATCTTCGGCGCTGCGATACTGTTGCATACCGGCGGCGTAGAGCAGATATACGTTTACATATTGGTCCAAATGCCTAGGCGTTCCACACGCTGAATGATCATTATATTCAGATCTTTCCAATCTTTTCAAGTCATTTTGGCTTCAACCATACGTTAACCAAGTGCAAGATTGAGATGTCGAATACCATTCGACCAGCATGTGTCCAACCATAAACGGAAAATAAAAGTGACAGACTTGCCTTTCCAATGGCTTCTTGTGCTGGTGCTTTGCAAAAAAATACATTTGTATCTACGAAAAGCTACAGCTAGCGCGAAATTGGTGTAACGCTAGCTATGCAGCAGAAGTCTCGAGCTGTGGATACAGACAGGGTGGCTCACTGTCAATACGGACCATCGAACTATGTATGTATCGATCTGAATGCTCACTCACCTGGCTACCCATCTACAACAACACATACTTGCAAAGAGACTTCGCTCAAAGCTCCTTTGAGCCGCCGTCGACACAGCCAGTCGAATGGTTTCATCAACATCGAGGGGGAGATGTGACCGTACAGGAATATCTTGAGTGCAGCTGGCTAACAGGTTGGCCAATGACCATAAGAAGCCCAAAAAGCAAGCAGGAGGTGATTATTGTTTTGGCGTGGAATTTGCAAGAGAAAAGGTCATCGCGGCAAATAAAAATACCACCGACGGGTATACAAATCTTCTATATGGTCAATAAATTCTAAAAAAACAATGCACACCCGATATGGTCCACCGCATGGGTTGTGAGAGGTCTTGTGCCATTTAATTCACATCAAAACCATGTGGCGCGATCGGGGTTTATCACCTGGGATCATAGCCAGTTCAGCAGTCCGCTTCGTGGCGTCGTCCCCACAAGTCCACTCGGCGAAAATACGTTGGCAATGCTATTTCAATCATCATGACTGTATATACGTACGCGTGATAGCATGATCTATGATGCCGAAAGCTATGCGAGAACACTGCACATAGAGAATGCACGGGTGGTCGGGACGTCGGTTAAGTACGAAATACCCACCCCGCCATGTGGAAGTAGCCGCGAAGTTCGAAGCCCACTGTCCAATTAATTGATTCTTCGACCAAATCTTATACAACGTTCAAATGATAAAATACAAGGTGGGGCCGCGCTCGAAGCGATGTTGATAAAATCAGTTTCCATCTCGAGGACGGAAGACATGTCGAATTCCGAATCCCCGTGGCCGAAAAAAGCACATGGCCTGATTCTAGTCGCGTATATCGAGGGCGGACCAGATTACTGTGGCGTACTATCGTCGTGGCGCAATGGTCCGCAACTTGTCAAAAGACTCTGCCGAGCCAAACTGTTGTGGCTGGCATCGTGTACCGGCATGCGTCATGACCGTGGGCATACGATTCAGCGGCGGTCAATATGCATGCAATAGCCATGAGATCCTTGACCTTGACCGCGTCGTCGTGTCAACTCCACCGAACAGACCTCAAGATACTCGGGTTTTTCACCCCATTGCGGAGGAAGATCGCACTTAAGAGGGAGTCACTGGCCCACACCAAAAGAAGAGCTCCAATTTTGTAATTTGCGACCGACAAGACAAGCACCGCTGCCGCCCGCCGCCGCCACCGCCAGCCCAACCAACAAAGTTATGGAGATTGCCCAAGACGTCCGAGAGCTGCTGGTGGGAAGCACCACGGAACAGCAGCTTCTGCAGGACATGCAGACGTACCACCGCAAGTACTGCGAGTTCATGACGAACCTCGCCACCCAAGTGTCGGAGCTGTCACTTGCGATGTGCCCCGAGTCGCGCATTTTCTACTACCAGTTGCAGTGTGCCATGTACAAGGATTGGACCGCTGCCATCACAGACTGCGCATTCATGAGCAGCACATGCAACACGAAGACCCTCGAGTCCAAGCTGAACACGTACGAGCAAGTCGTGGCCCGCATTCTGCGCAACGACTCGGAATCATCATCGTCGCCCGTCGTCGACGTGTCCAAAGACTCGTCCATGGAGCAATGGATACACATGTATGAAGCACATCGAAAGAAGATTGCTTCGAGCCAAGGATAGAACGAGGCTTCCAATGTGTGTGGGTGTCGTCGTCTGTTTGTGTCGTGGGAAGGCATCCACCATCACGCACGTGTCGTCGTCGTCGTGGGTGGGGGCCAAGTAAATAGAACACTCGTTAGATATATATTATTTACGAAGAATAAAAGTTTCACCTTTCGTTCCAACATCGATCAGCCCATGCTCCATCATCTCAACCACACACTTCCGACCTACCTCATGATGGCTGATCATCATCGTGGACAGTTGGTATCTGTTCTGTCGTTTATGGTCTGGCTCGTTGCGTACAATGTACTTTAGGGATCACAAGTTCAGGCGGTGCCCACTCACACCGTGCGTTTGTGATTTCACTCGAAGTATGCATATGTATCATCTAGACAGGCTCAATGTATCATTCCATGTGGACGTACCGCCATCTTCCGTCATGTCCGTTGACGCTGTGCATGAACCTGCCATCAACTTACCGGTACCGGCTTTGTATGTTTAGGGTGACGTTCTCGTCGACGCAATATGGGTTGCCGGCATCATCGCACCGTGGCTCATGTCGTCACCAATGCCCATGCATATTGACGATGAGGCAAGCCATGGCATCGCCCAAGATCCGCGGCGGTTGAGCCGCGCGCTGGGAACATTGTCGGGAGTGTGCGTTGCCCATCACCTTCCTCGGGTTGGGGATAGGGTTGATCAGAACCGGATAAAGGTACTTTATATCCGGACATTTTCATAATTTAGCAGCCGTACGGATAATATTTTCCGGATGTGATCAATTAATAGAGGACTGATAGAAAGTATACGTATATAATCGACATGACCAACGATGCTTGGGTTGATGTGGACGTGATGACCCATCGCCACCGCAACCACCTCAGTGACTGTAAGCTCCCTAGCAGCTGTAAAACAATGTATGTGTCCTAATCCTTTCCATGAAGCGTATTCCCCTCTCGTGGATTGCATCGCGATTCCTGCGCAGGACCAGCTCAATGTGTTCCGGTGCCGCACCACGGCGGCGACGGGTGAATTTGGCGAGCTGGAGATCCTAGCGCAAGCAAATCGTGCAGCAATCAAAGCTAGTGACCCCTATTTGCATGTGTCTTGGTCAAGGCATCGACACGGCAACAGAGTCTTCTTGGCAGCAGCGACATTGACTGATGTTCAAGTGTGGGAATGGAAGCACCAATCAAAGGCCCTCCAGTCATTGCGTGTTTTGAAAAACGTGTCCAAGCGCATCTGTGCTCTTCATTGGCACCCCCTGGAAGCCACTCTCTTGGTACGTGATTGCCGTTGTCGCACTTCCTCTCACCCTGTCGCAGGTTCACTCGTCCACAACTCTCAAGTTTGTGTCCGTGACCGAGCCAGACGACGACGACTGGTTGGAGCTGTCAACTCCCACAACAACGCCCAAGCAACTCTCGTGCTGGAACCCCTCGGGCACCCACTTGGCCATGTACGAAACATTACGTCTCTCGTGTCATCTAAGGTCGTCGTACTGTATCGCAGAACAGGAGGAACTACTGTGACAGTGTTGTCGTGGATCCAATCCACGGAGGCCGACTCTCCAACACGGTGGCGCACAGAGCCAGCAGCGATGCCGACTATGGAAGTGGACAACTGCATCGTCGCGCTAGCCTTTCTCACAGACCACGCCGTGGTTGTGACGACGGAGCGCCCCGTGCACGTGAAGCCTCCATCTTCGCCGCCATTCCTGATGGCGATAGCGCCAGCCCGACCCATCCTGGCACATGTGGCCGACGTCGAACCCACGGCCAGCCACGTCATAAACTTGATGCACGTCAAGAGCTCCACGTCAACCTCGTCGACGTTCTCGCTGGTGCTGCCGGTAAAACCGTGCCGTGTCGCCCATATCTTCACCATATACTGAACACTTTGTACAAACAACACTTAGGAATTGAGCAGTCGGTCGATCTGGGGTGATACCGAGCACATTGCACCACCAATCCCATCAGCATCAGCCTTTTCATCGTTGCTTGACGAAGGTGGTGATGGCAGCAACACGACATCTCAGGTGGTCATCCGACTTGCGACAATGTGACACGAATGTGTACTGCTGCTGTCTGCATGGAATACTAGCGTGTTTTTCATGTGTAGCCGGTCGTGGCGTGCGCTCAAGCGATCGTAATCTCGTGGACGCGGACAGAGCCGACGGTGTTATGCCGATCCGCCGCGGTGGACATGCCGAAGCTAGCGATTCCCGACATGGTGGCCACGGTACCTAAGATACATCGTCGTCGTTTTTCCATGTTTATGATATGGCGTGATGCTAGTGTCGTACGGGCACAACAAACGTGGTGGCAGTGGCGGTGGGCAGTCACGTGTCGTCCAGTGCGATCCTCGTTGGACAGTACAAACGAGGGGGTTCACCTCAGTTGGCATGGACACTTGACGACGACAAGGACAGCGGGATGATCGTGTGGCCGACCCCCCGCCAAGTCCACGGCCTTACCATGACCCGATCCAAGACCCATGGCGATGACGGCGTTGTGCTGGTGCATGTCCTCGACAGCCACAAGCCATCGGGTTTCTCTTTTGCCTCTTCGTCCGCTTCCACCATCTCGCGATCCCTGGCGTACCACGCGCATGTTCGTCGCATCATAGCACCTCCATCCTCTTCGCTACTACCTCCATCCTCTTCGTTGTCGTTGGTGGAGATGGTGGCGAGTCTTCGGTCGCTCATCGAGAATCGCTTTAACCAAGTTGACGGCAAGCTACACGCATTGGATCGGCGGCTGCAGCGCGTCGAAGCGGCTTTCGCCGTCGGGGTGGATGACTCTCCATAGAACTACTACATACTAGTAGTACATTGGCTGATATTTCGAACACGGAGGGCAGGGTGATGCAGGTTGTGGGCTCCGTGTGTGACGATGATGTTGACACTGTGAGTGCGATGGTCAAAATGTGTGACGATGTGCAATGTCCTCTCTCTGACTATACAGTACTTGTATATATTATCACGTCGATTCGAATTTGGAGTGGGCCAAATAGACCGACCAATCAAAACCCAGAACGCGAATCAAGTAGCCAATCCAGTTCACTCTTCGACCAAATCATTATTGAATTAGTGTTTGACATAAATTAGTGTGACACGGGTCGATTTTTACAATTGGTCGATTGATTTCGTGGTGAATTAGCACAAAATTCCAAATTAAATCAGGTAAAAGGACCAAATGCCACACAATGATGAAAACACCAAACAGGGGGTGGGTATGCATTTGGTTTTAAACTAGTAGAACAAGGCGGCGGCGGCATTGTCGTCTTTACTCGACGACGGACGCGACGACCCCGGCCCCGATCGTGCGGCCGCCTTCGCGGATGGAAAACTTCATGCCTTCGTCGATGGCCACGGGGTGGATGAGCTCAATGTTGAGCGTCAAGTTGTCTCCGGGCATGACCATTTCCGTGCCCTCGGGCAGCAGGATGTTGCCCGTGATGTCGGCTGTGCGGAAAAAGAACTGCGGGCGGTAGTTGTTGAAGAACGGCGTGTGTCGGCCGCCTTCCTCCTTCTTGAGCACGTACACTTGCGCCGTGACCTTGGTGTGCGCGTTAATGCTCCCAGGTTTGCACAGCACTTGGCCACGCAACACGTCTTCGCGCTTCAACCCACGGAGCAGCACGCCGACGTTGTCGCCAGCTTGGCCAATCTCGAGCGACTTGCGGAACATTTCCACACCCGTGCACGTCGACTTGGAAGTGGCTTGGATGCCGACCAACTCGACTTCGTCACCGGGCTTGACGACGCCCGTCTCAATGCGTCCAGACACGACGGTCCCGCGGCCAGAAATGCTAAACACGTCTTCCACCGGCAGCAAGAATGGGCGCTCAAAGTCGCGCACGGGCTCGGGGATGTACTCGTCGACTTGCTTCATCAGGTCGAGGATCGCGGCCTTGCCGAGGGGCGAGTCCGTGCCCTGGACAGCTTGCAACGCGGACCCACGGACGACGGGAATGTCGTCGCCGGGGAAGTCGTACGAGTCGAGCAACTCGCGGATTTCCATCTCCACCAATTCCAGCAATTCTTCGTCGTCAACCATGTCCACCTTGTTCAAGAACACCACCAACGCAGGCACACCGACTTGGCGAGACAGCAAAATGTGTTCGCGGGTTTGAGGCATCGGGCCGTCCGTGGCCGACACGACCAAGATCCCACCGTCCATTTGCGCGGCGCCGGTAATCATGTTCTTCACGTAATCGGCGTGACCAGGGCAATCCACGTGAGCGTAGTGGCGGTTTTCGGTCTCGTATTCGACATGGGACGTCGAGATCGTGATACCACGGGCGCGCTCTTCGGGCGCTTTGTCAATGTCCTCGAACGCGACAAACTTTCCGCCGCCTTGTTCCGACAACACGCGCGTGATGGCGGCCGTCAACGTGGTCTTGCCGTGATCGACGTGGCCGATGGTACCCACGTTCAAGTGCGGCTTGTTGCGCTCGAACGTCGCCATGCCACGGGACGCATGGCGGAAGGACGCGGCGCTACGGGAAGCAATTTGGCGCAACATGGCAATATTCCGGAATGACCAGCCAAAATAAATTGATCTCCACCACTCAACCGGTACCCAATTTTTCCACGGAGGTCGTACTTCACCAAATTATACTTGTGATTTGTATATGCGCACTTCTATACGGTCGAACCTAAATGGATAATCGAACTTAAAGGAAACAATACTGCCCACAAACCCTCGCCTGCAGCGCTATCAATCATCCGAGGAGCGCTTCCCAAGCGATGACCAGGCCATGAGTACGACACACTCTACGTGCATGCATGCTGTGTGACACGTGTAGTGTACGCCTCATGAACCTGCAACGAGGACCTGCAGCTAGACACTGTACTGCATCTGGAGGAGGTGATGAATGGAAGAATGGACATGCACCACCACAGACCTGTGTGGCTTCGCTAACATTTCAGCTTGATATGAACTTGTCCAGATACAATACTAGGAGGACTTGTCAAGGCCTGTAGTTTCGCTAACATTTCAGCTTGATATGAACTTGTCCAGATGCAATACTAGGAGGACTTGTCAAGGTGCGATAATAGGAGGTCTGAAGCGCTTGAAGCGCTTCAGAACATGTCAACGAGTCAGTGAGTGTCCTCTCAAACTCGGGCGTTTCGACATCGAGGTTGCATCAGACTCATTAGTAAGATAGTGTTCTCATCTGTGGTTTGAAACCAGATCATATGACACGCATACTTTGTCATCACGTGCACATAGGCGGCGTCCGTCGCGTCTTGCACGCTCCACATCAAAATCACGAATGGTTGATAGTATGGATTCCTGCAGGTGCGATACAAGAGAATATGTATTCCTAGAGGTTTTGTTTCGACGTCATGTAAACAAGCAACTTTAGCCAAAAGCGATGGATGCAATCGCTCGACCAAAACAATAATATTCTTGCCATTTGTGACAGCTTGATCGAATGGAGCTGGACTCACGCTTCAAGACATATGCAAAGTCGTACATTTGAAATCCACTCCTTTTGAGCAACAAGTAGTAAGTTAGTTGAAATGTGAATTGAGGGCAATTTCGCCGAGCCATACGACGATACGGTATGAGGGCGTGAGTGAGATGTGGCATGCGCATCGCCCATATTGCAATTGCGGTCGCGTATATCGTTAGCCCATTTCCTCCAATTCCTCATTACGAATATATTTCTAGTGCAAATAGTCGAGTAACAAAGGTGCCATTACGTTTAGTTACGTTTTTTTTGTTTTTGCTTGAGGACCAGAAAAATACTGATTGTGAGATCCTATAACTATCCATGGATTTCTGTCGTATCGTTGAGAACACGAATTCTCATTGGCTCGTGCGTTGTCGTTATCCGGATGTTGGGAAGGCCAAATGCTTAAGATCCTGGAAATACCATGTACTTTTTCAAATATTTGAGTTGACTGCACCAAAATATTATTTCTGGGCTTGAACTGAGCTTGGTATTTGTATACTTCATATCCAGGCAACAAAAAAATGATCGGGCTGAACCTTTGGTGCCGATTAAACCCGTCATATTTAATACTCAACTGATATGACTGGCCTTTAGTATCGGGCTCGAATGCTTCAACCAGCTGGATTATTAAGATTCGGAGTATTGTGGATTGGGGAATCAAACAGCTGCCCCCATTCCTCAAATTGACAGTCGTGGGTTGGGTCGTTCACATCGGTTGCCGCCCGCCAACCCTCCCGACGATAAAGCAGATCGACGCGTCCTCATCTCCGCGCCTGAAATTCGCTTCCAAGTCTCCCCCTCCGTGCATCTATTTATTCGATCCATAAGAAAGCCATGGCCAAGCGCAACGAGTGTCCAAACTGCCAGTTTTCTCTCGTGGATGCCGCCACGGGAGCATGCAAAGTATGCGACTTCATCCAGAACAAACAGCGGACCCGGCCCTGCACAGCATGCGGAAAGGCCAATTGCCAATATTTTTGCGACACCTGCGGCAACGGATACCACCGGCGATGCGCCGAGAAGAACAAAGTACGCATCTCACCCCTCGACGACGACAATGAAGTGTCCGTGGTGTGTCCGTCGTGCGAAAAAGACGACGGTGGGGCCGAAGTGACGTGTGGCGGGTGTCGCAAGGAATTTACCAACGAAGACGCGGGGCTGCAAGTCGGCCAACTCGTGCTTGTCGAGTTTGAAATGGTGCTGTACAATGCCGTGGTGATGGAAGTAAACGAGCCCGAGACGAGCGTGAAAATTCACTTTGTCAAGTGGAGCAAGAGCTTTGACGGGTGGTACAAGATGGACGACGAGCGCGTGAACGAGAGCTTGGCGTGCGACGGGTGCAACCGATGGTTCCACATCAACTGTCTACCCGAGGTGAAGAGCACAGGGCGGTACAAAGCCGCGTCCTACGTGTGTGAATCGTGTTTCAAGGAAGCCAAGATGCATCGAACGAGTTCGAAATCGGCAAAATCCGTCGTCATTCCCGTCGAACCCACGAAACAACCATCGTCTCGATCTCGATCGTCGCGAAAGGCGCTCGTGGTGTCGGAAGACGAATCCCACGATGACGACGACAACAACGGTGACGACGAAGGCGATGATGCCGACGACGACGACACGATCGTGCTGTCGCCGTCGTCGCTCGTGCAATTACCCGAACTCCCCAAGCGAAAAGTCGGGCGGCCGTCGCACAAACAGCTCGAAGCCGAACGGCTAGCGTTGGCAAAGCGAAAGGCGATGCTCAAGTCGTTCAAGGAGCCGTCGAGTCCATCCACATCGTCCTCGACGACCAAAGAGCTTGACACCAAGACCGACAAGAAGAAGGAGCGACCATCTGGGCCTGTCGACCCGCCACCGGCCGCCTCGCGTGTGGCCAAATCCCCTCGGCTCCGTGGCGCCGCCAAGTCGATTCCCCCACCACCTCCATCGACCGAAATGGAAACACAAGTCGCCCGAACATCGTCGCCCAAGCGAAAGGCACCGACAGGTCGAAGCAGCACCACCCCTCGCACTGGCGCGTCGCCCCCGAAACGTCGTCCCAGTGCGCCTGTTCCCTCAAATCGAAACCCGTCGAAACCATCGAAACCACAACACCGTACGGCTCCAGCTGCGACACTGGCGAAGTCGCCGTCACCGTCTCCCATCGCCACAGATGACGATAGCGATAGCGGCCACAGCAGCGACACGAGCACTGGCAACGGTAGCAGCGGGGAATCCGATCATCACCAAGACCCCCCTCTCCAACAGCCACCGGCGAAGAAGCCCAGAGGAAGCCAGACCACCGTCCCCCCGCCCGATACTCCCGCTGCCCCCGTGGCCTCGTCACTCCCGCCTCCGTCGGTGGCCACCGCCACTACCGCTCTCATCCACCCTCGGCATCCGCACGGGTCGCTCATGTCGGCTAAACCATCTGCGAACAACAGCAAGCTCATTTTGCTCTCGACGCTGCTCAATTCGCCACATTATGACAAGCACAACAACCAGGAAAACTACCCGCCGCTGCTGCACCTGCAAGGCCGCAACCGGCTCGACATTTTGCAAGACGTGGTGAGCCAGAGCATCACGTCGTCGGCGCCGCCGCCACCTCCGCCGCCGGCGTCCCCCCCGCCGCCGCTTCCGCCCGGCCCCGCGCCACCCGCCGTGTCGTTGCGGCCGGCCGCGTCGGAGACAGGACTCGACTTTGACATGCACTTTAGCCTCCGCGAAGAAATGTACAGACTCGTATGCGACTTGGAAGAAGGCGGCCATGTGCTGCGAGACACGGCCACCCTCTTGCGCGCATGGACACACCCGACGGCGCCGCGCTTCCAGGACATGCGCTTTGTGTACCTTGTCAACAAACACACAAGTCACGAGCTACTGGCGCGTCGACTGGGTGAACTCACAACCAAGCCACTGCCAAGTGGTCACGCCAGCAGTAGCACATCGTCGCATCACCCGACCCACCACCACCACCACCACCATTCAGGATCAACAGCAACATCTGCTCATAACCAGCATCCGCTTCACCACACTCTAAGCATGCAGCCAAAGCAGCAATCGGCCCGTTCGTTTGACTCGTACAACATCGTGTAATTATAAATTAATTAGTAAATACCAAGGATATGTATATATATATATATTCAGTCGTGAACACCATGATATATTTAGTATATATATACTAAGGGGCTGGTCTGTGAAAAACCATCCATGCTTTAAGGCAGGGGTGTAAACTATTTTCGAGGAGTTTGAAAATATATCAAAAATATTTCTTAATTTCTATCGAAAACGTGCTAAGCAGGAACGGACATGAATCATCCCTGCTTTTGAGATTGTGTTATCCGGAAAAATTCACGTTTTCGCCAATCAGGAGTCGTATTTGCGTTGATACTTCAAAAAGCATGTTCGCAGACCAGCCCTTATAAGTTAGGGCTGGTCTAACGTTACCGTACTATCACTTCGAAGTATTTATGAGTATTGATTTGGTACGAATTTCGGGACTCGGTCCAATCGAATCACGCCGATCATAATCGCTCCCATTGGTCAATCTGAAATTACTCTTCGCTGATTGGACACGTTGTGCTTTCTGCGGAATGGGGAAAGCCAATCAAACATCGCGGCGAGAGTTTTGATCGGTTTTATGAATCGCGCAGAATTGGGAATATGTCCTGAAAATTCATATATACTACGCAGTATTGCGGATTCGGTACAATTTTCCAGACCCCGTCGAATCAAATCTCGCCGCCAAGTCGAATCACGAATCGACGCGATTGGCTAATCCAAATATATGAGTGGATTTGATTGGCTATTACAGAAAGGACAAGTATATTCAACCAATGACAACTCCAGCGTGATTCCATATTGATTACCCCACCTATGAAAAAATGTCAGTGAAACCTGATCACAGTCCAAGAAATACCTACCTGAACCATAAAAATGTTCGTCATTGGCGGATATGTTCCAAACCGGTACAGGTCCAACCAGAGAAATCATAGGTACTGAAGCGGGGGGTATACGGTAGACAAACCACACGATGTTCAGAAGTTTATGGCGAATTCACAATATACTTCTGAAGTATTGTTTCGGGGTTTCAGGTTCGTGCAGCTGCTATGAACAACAACGTAAGCCCACGTCAACTCTCTTGACTATTGTATGTGAGTATTTTGAAGAAGTAGTATACATTCATCCTGTTACATAAAATAGATTATTGTATCGTTACTCGGAGTATTATTATTGGTGAGTTTACACACCTGATTACGATGGATACAGTTGCATGAGTTGGTTTGCTGGCAAGCGCGTCTTGGCGGCGGGCAAGGATGTCGACAGAGGCGCATCGAACGTCGCGGTTATCGTCGGGCCTATCGCAGGTGTCCTAGTGCTGCTCATCTTGGCCATGTGGTGGTGGTGCAGGAGGCGAGAGCCGTCGCCACGATCCTCGACGACGCCACCACATGAAAAACCATCGGTGGACCTTGTCGTGCACGACGACTATGTCGAAGTGGTTGAGCATGACACGTGCAGTCGTCCAGAAGGAGACAGCGCGGATGGCCAAACTGTTGCCGCCGCTATGAAGCACGTGCAAAATGCCGACGTTGGCGGCGACGTTGACGTGGCAGCGGTGAGCATCTTGGACGCGCACCGGTTGCCACATCCCGTGGTGCTGCTGGAAGCCGTGCTAGGTCGAGGGACGTACGGCGAGGTTATCTTGGGGCATTACCACGACACACTCGTGGCCGTCAAGCGCCTTCGTCCTGACCACAACAACCCCAAGAACATGCAATCGCTGGTCCAGGAGATCGAGCTCATGACTCGGTACGTTCATTCGAATATATACTTCTCATGGCAGGATGGATATTGCAGGTTCCATAGCCCGTTTCTCGTCCACTTTGTCGGGGCCATGTGGACACACCCCGACATGGACGACCTTCTGTGTGTGGTCGAGTACATGGACCTGCGCGACTTGCAATCGTACTTGGCCAAATCCAAAGCAGGTCCAAAGAAATCCGCGTCCTTCTCATGGCCGCAAAAGATGACATGCGCGCGGCACATGGCGCTTGCGTTATCTTACCTCCACGACCAACAGGTATATTGCACCTAAACTTTGTGTGTGCAGATTTGCAAAATCGATCGATTGAAATTTTTGGTCTGGCTTTTGTATGTAAAGAGTCTTGTCCTGTGGTGAGTGGAATCACACACTAATTTATGTCACACACTAATTATATGTTGACCATGGTTTCCTGCCATCGGATTGGCTAAACACTTCAGTCGATTCTTCTGTACACTACTAGTACCGTATTCATGTTCCTTTGTACTACGTGGTTTGTCTCATCAATATATTGAATAATTACGCTGGAGTTCTGATTGGTTGAATATCCTTGCTCTTTCTGTAAGAGCCAATCAAATCCACTCACAATTGGATTAGCCCATAAGAGCATCTCCAACGGTAAATTCTAACCTATTTCGAAAGCATAGGTTAAAGTCAAACTTCGTTTTTACGGTTGCTATTTTGGTATTATCCGTATATTTTAGAAATTACGTCCTGCAGAATTTCTATTTTCGCGTGAAATAGCAACAAACCCTCCGGATAGTGCAAGAGTTTCTATTCTATATCCGTAACTTCGAATTGAAATAGAAATAAAAACACCGTTGGAGATGCTCTAATAGCGTCGATGATTCGGCGGCAAGATCATTCGATTGACTCGATGTGGAGTCTGTACATTTGTACTACGGAATATACCACAATATTTGTTTCATATTATTGAAGCTATTGATTCTACTTGTAACCATTCACGTAAACCTAGGCAAGAAATACTGTAACTATAACGTTGTTTAACCACTTTGTTCTTGGTACTATATGTCGTCATGTTTGGGTGTCCTTATACATAGGTCATTCATAGAGACGTCAAGGCGCCCAACGTGCTATTAAACCAATCGATGGCCGCGAAGCTCGGAGATTTTGGAATTGCGAGGCAAGTGGTGGAGAAATCCATGAGCAACGCCGTCGGCACATATCGATGGATGGCGCCTGAAGTGCTCAAGGGAAAGTACTACTCGGTCAAAGCGGACGTGTATTCATTCGGGATGGTACGCTGCTGCTACTTTACATATGCCCCTCCAAATAGTGTGAAAATAAAACTACTGTAGGTTCTCTCCGAGTTGGACACGCACGTGGTGCCGTACTACGGCATGACCAACCCTAAAGGCCAAGAGCTGGGCAACTTTACCATCATGTTTCAGGTACAGACACTAGTATATTTATATATATATATATGATGGAGATATAATATATATTTGTCGTAGGTCATGAATGGCGCGATCAAGCCCGCGTTTTCACCAACGTGCCCCCCGTGGCTGCATAAATTAGCCCTCCGATGCATCGAGTTTGATCCGACGTTGCGGCCCACAGCCCAAGAAATTGTCCAAGAAATTCAAGCGCAGGAGAAATTGCAACTTTAACAGGTGTTGCCACGTCGAGGATTTCACAAGGATCGAGGATATGTCGTAGTCTATTGGTTAATATTTAAGAATTATATCCTATCATATTGCAGTATTTAAAGATCCAATGTGAACCGTCGCGAATATATATACACAACTCGCAACCCAAAACGCTCTCGCGACAATTATCATCATCATCATGGCGCCGCCACTAAAAGTCCTCGTAGTGGGACCCAAGGAAGGCGGCAAGTCCGCGGTAATACATATCCCCCTCGTCTCTCATCGCATATATCGTCCACGTCGGCACATAGATTGCAAACTTTCTCAGCGAAAGCACAGATCGGTTGGGCAACCAGGAAAAGTACCAACCCACGGTGGGCGTTCGGTGCGTTCGATGCAGCATCCCTTCTCCTCCTGATGCTAATCTAAGTTGTTGTCAGGGTTCTCGAGTGCGAAAAGACGAATGGACGCGCCCAAGCTAGCGTCGAAATCTGGGACTGCTCGGGCGACCAAGTGTACGAAGCTTGCTGGCCCGCGATTCTCAAAGACGCCTCCGCTACGATCATCGTGTACAACCCCGACAGCCACGTCCACGAAAGCGAAGTGACCCTCTGGTACGAGTGGTTTGTCCAGAACGCGGCGTTGGAGCCAGCGCAATGCCTTGTGTTTGCCCACGCCAACGGCAAGGTCGCGGCGGCCACCAGGGGCAAAGTGAACTTGCCGCCCAGCGTGAAAACCATCCAGACCAACTACGAATCCCCGGGGGTGCTCAAGTCTGAGTTTGACGCGTTTGTGTTTGGCGTCATGGAGCAACTGCAGCAACGCCAAGGGCGCACGCGAAAGTAGTGTGGTTGGTTTGTCCTACCAGTTGAAATTCACGCTATAAAGACAGTGTCAAAACAGTCGGTTAGTTGGGTGGTTGGTTGGGTGAATGCATGATGGATGAGTCGTCGTTCCATTTTGAATGGTCTTTTACGATCAAAACAATGCAGGAAACGTTTCGGTGAAAGGACTGAGTGGCTCTTGCATACTAGCACCATTTTGCAGGTAAGTTGGACGAATGCCTGAAGTATTTATTTGGCTGTGCGCCTGATATATTTGGTCGTGTGACCGATAAAATTAGTCATGTACCCATTTAATTTGGCACACCAAGGTCACTGCAAAATGGTGTAGTAACATTTATTAATAGTTTGAACTGTGCTAACAAACCGATTAGCGCAAAACATGTACACTTTGACGAGACGAAGATCCAATGTACAGAGGTGAAGACAACATTATTATTGCCACGGGCGCGACCCACTCGTGACTACTGCAACGAGTACATCTCCAGTAGCGAGACATCTCAGTCGTTGTAGTCTTTCCCGATATTGTCATTCGGTGGCGTTAACGATTGAGGTATTGGGCGGCCCTGGTTGTGGCTGCTGGGATGGTCGGGATTCCACAGAACATACGGCAGCGGCTCGCTGTAGAGTACGTTGTCATGGCGGAATGGTGGGCCGGGAAGGAGTCGTACAGGCCAAGGGCTCGTCCGTTGAGAACCGTGGCGCTGGCAGCACCCGTCATGCCGAGCCAGGACGTTTATCCATTCACGTTGCATTGCCTGCCCCCACCATGGGCCACACAACGCCTTCGCGCGTGGGAAAACAGTTGTCGACTCGGCACTTGGCCTTGTCCGACTTGGTGAATCCGCTGCCCCCGTGTCAATAGCACCGGCGCAACTGAGAAGCCAGTGTACATGCACAGACGTCGCTTTATTGTGATTATGCATCAAGATCGTGCCGTGGTTGGGATGATGATGGGGATGGTTGATGCCTTCGGCATGCATGTTTTCTGTCAATGCCGGATTGAAGTGGCCCGAGATCGCATACATTTGTGGCGAATTGGATCGTGACCGTCCAAGTACGGTCACGCGATGCTCCTACTTTTCTACTAATACGTGGAGGCCAAAAATTGTAAATTGCATACTAGTACAGCAAAGTTTAGAAATTGCTACATGTACTATGGTAAAATTCAGTGTCTGAGTACTACTATACTTTGATTGGATGGATCAAACTCGCGACGGTTGGTGAGCCAATGAAATGCTAGATCGATCCAAGCAACCCATCCATCAAGTGCATGGTCATCATCATCATCATGTCGTAGGCTCCTCACATTGAAAATGGGATGGAGACAAGTGTAGCTGGGTGTTTTCGACAGGGTACCAGTTGGTAGATGAGCAGCTGCTATATAGACTACCCCGTGACTTCGAACACAGACAGGCCACGACTACTGCCGACATGGGTGGACTTTCGATCCGAGTCGTCTTTGGCTAGCTTGGGTCGATGTGTCAAGGGGATTTCGTCTCGCAAACTCAGTCCTTTGAACCGTCGAGGCAACTTGACGTGTGCGATGGACAGCGTGAAAAAGTCTCGCCACGACAATTCTTGGACACACAAACACTCGAAATGCACAAGGCGGCCGTCGTCCACCTACATACATACATCAGATAAACTAGTAGTATACTCTGCGTTGACAAAGCACTACTAACGTTACTACAACCTACATCATACCTTGGCGCCACAGGCCAAGAAGAACGTAGTGTGGCAGACCAAATTGACCACCAAGGCCGGAATGGCTTCGACGCGGACGAGGTAGTCGTCGTTGAGGCGTACCCACCCCGCACACCATAACGACGACCCGTTCAAGAGCAGTATCTTGGCGTCGGTCGTGCCCACAATATCGTCCACGGGCTCGACAAGCCCTTGATGGGGAGCCAGAAAGATGGCTCGAAACGACGGCGTCACATTTGAATGCATCAAGTGCACGTTGGCAACGGTCTGCTCAAAGCTGAGCGGTTTCACGGCACTTCGCCGTTTCGACCGGCGCGATGAGAGCTGGCGCGCGTCGGCCGCGGTTGCCATGGCCTTGATGGCAATCTATTCGGGGCATTCGTTGAGAGTTGGTTTGAAAGAGCGACTGATTGATTGTATGTTTGTATTTCCAACCAAGTACACCACAAGCACCATGCACGCCACGACAAGCCAAGACATATCGTGGAGGACAATCCACCACGGCATGTTGCGCAACGCTCCGTACGATCGTGTGGGAAGGCTCCATCCATGGATGCTGCTACTCGCGAGTTGGTTCTAACCACGCAGTATGTGCGTGACGTGTCTCGCACGATGGAGTCTTAAGATTGCGGTAACGTACTTGCTTGTACATGGTGCGAAAATGCGCATCGACGGCTGGAAACGACAGTAAAAACGCGGATTGAAAGTATTCGCACGTGCAAAAGATGGTGAGGACGACCATGGGAGACAGGCTGATACCAAAACGACGGGCTAGCCACGACGACAGCGCCATGAACCACGTCACCAAGTTGGCTCGGAGGGTCGGGTCGTCCATGGCAGGCCACAGATACAGCTACAAAATAAACGTGTAAAGAATTGGCTAACTAGGTATGACGACGTGCCGTACTCGAGAATACCCGTGCCGGACGGCCAAGATGCGAAGCCCCCAGAAACGATCACATGTCATGGCAACGAAGATCAGCCACGACCGACTAGCCAACGTACGCTGGACAGCGGGGAACACCTGCGGCAACACGACATCTCCAGTGGCTCGGACTTGACTGACCACGACAATAGCAGTCACCACCAAGTTGACTACCCACCACCACCAACGCCTGCACACCAACCACATCAAAGTTCAACGAAAACGAATGTTGTACAGTACCTGAATCCATGCAAACGAGTGCGAGATGGTGGTTTGGTGCAATATAGTCATGGTTGTCAGTCGGTCCATTGCTGACGCATGGTCTCGTGCCCACATGAACCTACCTCAGAGTCATCTTCGTGGTTAGTGGGGGGGAATACAAAACAGTCCTTATGTACGAAACATGTATGTACTGCATCGTATGACCGGGCAACGACATGGTCAAATCGTCGGTGCCGCGTCCGAAGTACACGCCCTGCATCCCAAACACATCGTAAATTGTGCCGTTTTGTGTGCGCACCGTCCACTCCACAGCGTTGCAGACTGCTTCCACAACATCCACACGTTCTAGTGTTGGGTGGGACCCCAGTTGCATGGCATATGTCGGCTCAACGGATGGCTCAGAGCCCCCGCTTGGGTTACTTCGCAATGCCGTCAGGTTGGTCCACTGGGTGGCAACCAGCACGCATGCTTCATCTTGATGTATCTACGAATAACCATTGGACGTGGTGAAAATGACCTTTGATCAGTCGGTTGCCAGTCGCCTACCAGTGGTTGAACAGCTCGCAACGTTTGCATCGTGTACGTCACCAGTTGGGTTCGAAACGCGTCGACCATGTGGACTACGGTACCATCCATCAACAAGGCGGCGCCTTCCCGCAATTAAAGTATATATATACCTCGAAGGGTGGAGGTGTCCACGTTGCCAGTAAACGTGCAATCGACCACCAGCGTGGCCGGGGAAAAGGATGGCGCGCGCACTAGCTCCAGGCCCCCTTGGCGCAAGAGCGTCATAACAGTCTCTAGCATCTTGTCGGTCGATTCCTCCACGTTGTCACTGCCCCCCTCGACTTCGCGATATCGAGGAAAATAATTGCAGAAGACGCCGAGTCTTGCGTGGGGGGTTTAGTGTTTACAAACCTGGCGATCGCTGTGCTTCCATACGAAGTCGTTTGCACGTCCGAGAAATTCCGACCCCATAACGTTCGCTTGAGCGCAAGGGACCCACACAGCTCAATGTAGAGAGTCACGACGACGGCACCACATGACAGGCATCGGGAGAAGAGCTTCCTGGACCGACGACGCCGGGGCAGATTGAACGAGTTGGCGTTGGCCACGGATTGAAAACGCATGTAGAACCTCGAGGAATCCGATGCTTGTTTGATGGGAAATATGTTGGTGAAAAAAGGTGATGAAACTGACCGTGTAACTATCGCGAAGAACCAGCTGAGTAAATGTCGAAAACCCGTTACTTTGATGGACATGGTAACTGACAATTGCCACCTCACAATCAAAGGTTAATCTTGTTGCATGATGGAGCGAAGTCCTTAGATGTTTCGATAACCTTGACCTTGAACAGATACATGAATGACGAAAACCACACCATAAGTAATGAGTCAAACAGAGTTTTGTACGAAAAACACATACTTCGAGGTACTTCGGAGTTCTAATAGGAAATATCCCGACGTTTATTTGTAATAGAACGCTTATTAACTGTAATAGCGCATCAGCCAAGCCTTAAACTTGGCGAGCGACGACAGAGCATCCGCCGAGGAAATTGTCTCATGGACATGTTTGAAACGGAAAATTGTAACCGATTTAGTTAGTGTATGCCGCGTTTCATGAATTGAAGGGGGCATCCACGGCAAGTTGAAATATCATGATAAAGCCAAACGATTGGTCGGCAGGAACTGCAATGTACGGGCGAAACCGGATTTCGCTATTTCCCGCAGCCTCCTGGCATCCAGACAAATTTGTAGATACTTCTTTTCTCCTTTTTTTATGGGATATGAGACTTTAGGAAATTTCTGCAGACTTGCCAAAACGGTTTATGACATAATTTTACGGGGTGGCATCCACACCAGCCCTTACCATTTTAATCAAACACGTCGACGGCCACAATGCCTAGTTGACGTGCCCCCCTTTACAGTACCGCGGGGTTAACACACACATGGCAAACCCAGCACTTGGGCGGACGGTCAACCGTCGATTTGTCAAGGTGATGTGCAGTAATTTCCTAGTCCCCAAAACAGTAAAATGCAAGTCACCAGTCCTTACGTTATCGTTGTCGCCCTGGGCAAAACTCGCAAAACGTTATTTAGTTTTGAATGAAAGTTAAAATTAAAATGAATACAAAATGTTTTCGAAATGTAAACTGAAATTTCAATACTTTGACCCAAAAAATCCGTACCTGTTAACTTTGTCCAAATCCTTCCAAACTTTTCGTCCATAGCCCCCTCTCACCAAATTTTCAAGGAACATGTAATCAGATTCATGAACTTCGGGTTGGTTCACGTGAAATCACACCTCGAACATACAAGTTTCGTCGGTTTCGCCAACCGCAATTATTTAAGCGTGCGTCTGAAATAATATTCCATTATCTTGCGAAATGGGAGTAACCAAAATGCCATTTTCAAAATGGAGGTAAAAGGTCCATTTTCGGTTGTTGGCGAAACCGACGAAACTTGAATGTTCGAGGTGTGATTTCACGTGAACCAACCCGAAGTTCATGAATCTGAATATGACGTTTTGGACCTATTCAACGACTAACAGTAAATCCCACGAGCAATTTTTGGATTTGGGTTAAAATTCTTCAAGCAAGACATGTTTCAATTTTGATCAGATTTGTTGAATTCAGCCCCAAAATGGTGTTTTGGGCCTGAATATTGCAATATTTCTGGTAACCATAAAAAAACACCCGATTCTGAAGAAAATTGTAAGGATAAAGTTCTGAACTTTGGTGGCATCCAGACGCATAAAATCTCCAAAAATGGAATATATCGATTTTGCCAACTTTTCTTCGAAAAACGGCAATTTTATGCCATTTTTTATGGCATCCAGACCCGGCCTAAGGTGTTTCAAGTACTCCGAGTAATTTCCTCGCAGCTTGTCCTAGCTTGCCCTAGTTTTGAAGTCTCCTAACTCATCGTCCGTGTGTGCGATGAGGCTGCAAAAACATGCGTTCTCAAGGTCGTGAGGAGTTGTATTAGTTTATGCAGGCCCTATCGTTAAATTAGACGAAATTTTCAATTTGTTTTATCGTTCTGTAAATGTAAATTCCGTCCAGGTGTTTTTGACTTGAATAATGTATGACAGATTTGACCACCGAAATTCTCAGAACCTCTTCATAGTAATCTTTATAAAGTGTACAGGGTATCCAATTTAGAAGTCATTATAATGATGAGACTAACTTATATGAATTGTCAACGAATGCAAATATTAAATGCTAAAGGTATTATTTACCTGAGTACAGTACCTAATTTCGACAAATCATCTTCGTTTGATGATTGTGATTGGCTGCCAATTGTGCGGAAAGTGGGCGGAAATTACATGAATCACCTTAACGTTAACGTCGTCGTTGTAAAGGTACTTCCGTAACGTTAACGTTAGTTTGAAATGCTCAACGATGCACCTTTTTGCACCCAAAGATACATCACTACTCGACAAACCTTACCGACCCAGAAAACACGACAGATACACGCACAGTGCAGTATACAGTGTAGTCAGTCGTACTTACCCTTCAACTATGGGAATACTTGAGCTTTGTCATGTGAATTCGCTATAAACTTCCAAAATTCGCGTGGTTTGTCTAATCAATTTGAATCAAGCTGGAGTTCTGATTGGTTGAATATATTTGTCCTTTCTGGACGACCCAATCAAATCCAGATTAGCCAATAGGGTTGATTCGTGATTCGATTCGGCGGCGAGATTCGACTCGACGGGGTCTGGAAATCTGTACCGAATCCACAATATCCCTCTACAAACTTTTGGGCACTTCAGATTCGATCAGACACCCGAGATATGACACTGTGGTTCAAAGTATGCGGGAGAATGTTCACTTTGCACATTGAAATCTTGTTCGGCCCGTCTTGTTTGACGTCCTATACAGCATCAATGGATGACGCTAGTGTCGTGTACTTGCGCTTTGTATGGTGACCGAATCTACGCAATGAGATTTCGCGCACCAAATGACATCCGTTTCGAGCCATCTTGTCGAGTGCTTCATTCACCCTACCGGTACTGTATGGCGGCTGATGGGAATGTACAAAGTCCATAAGGGCGCTGGCAAATTAGATAAAAATTGCCATCGATTCTTGGTGCACTTGAAAGAGACCTCGTTGTAGAATGCATTTTACTCGTCTCTCAGGAACATTTCTGAAAAGTGCTTCATGAAGCCGATAGGTTGGGCATTCTTCTGGTTATTTATTCGGCTCGAATAGCCTTCAGCAGAGTGTTCATTTACTTCAATTTCCACTCATTTCAAGGCAAAATAGAAGGGACGTACTACTAGTATAACAGTACTACGCCTATATACTCCATATGTTACTCGGTACTTCAAGTACATGCACCTACAGATATGCACCCGTTTCGTTCCCCGTCTACCTGGTACAATCAATATGTTGGATACACTTTGAAGTTGTTAGTGCGTCGACATTAGTTTTCATTTTACTACTTGCAACCAGCACAACATGGTCAAAATCGCTGCCTTCACTGCCATCGCGACTACCGCCGCTGTCGCCGCCAAGAGCGTCACCCAAGTGCACTTGGCCCTGACCAATCGCGCGATTGAATGTGCGCACGGCGTGTCGGTGAATTTTGCCAGCGACTCCCAGGATCCGTTCACGGTTACGTTCAATTCCACTGAGGGCAACCAAAAGAAGGTGGATACGGTCAGTTCCAAGTATTCAGTGACCAACACCGCCTCCATCTACACGTCGCCCTTTTTGCACTCGGCCAACTTGTGCAACTTGAACGCCGCGACCACGTACTCGTACAATGTGGGCGGCTTGTTTTCGTCAACGTTTGTGTCGCCCCCAGGCTCCAGCGCCACCCCTACCGTGATTGGCCTTGTGGGGGATGCCGACTTGGAGGAGGGGTCGTTCGCCAACTTGCAGCAGCCCGTGCAAAACTTGACCACGCAAGCGATTTTGATCGTGGGGGACTACTCGTACGCCAACGGAAACCACAAGAAGTGGGATAAATGGTACGACTTGCAGCAGCCCATATTTTCCAAGATGGCCCAAGCCGGGGTGAACGGCAACCACGAAGTCATTCAAGGCAGCAAAGGCTACGCCAAGGAATACTACCTCGGGTACCTAAACCGCGCGGCCACCCCCATCACGCCAGACAACGCCAAGAACTTCCGCACGTACTACTCGATCAACTTTGGCCTCGTCCACCTGGTCTTCCTCGACGACTACGTCGGCGCGCGCTTTCGAATCGGCTCGACCGAGTGGCGCGGGGAGCGCCAAGCCCAAGTCGACTGGCTAACGACAGATTTAGCCCAAGTGGACCGCACGAGCACACCGTATGTCGTCGTGCTCAAGCACAACCCGTACTACAACACGTACTCGGACCATCAATGCCAGTGCTCGCCAACGATCTACGCCATTGACAACAAGGAAGCGTGTTGGAACGGAATCTACACCGTCGCGACCGCCAAAAGGGAACCGCAATGCGGCCTCCAGGCCAAACTTGAAGACATTTACGCTGCCAACAAGGTCGACGTCGTCTTCTCAGGCCATGTCCACGGCTACGAACGGTCCGACTATGTCTACCAAAACAAGGTCAACAAGGACGTGGGCTCGGTGTACATCACGACGGGCGCGGGCGGTCGCGGTCACGCCCACACTCAAGTCCTGAACGTTCCGTCGTGGCATGTGTACAACAATCCGTCGGAATTCGGCGCATCGCGGCTCATCGCCACGCGTGAAAAGATGCAAGTGCTGTGGCATACCAACACTGACACGACCAAGGCGGCGGACGCGGTGGACATTTACCCGCGTTTGAATGCTGCTTGCATAACCAAGGGATAATTTTAATCCTCCCTCGTTTCCAAGTCTAAATCGACGAAAAAACCATACTATTAGAATTTTTTTCACAGGCATCCATCCATATATATACTATCGACACTATTAGCATATTGAGGTCAGTCAGCTATTGTAAACTGCAGTCGTGGTTGTGGCGTGTCTTATCTACCTAGTTGCCAATGCTGTTTGTTGGCAACCCGTGAGTAAGCAATGCACTCGATTTTCGTTCATTTCGGACATTTGATCATAAGTCCTTAGCGCCGCACATAATGACCCCCCCCGTTTCCCCTGTTGTCGACTAACGGAATGGCGCAGCTCCAAGTTCGCGGTAAGTGAACGTTTGCATCGTTGCCGTGTTGGAGGTGGATGACAAACACCCGCCACGTCTTGATGTCGAGCACCACGAGAGTGTTGCGGTGGGTGCGGATGGCCAACAGCCCATTCAGTACTGACGACGCCCGGTCCACGTAGTAGATGGTCAAACTCGTGCTGGGCGGTGGCGTGGAGCAGTGGGGAAAATTGGTTTCGTTGTCGTTTGAGTTGCCCATCTCGAACCGGGACGCAGTCGACGGCAAAGCACACGACGCAACACCCCCACGCTACGAAGAACAAGGCGCAAGCCCGATCGAAGCGGCCAATCTCGAGCACCCCGTTGCGGCACGTCAGGGCCGTGTCCACGGCGTCGATCGAACACTCGCGATGAATATGCGCCGCATGTTGGACGGGCACGAGTACGCTCCAGATGGCCAAGACGAACCACGTGAGCACACTCGACTTGTACGCGTACTGCGCCGTGAGTTCCTGGGTCCACCCCGAGAACACGTCGTTCAAGAGGTGCACAACCTACCCCATTTCCCCCGACGACAGCAGCGTTGTAAACAGATCGGGGGGCGCCGAGTCAACCGCAACGAGATCAGAATCGTCGCGTTGATCGCCTGGCTCTGCCCCGCCGTGTCCAGATTGTTTGCCGGGCAGTTGCGCAAAGTACAGCGCTGCGTTGTATTTTTTCGTCGCACCGCACCGGCGTTGGAGCTTGAACGTGAGTGCCATGGCGAACGTTCGGTTTGTGTTTAGCCAGCAGTAGGCCGACCCCATGGGCAAACGTTTGTCGAGGGAACTCAGCCCCAACGACGCCACCGCCGACACCAGCGAAATAATGTCCAGAAGAAGCTGTCGGCCATACGACGAGCTTCATACCACCCGCGTGGTGGGTACCGCGTACGATTTGGTCGAGTAGACGCCGCCATTGAGGAGGGCCACCGCCCCCGACTGCGATTGGCTGAGCTGCGTGTTGAACACATCGCCAATGTACAGTACGTTTGCAATCCCGCGCCTGGCCACCAGTAGTCAGTCGTTGGTCACATTTGGATTCAACTGGACCAGTTGGATGAAGCTACAGACGACAGTCACCACCAGATACACGCAGGCTTCGGACTTGTATATCTTTGAGATAATAAATCTAGATAAGATAGCAAAAATAATCAATTTATTATGTGACGTTGGATGCAATAATCTATTTTCAGTGCCGGTAGGTAGATATCGATAATCTATGTTCAAGCTTCGTCCAATTATCCTCGGCACACCTTCGCCACACCATTTTGGCAATGGTGTGGCGAAGGTGTTGTCATTACGCAGCTGACTGCTGCTGAGAAGGATGCATTGGTCATGTTCCTGTTGGACCCTGCCACTGTTGCAGTCCCCAGCACGCCGTTGACCTACGCGGACGAACTTTTGGGTCCGAAACGTCGCCGAATGGGAGCTACAGCCAGCAAGTACAGCTGCTTGAAGTTCGTCGTTCCAACGAGCACCATGGTTGAACGGCTCTTCAGCGTCGCGAAGTACATCATGGCAGACCATAGAAAGCAAATGCATTCGGTGAATGTCGAGATGATCATATTCCTTCGCGCGAATGCATCGTATTGGAATGTTTACTCCCTTGGGTAATAATATATTTGAACAATTATCGATATTTTGCATTAGCAAACAATTACTTCATGGTATTTATTATCGAAGTCGTCGAACATCGTGAAATCTATTGGCCGAGGCGCCATTTTAGATCGTCGCAATAAATATAATTTATTTCGGAAGCCGTGATACACGAGCCCTATGACCACAAATCTGGCATGTTGCTGATGATTGCGAACTTTGGGAATCGTCGGCGGCGGCGGCGTTTTTTCGCAAAGTGATATTGATCCAAGTCATTTTTACTCGAGACAGATAGGGCATAAAGTGCAAAGTCGCCAGTACAGCATACTATACTACCTGGTAGTAGCGGTCCCCAATGACAAAAATAAATTGGAATTCTCCCCATATACAATTGATTTCGAGATATCAATTGGTAGAATAGCACAAACCCTTTGACAATAACCATCTTCACCGTGTTGCATTTCCACTTGAAATCCACCACCACTCAGTCGCCGATGAACATATCGTTCCGTTGAGTTTGATTGACAATACTATTATTAATAATGTTAACATTTGCAATTATTAGCAATTATCAGTATAAATGTATCGAATATTGAATATCATCCGGATGACGGATCGGATCGGTTACAGCGCCCCTTTTGGATACCACACTGTCGACAGTAGGCGATCTGTCGATTCGTCCATGTACTCGTCCAACGCAGGCTCGGCCTTAACGGCGCTGCAACTGGCCGTGGCCCTTCCCGACGTATTCTCGCCGCAAGAGTATGTCCGTGCCCTGCGTCGAAACCACGACGACGTGACCAAGGCCGCGGTGCAGCTCAAGGCAAAACATGTATGGTTGACGGCGAATCAGTTCGACAACCTCAGTCTCGCCAAACCCTCCGTGCAGCGCGAGGTAAAGAAGCAATACTTGCAGGTGCTGCACGACGCCACGGACAAGTGCAAGTGCCCCATCGTGTTGTTCTCCGCGGCCAAGTTCCATCCGACGCAGTCCACTGACAAACTCGTGACGGGCAACGAGCTGTGCACTGACCACGGTGGGGTCTCCCGCTCCGACGAAACGTCGAGCACCATCGACGACGCGCGTCGTCTCATCGTGTACATGGTGACGTTGGCTGTCGAGCTCATGGACGACGCGAACGCGCCAGGCATCGTGTACCTCATCGACATGGACGGTTCGTGATCTGTAGTCATGTGGTCCTTCGACGACCATCGTCACATGATGATGCAGGCGTGTCGTCGAACGTGGTCACGGAAGGCAGCGTCCACGTCGAGTTGCTGCGCATGTTGAAGGCGTACTTCTGTGACACTGTGCAGTTTTGCTTTGTCGTCAACTTTTCGGCCAACGCGTGGATCCAGCAAGCCACGGCGTACGTGCTCAAGACGACTCTAGGCGTGTCCGATCGCACCCAGCCCAAGATCAAGTTCATCGCGGACGTCCGGGAGCTTCACCCGTACTTTCACGCCCCATCGCTGCCCCAAGCATTTGGCGGTACGTCGAACTCGTGCAGGATACTATGATGAATGGCATCGTGGGGCTCTCTTGTTGGTGTCTATTTCGAGTGGCTACACTAGGCTATCCATCACGAAACTTATGGATGTGTATGGATGGGTTGGTTGTGGTTGGTGATGTACATAGGCAGCTACAAACTTATGCCGGCTGCCGCTTGGATGGACATACAAGCTGACCTGGAAGGCCTCGACTTGGACAACTTACCCGCCGACGACGAAGAAACTGCGTACATGGTACAGCTCACGAACCCCGCGTCATGTCGATGCATATACTGTACTAGTATCTATCGTACAGGACTGGACCAATACTTTGTCGATGTGTGACAACGTTTGTATTTGTTTGAATACGTACACCTTGTAGACAAAGCAAGCGCGGGAGCTCAACGGGATGCAATACGCTGGATGTTCCGTAAGCCAAGTCGTGTACGTCATTAGTATATGGGACTAGTTAGTATGATGTGTACTACTAACTATATGGTCTTGGTAGCGACATGAACTCGACGGTGCTGCGCGGCCCGCTGTGGCGCAACAAGAGCGGCATTAGCTGGGTCAAAACCTATGCTGTGCTACGTCCAGACGCGCTCTTGCTGTACGAGCACATCAAGGGCACGATGCCCATGGTGATTATTCCCGTCAACCACGACGTGGCGGTCACCGTGTCGCAGGTAGAACCTATTCTATTTCGTAGTTCAAGACGATCCAAACGGTTCGACTCGTGCTTTTAGTTTGAGAATGCCCCGAGGGGCGTGTTTGGGTTCCGTGTGGATGTGGAGGGGGTGCCGGGGGGGCACTTGCTGGCCGCCGCGTCAGAAAAGGAGCGCGGCAACTGGCTCCAGGACATTCAGATGGGCATCCAGGCGTTTCAAGAGCTCCATGCTCGCGAAGTGTATGAAGAAGAGCGCAAACTGCGCATGGACGACGAGTTTCGTAAGCTCAACATGATTGACTTCTCCACCGACGTCGTGTACGTACTACTAGTACTAGTAGCCCTCGCCCCCGACTACTATAGTAGGACTCTTGTCTGGTTCACAAAAGGAACTATGTGTGAACAGATCTGCGGCGCCGCCGCCGCCGCCACCGTCATCTCCTTTGACCGCATCCCACGGTTCAACACCGAGTATGGCCGTACATGGCGTGGCGAGCTTCAGCGGCACGATGCAACCTACATCGTTGATGCCACTGGCTGGTTCTACACCAATGGCCCCGCCGTACGGGTTCGCCGCCCTGTCACAGATGCCACCCCAGCCCCACCAGCAAATGCAACCTCCAGCCCAACACCTCCTGTATGAGTTCAATCAACCTCTTTCTTATCCCCCAGCCAACCAAAGCCAGCCGTATCCCAACCAGCAAGCGCAGTACCCTGTGCCGCCACCCCAGCCACCACTGGTGCATCCTCCCCAACAACAAACCTTCTACCCTCCGTCGCAGCAGTATTATCATCCGCCAGGGCAACAAACTCAACCTCCCCAGCAGCATCCCCATGCATACTATACGCAACCGCCACCGAATGCAAGATCGTTTTAAAGATGGCTTTAATACATGGAACTGGTGGTGGCACCGTGTCATGGAGCGGTGTTTGGTGACTTTTTAAGCAGTCGCCGGCTGGGCCGCAGCAGCTGCAGCAGCGGCGTCCCGTCCACCGTGGTCCCACCTGGCAATGGAATGAGAACATGGCGATAACGATATGCACGTACGAGTATTTGCGGTAGAGCTGGGTGAGCCCCGTGCCAGCCATGAACACGTTGACACTGAACAAGTTCCAGTTCTTGGGCGTGACGACCAAACTGTACCGAGACCAGATGAGCCCGGTCAACGTCACCGCGTACTGCTGGTTCATCGACAGCAGGTCGGGGTTCTTGTTCATGTCGGCAATGTTGGCAATCGTGATTCCCCATTTGAATGCCGGCGCCCAGAAGTGCACTGCGACGACCATACAGTAAGTCAATCCACGGTGTGCTTGGAGGCATGCATGGAGGGATGCCGCCTACCTGTAAACGGTCCTGCAGGGTGGTTCAGGAAGTTCGTCAAGGTAGCGTTCTTGGCCACGAAATCATTCGCGAGGACGACTTGCTTCAACCGCGGGACAATGCTCGGGAGGACCATCGTGATACGAGGAATGAATATGCATCACCCACATCCACGTTGTGATGAAAGGTGGGATTGTGCAATCTACTTGTTTCTACCAATCCGAGACCTCTATTCCTATAGTATGGCTCCTGATTCACTATATTTTATCCAATGAAAATCCTATATCGGGTACGTTGAACCACTTAGGGTTAAAGTCGTAACCGGAACACTGGAGTTAAACGCCAAGTTTAACCTTATGATAAAGAAACGTTAAAACTTGGCCAATCACAGTCGAGGGGCGGATCTTCCCATTTTCGAACTCGAAGAACGATGAGCAACCACGAATCGGTCAAGGCCAAGTCGCAGCTGAAGAAGAGCACCCGCGCTCGCACGGCGCACACGGACTTTGTGCGCAAGTCCAAGCAGGTGACGCTGAATAAGCGCCGCCGACTTCCTTCGCAGGACATGGATAGTGACATGGACGACGTCGAGTTCCAGCAACTCGTGCAAGCCTTGCTTGCGTCGCCAGAGCACACGCTGCCCATCTTGGAGAAACTCAAGGCAGGGTTGTCGGTCTGCAGTGCCGCGCGTCTCGACAATGTCGCGGAATCCGGAGTGATTCCAATCTTGATCGACCTCCTGGAACGCCCGTCGTCCACGACGATGGAGTTGACCCAAGTGCTGTGGTGTCTCACGTTCATCACGTCCGGATTGTACGAGCACACAAAGGCCGTCTTGCCTGCCGTTCCCACGCTCCTCACGTTCCTACAGGTACATTGTTCCCTTTCTTGATCCTTCTCCTGTAGTTCATCATGTAGAACGCCGACTTATCCGAGCACGCCGCGTGGACGTTGGGCAACATTGCTGCCGACTGCGAGGAGTTCCGACTGCACTTGATCCGCCACGGCGCCATTGCTCCGCTCGTGGAGCATTTGCATCATCCCCAGCCCGCGATGCTCAAAGGTACGTACGTCTCTCATGGATCCGTATTCTCGAAGCCTAGCGTTATATCCCATTGTCCAGTGAGCTTGTGGGCGCTGTCCAACATGGCCAGAGGAGTGCAAACGTCCGCGAAGGCCTTCTTTGACCACGACATTGGCTCCATCTTGCTTGCACTGCTGCACGCGAACGACACGCCGGACGTGGTGCAGGAGCTGCTGTGGCTGCTCAGTTTCTTGACGGCCAAGGAGGACAAGTACCTCCGCTGGCTGCTCGACCACGACCTGTGGACAGGGCTGCTGCATCACTTGGATTCGAAAGACCCGGCCATCTTGACGCCGCTGCTGCGCGTCACGGGCAACCTGTGCTGCGTCACCCCCGAGGCCGCGGCGTGGCAGCCGCCGTACATCCACACGATCGCGTCCGAGCTGCGGTTCCTGTACATGCTCAAGCGCTTGTTGTGGCTGGACAACGACTCGTACGTGCATGCATTGCAATGGTTTTTTGGGTGATATTGTCTTGGCTACCTTTTGAGTCCATTTGGTGTGCTGTTTATTGTGCCATTTTTATTGTTGAAATCGCCAACAACAGTCGAACATATAAACAATATGATTGGCTAAAACGATGTGAAGGTTGCATGCATTCTGATTGGCTCAAGGGAATGATATTGTTATACGAGGCAATCGCCACGAGATGTACCTCTCACATTTTATACATTATATTTCAAAGGTCCGGCGATTGTTGTGCGGTTCATTCACATTGGCATTTTTTAGTAGAACACACAATATGGTGAATTCGGTATTGTCGATTTGATACAAATTTGGGGACGGGGTGCAATCGAATCGCGCCGACCAAACCGATCCACAATCGATCTGATTGGTTGTTGAATTTCATCGAGAAGGTTTGATTGGCTAATAATTTTGAGCTCATCTGAGGTAACCAATCAAATCGATTTAAATTCCAACGAGAAACCACAACACAATGAAATTTCACTTGCCAATTTCGCGTGGACTGTCAAATCAATAGATTGAATCACGTTAGAGCTCTGATTGGCTGGATATACATACTTGTCCTTTCACTAAGAGCCAATCAAATCCACTCAAAATTGGATTAGCCAATAATAGCGTCGATGATTCGTGATTCGGTGGCGCGATCATTCGATACCGAGTAGTCTACAATATGATTAGCCCATATTGAGCATGGCGGCGTCTATATATTTCTCGTATGGGGACGTTTTGGTACTTGTTTAACTGACTTGCTTGTTATAGCCATGTCGTAGCCGAAGCTGCGTGGGCAGTGTCAAATTTAGCCGCGCGGGACGCTGGCGTCGTGGCGTCGCTGGTCCAGCACGACTTTATCCCGCGCTTGGCCATGTGTTTCCGCGACGGTGGCTACGACATTCGCAAAGAAGTATGTTATCCAATTGATCTCCAATTCTCTACAAAGTATGACGATCTTGTTGCTCTTGTGATATAATGTGATTTATATTTTAGGCAGCGTTTGCGTTGACCAATATCGCTGTCACGTCCCCGTCGTATGCAGAGCAAATCGTGGCGTTGAATGTGTTAGATGGCTTTGTGCATCTCCTGTCGGGTACTTTGTAAATACATATTTATAAATGATATGCAGTGTATGGAGAATAATATATACATATATATATTCAACCAAGTATCTAGCCAACCCGCGAGTTAGATGATTTCATGACGATATTTTTGATCCTATTCATCTTGTACACACTACAACTATTCACAAAGATGAGTATATATATATATATATATATATCTGGTTTTACCCAATGGGCCGAATCAAACGTTTGGATTGGCAGAAATTCGACGTGACGTGATTTGATTGGTCCAGGCGGCTCTTGAATTCTTTCTTAGGCATTTGATTCTGATGAGATCTCCAATTTCGAATCAATTTGACGATATATAAATAGTCCCGGATCTGCATGTCGTGGGGACGGCCCTCCAGTTTCTTGAGAACGTACTGCGCCATGTTCCCCGAGGGGTGTACCTTGTCGAAAGCGCCGACGGCATTGCAGCCCTTGAGACAGTTCAAGACGGCCACAGCGACCTCCTTGCCACCAAAGCCGAGCAACTTGTGAACGAATTCTATGGCGAATCGTATGACGCGCCGTTCTCACCTCCCAGTGACCCCCCCCAAGGTATTGTAATTTTACCCAAAATTTTGTTGACTTTTGGGCTGATTCTTTACAAAGTATCTATTGTCGATTTGATACAAATTTGGGGAGGGGGTGCAATCGAATCGCGCCAACCAAACCGATCCACAATCGATCTGATTGGTTGAATTTCATTGAGAAATGGGTTTTGATTGGCTAATAATTTTTAGCTCATCTGAGGTAGCCAATCAAATCGATTTAAATTCCAACGAAAAACCACGCCACAACGCGAAATTTCACTCGAAAGCACAATATATCGATCGATTATTGTTTGTGTTAAGGACTTTTGTATGTAAAGATCGACCTCTAGTGTCACACTAATTGAAGTCACACACGAATTCGATGTGGATAATTTGATTGGCCATTTGAATAGTGTTGTGGGTTTTGATTGGTCGTATATGATATGGTGATTCTGCTCATTCGATTGACCGACTATTTATGAGATTCGAGTTGATTGTGCCGAAGGATGACGTGGGGGGTGATGATTGTGTGTGTGGGTAGCTTCGTTTGCTCCGATAGATGATGTCCACCCGCCGACGGCAGGCGGCCGCGGCCGCGGAGCGCACATGACACGACCTGCGTGGGCAACGCAATAACAAGTGCAGTACTAGTAGTAATATTGTCGATTATCTTCAAATGTCCCATTTTCCCATGGCTCGTTCAACCAAGTACTACTAGAGCCGAGGCATGTGATTGGTGGCTAGAAAATCAACGAAATTGATATTGTAGCCAATCAGCAACAAGTAATAGAGCTGAGGCATGTGATTGGTGGCTAATTATATCCACTTTGACCTATCCGGTAGAAAATCGACGAAATTGATATTGTAGCCAATCAGCAACAAGTAATGTCGGATTGTGACCAATGGGAGAGGAGTTCCTAAACCCTTAATCAATACATGTAGTACTACTACGTATATTGATACCTTACAGATAGTTCAACGCAGTCCACTAACGCTTACTTCAAGTTGTAACAATAGATCAACGAGGGTCATTCATATAATACATGTATACTAGCATATGTACGCATTCACAGTCAAATATATCGGCACTAGTTTCGATAACTACTAGGGCACCAGTCATCGGCGAGAGGATTCAATACATTACACAAGTCTAAAACGTGTGCCGATGACTGGTGCCCTACAAAAAACGCTACTTTTGAAAATCCTTACTGCACGTGTTGACTATTGAAATTGATATCCTTTGAACCTCAATTCATGAGCTGAATCTTGCGGTTATTTTGATATTTGTATCACCTCAATATGTGTTGTAGTCAACGAGAAATCGACGAACAAAGTAAGCAAAGAGCAATGCTGATGACTGGTGCCCCACGTTAACAGGTTAAGTGACATCCCCCCACTCTGGCATTACAGAAGTTCGTAGTACAAAAGACCATACTTTATCTTTCTATCTTTTGAATACTATAATATATTATAAATGAAATAATATTTGTATTTTTCAGAAAACCTCTAGATGAATAATACATGTATATGCACAGCCACTTGGATGGGAAGTTTGTATTGATTGGTTTAGGCACAACACCATCATCATGTATCCATCCATCCATCCTTGCATTTGCATCGTCGTCGGTACACACATCTCTACGCCGCCTTGTCGGGCAGAGGCGCCAATTCCACGAGCACATGTCCGTCCGAGACAAAGTCGCCGACTTGGCAGTTGACGTCGGCCACAGCGCCATCCCGCGGCGCCCGAATCACATGCTAATACCATGAAATCCTGTCAAAAATGCATTTCCAAACAAGTACTACTACATCGACACACAAACCTCCATCTTCATTGCTTCCATGATCAAGAGTGGCTGGTCTGCGACGATGGCATCACCTGCTTTGGCCATGACCTTGACGATCTTGCCAGGCATGGGCGTGACCAGCGACGCGGCGCCGCCGGCACTCTGGCCCTGGCTGTCGTAGGATGGCTCGGGCACACGCAGCTTGTACTCGTACGCGAGGGTTCCGTCGTCGCAGAACAGATGCACATCCTGCTTGAACACGACCGCCGTGCCCGTAAACGTTTCGTTGCCCACCGTGAGTTTGAAGTCGCCCGTGGAAAAGTCCACATGGTGCACTGTGACGTTGGCCCCGTTCACAATGTACGACTTGCCGTCAGAAGTGGTGGCCGCCACGTCCAAATCGATAGGGGTGTCGTCGTGAAGCAACGTAAATGTGCGGTGAAACGTGTCGACAGATCGAAAGTTCTGGAGCAACGTCCACGGAGACCCAGCATCTAATTGAATCACGTTAGATCCATTTTTATTATATATGGGAGTCTTGTTTACGGAGTTAGTATATCGTAATATGCGACAAGGACGCTCGTTCCAGATGATATCCACAACGAGCATCGATAAATAGTAATGTGTCATACTACTAGTATTTCATAGTCATGGGGAAAGGTCATTTGTGGAGACAAATAAATAAATATATATATATGGAAATCTATCAAGTATATGTTCGAGAATATATATATATATTTGTACCCGAGACGATGGGTGCAAAACGCTGCGACTGGTGCTGTTGCTTGAGGACCAACCAGATCGCCGTCAAGATGGGTGCGTGCGACGGAATCGTTGAAAACGGGGTCAGCACGTCGTCGCCGTATTTCTACATATATATATATCAAATCAGAATATTATATTATATATATATATATATCAGCCTACGAGAAGGAAACTCGTGTCGACGCCGCCTTTGATAAATTCCGGGTGCGCGGCCGTCCGCGCGACAAACTCAATGTTTGTGGGCAGCCCCACAACCTACATATAGATAGCATGGTCTAGTTTTAGTGTCCGAACAAGTTCAAATACGACATACCTGGTATTGACCCAGGGCTTGGACGAGCCCTTCGATCGCTTCCTTGCGCGTGGGCGCGTGTACGACGAGCTTGGCGATCATGGGGTCATAAAAGATGGACACGGCGTCGCCCTGGAGGATGCCCGTGTCCACGCGGACAGAGTCGGTGAGGGGCGGGAGGCGGAGGTGGTGCAAGGTACCGCTGCCGGGCAGAAAGTTGCTACGTACGTTGCATAGCAACGGTTGAGTCTTCAAGAAGACCCATTCATTTCCATGGCACGGTATTCCGATATATTTCAATTCACGATGTTTTAAAAACAGATCACAAAGACAAAATGATATGTTTCGGAAAGAATCGACTTGAACATATTGTGAATTCGCTATAAATTTCCAAAATTCGCATAGTTGGTCTAATCACGCTGGAGTTCTGATTGGCTGACTATACTTGTCCTTTCTGTAAGAGCCAATCAAATCCACTCAAAATTGGATTGGACAATAGCGTAGATTCGTGATCCATTCGGAGGCGTGATTTGATTCGACGGGGTCTGGAAATTTGTACCGAATCCACAATACATCAAGCAATATTAATACATACATATTCATGATTTAGAAAAATAATATTATGTTTGGATTGGATGTGTTTGGAATTTAAATCGATTTGATTGGCTACCTCAAAAGGGCTCAAAATTACTATTAGCCAATCAAAACCTTCTAAATGACATTCAACAACCAATCAGATCGATTGTAGATCGGTTTGGTCGGCGCGATTGATTCGATTGCACCCCGTCCCCATATTTGTGTATCAAATCGACCATATTCGATTATTCCACGTTTGCAGAATAATCAAAACAGTCATTCAAATCCGCTCAAACAAATGACAGACAGATTCAGCCAATCAATCACATGACCGATTCCACAGTACAACCACGAGACCGTGCCATATTACTTGTAGGGGTTTTCGGCGTAGATGCGCGCTTCGATCGCGTGTCCGTGGATGCGGAGGTCGTCTTGGCGGACCGGCAGTGCCTGGCCAGCCGCAACTTTGAGCTGTAGCTCGACCAAATCTTGCTTGGTGATAAACTCGGTCACTGGGTGTTCCACTTGCAGCCGCGTGTTCATCTCCATAAAGTAGAACGACTCGTCTTCGTCCAAGAGGAACTCGACGGTGCCGGCACCGACGTACCCCACGGCCTTGGCGGCGGCGACGGCGGCGTCCCCCATCTTTTTGCGCAGCGCGTCCGACATGTGTGGCTACAAATCATCGTTCCATGAACGTGGTGGCTAAGAGGACAACTAAAAACGTACGGCCGGGGCTTCCTCCAACACCTTTTGATGGCGGCGCTGGACACTGCAGTCCCGCTCGAACAAGTGCACGACGTTCCCGTGCTTGTCGCCAAAGATCTGAAGCTCCACGTGACGTGGCCGGCGGAGGTACTTCTCCACGAGGATGTCCGTGCTTGCAAACGACGCCTTGGCTTCGCGGACGCACGCTTCCATGTTATCCTTCAAGTCTTCTTCGCGGTCGACAATGCGCATGCCCTGCGACAGAGATGGCAGTTGCTCGTGTCAAGTCGATTGGAGACGGGGGTGCTCTCATTCGAATGAGCAGAATCACACGAAATCGGCACACAATCGATGCTCGACCAATCAAAACCCAGAATACTAATCACGTGGCCAATGAAATTCACTCTTCGACCAACACAACACCGAATTAGTGTGTGACTGAAATTAGTGTGACACTGGAGGTCGATCTTTGCATACAAAAGTCAATACAAAGTATCGATCGATAGATTTGGCGAATCAGCACAAAAGTCCAAATTAATTTTGGGTAAAATGACCATATTGAGTTTTGTCGATTTGATACTCAATATGGTCCTTTTACCCAAAATTAATTTGGACTACTACAAATTTGGGGAGCGGATGCAATCGAATCGCGCCGACCAAACCGACCCACAATTGATCTGATTGGTTGTTGAATTTCATTGAAAAGGTTTTAATTGGTTAATAATGTTGAGCTCATCTGAGGTAGACAATCAAATCTATTTAAATTCCAACGAGAAACCACAACACAATGAAATTTCACTCGAAAGCACAATACTGCGTAACATTTTTTGGCGTTTCGGGTACTTTTCAAGTCATTGAATATCCCAAACACTGTACCTTGCCTCCGCCACCCAACACGGCCTTCAATAGCACGGGGTACCCAATCTTGGCCGATTCCGCCTTGATCCTTTCGAAACTTTGGTCGTCGCCGTGGTATCCAGGCGTGACGGGCACACCCGCGGCAATCATAATGTCCTTGGACGCACTAAGTGTGTGTGGTAGGTGCAGCACCACATGTCAGCAAAGGTCGGGTCCAGATGCTGCTGCACCTATGCTACTACATCGAGTCCGTACCTCTTGGAACCCATGGCTTCAATGGCTGCGACGGGCGGTCCGATGAATTCGACGCCCACGGTGGCACAGGCCTTGGCAAACGCAGCGTTTTCAGACAAGAACCCGTACCCAGGATGGATCGCTTGGGCGCCGGATTCCTTTGCAATGCGGAGGATTTCGTCGAAGAGAAGGTAACTCTCGGCCGCAGGAGGTGGTCCCAACCGGTACGCTTCGTCTGCCATCTTCACATGCTGCGCGTTCGCGTCAGCATCCGAGTAAACGGCGACCGTGCGGACACCGAGCTTCTTGGCAGTGCGCTGGACGCGGCATGCAATTTCACCACGGTTGGCAATGAGAATCTTAGAGAACATGGGCGTGCCTTCACTGCGCGCGAAGGAAGAGCTCCATCGAGAGACCAGCGGACACGACGTCAGCGCGCGGCGACCTAGCTTCAGCATCGCAAGGTACTTTTGACAATGGCGGCGGCATTGCCATCACACTTTGCTGCAATTTTATTGTGAAATCGCGAAATCCCCGGGATCTTCATACAATTCAAGGGACAATTAAATTCGTTGGGTATTTCATGACGCTCGGCAGCGTCCGTATCCGTATGATTGTGGGTGTCGACAATTGTGATTGGTTATAACATGGTTTTCCGGATACCAGCTGGCCTACCACGTTGAACTTTGGCGGCTCAAGTCACGACTCACAGCGCGAACATTAAAGCGTGGCGTGATTGGCTATAATTCGTTTATAAACCTGCTCGGATGGACGAGATTAGCGTGTTGCTTGTATCTTCTGGGCCAGAAAGGTTCACTTCAGATGTACTGTACTGCCCTCTGTCAGCGCCTCCATGATGGACAAATCCTTGTTAAGGGCTGCACACTGTACCATAACTACCGGGAGTATACTTTGCATATGCTGTTTCCAGCAGTGGAACCCCAATCCCAACACTATTCGTACGTCGAAGTATTGGCGTGGTGGGGCTTACCCGGGGTTGAAATCCACGATCGATAACGTAGGGCAAAGCGACGTGGTCGCGGGAAAGAAGAGGGGGTGGTACTGTACTGTAGAGATTTTGGAAAGCACTTTATCAGGCGGTCGCTTGGACAGAAACACAGCAGCCACGTTACTATTTCCGTCCAAACGGCGACGAACGAAAGTGCAGTGAAATCTACCACAGCTTGCGAGTTGTGGCGGCAACTTTGCTGCTTGGGCATGTGAACACTTTTTTGTAGTCTTTCCAAAGTCGAAACACACACAAATTCATAGTAACGTTAGTCGAATTTGCAACCAAATACAATCAATATGTGTATCTGGGTCGTTTGAGAAAATTTGACAAATATTTCAATCACGGGAAAATGTCATCGAGAATCGTAAAAAGTACATGACTACGTACAATAATAGTAGCCATGAAACCAAAGACTTGCCTCGCTCAACCATCGACATGGGCAACAAGCCTACGTACTACGTCCAGCTAACAAGAAGCCTCTTGCACATTGTATTCGGCATATCGTAACTCAAACCTCCGGACGTTGCAGGGCAATATGTATCGCCAACCCTGTGGCGTAAACGGGGATACTAATTGCCCTGTTGGCACAGCCTTGGTTGTTGAGGATGGCCTCATTGAACAAGCGTTGGGTTGTCTGGACTTGGTTTGATTGCTACATATGTACTCACAACAATCGCACTACTGGTATGTACGTACTTCTTTGCTCGACATTCGTGGACGGGAGCTGCAGGGGCTATAACGTAGTGTACGTACACTGTACCTTACTCCGAGAAGTTTGGTATCGCAACGCTAAGCAATCGACACCTACCGGACTCTTCTCGATGGGATCGACGGCGTTGAGAAATGAATCGTCAGGCAAGACGTTGACCTCAACCAGACTCGAACCAGAAGAAGTTGCAGTTGTCGCCGCCATCTTCCAACTGTGCGGTTGTTCCCAGATTCGACTCATGATCTTCTACGAACGTGGACAAGCTGCGACAGCGTCGCCACTTGAAGTTGTCGCATTACACATGACCATCAAACACGGCGCCAAGCCAAGTCAACGCAGGTTTGCTCCATGTTCAATGCTGCAAGCCCCCTTGAATACTCCGGCGGCTCCACTGCTTGCGGTGCTAAGCAACAACTTGTGGTGCTCACTTCATGCGCGTTAATGAAATGTCCCCTTCATCCAATACTACAGTACTTTACTGTACATACCATGGGATACAGTACAGTACCCGGTAGTACTGTATAGTACAGTAGCATCATCTGATAAATGCCACGCCACAACCAGATCTTTTCACACTGGATATACCTATAAGTACTACTGTAGTACTATTCATTCCAAGTAGAGTGTGTTTGTTGCAAATGTACGGTGTACACTGTCCCACCACTGTCATGGTGTACACTGTCCCACCACTCTCATTGCTTTGAACGCCTCTACAATCGTCGACCGCCGCCCATGGCCTTGTTCGTGGAACTCTCTTGGACAAAGATCATGTCATTTTGTCCCCCGACTTTTGGGGTATACAGCTAGCTCCATTTGGAGGTCGACCACCTCCATCGGCTTGGTTTGAGCTCTTCTGTCGTCGTCGCTACTAGTACAGTACATACCGTATGTACATCCTTGCAACAGTATAATACGTCCGGTTGCAATGGCTTGGTGGATTCATGGATGCTCAAGCGTACATATTGAATGATGTCAAACAATAAGATCTAGTTGATGAGTCGTAACGGCCTACATGTACAGTATTAGGGGCTGGTTGGGGAAGCAATCCGTCCATCACGTCAACGTGGAACTAAATCGATCTCATATTTTCGGTAAAGCGACGTAGGGGTCGTCTTACAAATTCCAAGTGTATATTCCACGAATATACAAACCGCGAGTCTATTTTCTCGGCCCTGAGTATGTTCAAAACGCGCTGTCGACACTTGACATGTGAAAGTTCTTGTGCTTTGAAGTGGATAGGGCCAGGGTCAAGCGTTAGCCAATCCGATCCCTCCATGTCACCAGCTGCGCGGTTGACGGACCAATGGAAATTCGAAAGAATGCAAGTCACGGGTAATTGCGTTCTGTAATTTTTTACGCCCCGCGGCAAGATCCTTCGAACAACCACATGTATTTAAATTTGAGCGGCCGGAATTTCTCCTAAGTACGGACACTTGCAGTACAAATCATAGGCAAAATGTTGATTTGGTCCGTGTAAGTGCGATTTCCAAATCGCAATTTTGAGAAACGTTCAACTTTCGAATTCTCCGGTTCACAATTCGCAATTTGATTGCTTCTGGAAAGACCGTTGTGCAACGCCTGCGCCGCCGCCGACTGCAATCACCCCCAATCGCGATGTCGACGATCAAACAACCCGCCACCCACTCGTTCCTCGCGAGCGCGACCAAGAAGAATGATACTCTCCTTCGCGTCAAGGAAGAAGTCTTGTCACCGAAGCAAACCGTGCCAGCCATTTCGCTTGTTACCCCCAGCAAGCTCAAGATCCCGGCGCCTGTTCCCACCGCGGCGAAGAAGCGAAAAAACGTCGTGCACTCCCCCGTGGGCAGTGAATGCAGCACCACCTCCACCTCAAGCAACTCGAGTGCCAAGAAGCGCAAAGCCAGCGTGAACGACGACCTCTTCGACCTGAACGACATGGGGTCCGCAGAAGAAAAGATCAAGGAGATGGAACGTCAGCTGCTCAGTTTGGACCCTGACTCCAAAGAAGCGAAGAAGAAGCGACGATTGATTCGCAACCGCATGTCTGCCCAGCTGCACCGCGAACGCAAGAAGGCGTACGTCGTTCAATTGGAAGAACAACTGCAAGCCAAAGATGACGAGATGCAAGCCCTCAAAGCTCAGTTGGATGCGTTGAAAGCCGAAAACTCGCGTTTGAAGGACAGCGACATCCCATCAATCAAGCTTGAACAACCCACCGTTTCTGTCAACGCCGCGGAGCATCCGGTGGTTGCCGCAGAAGCCACTGCGTTTGACACGGACGCATTGATCTATGACTTGGAATGTGAACCTGATCATTGGGATTCGTCGATTTTGAATGACTTGGACTCGGACATGCTGGAATTCCCCGACCAAACGGCACCAACCGCAATCCCCGCCGCAGCGCCCCGCAAGTCGGCCGAGATCCACGATTCGTTCGTTGCCAAGAAGAACTTGGCCATGATGATGGCGATTGTGTTTTCCATGACATTCTTCGGCGGCATGATGTCGATCTTCGACACAATTTCGTCTGGCTCGGGCTCCGGCTTCTGCTCATACTTCAAGTCGTACTCCCCCAAGATGCTTGGCGACATGAGCGTCAAGTCGCGCGTTTTGTCGGACTTAGAAGGCACGACGTGGATGGATTTCCCTGAAATGAACGAGTCGGAGCCCGCCAAGGAGAAGGACTCGTCGTCGGACCATAACCAGTACTCGCACGGTATTCCCATGGACGACTTGTTTGACGACATCTCTATGTCGTTTGCCATGCCCCTCGAAGATGACGAGGAAGAGGAAGATGAAGACATGATGGGCGGTAGCGACAGCGGCTCCACCTCCGAAGAAGATAGCGGTTCGGACAGCAACTACGTCAAACCAACCAAGCTCGTACTGACCAAGAAGGACTTGAGCTACGCTAACCTGACCCGTCTGTGGTGCGAGAAGCGCAGTGTGCTGTGCACGTTGGCATCGGCTGGCGAAGAAGTGAAGCACGCCGTGGTCGACTTGAGCCATGTGGAGGACTCGATGGCGATGGAAGTATCGTTTGCCGAAGTGTTGGCGTCGTTTACCACGGGCGCTGAAGACCCGAAGGTGCTCGGGTCCACGGAGAAGCAAGTGTTGAGCTTTTTGTATCCCATGGGCGTCTTTTCAAGGGACGAAACCACCACGGTGGACCTCGCCGTGCTGGAGCCGCTGCCGTTCATGGAAGTGGCATGTCATATTTAATCGCCATGAAGTCGACGACCGCGTATATATTAGACCCAAGTGTATTATTATTTTCAAATTCACCCAATTTTTGTCCTTTTGCAATCCACTTTGCGGCATGTGTCACCAGATGATTGGACAAAAGCATTGAAGTAGACATTTTCAATTGGTTGCCATTGTGAATTATACACACCAGTCATTTTCACGGTGTCTGATTGGATATTTGCGAGCGTCAAACATACTAGTACAGTATACTGTTAACTAAACTATGGTATAGAGAAAAGGAGTTCAAACGACATGAGTGTTGTGATTGGTTAATTCCATTGTGTTGGTCATTATATTTCTGGTCGCAACGTGTGAGTCGACTAATTTGGCTACAACCCAGAGCTCACGCGTGGTACTCCACAGTATTATTGGGGAGTTTTAGAGCGCCATGTAATTCATTTCTAAAGGAATTGGACTCTTGCGGCGAGAGTGTTTTTACTCAAACACTATCACACAAAGTACTCGAGCCACAACCTTATTACTGGTTGCCCGCTATTAGCGGCACGTCCGATGCGACCTGGGTTTCGCCCTGCTGTAGCCGAGTATGTAGATTCGGCACCCCCCTCTGTTTGATATCAAGAGCATTGGTCCCGGACTATCTATATACCGGTACAATAATGAGGGACTTGATCACATGCTACGTTGAAGTTATTCGGGTTCAATAGTACTACTAGTAATACAGCAGCACCTACTACAATAACTACAGTACAATAGTAGTAGTTTAGTTAGTAATATTAATAGGTAGTAATAGTAATACTACGTACAGTAGTACCTTGAAGTATAGAATAGAATTTATAGTACAGTACTGTACTATAGTAGTACTATTAACGAGAATAATCCAAATCTGGATTGGATATATTTACATATACCATGTTTTTTTTCGAGATTCGATCATTTACTGTTGCTTGCCATGTCTCGTATTAATATTACAAGTTTTAATATTATTATGCAAGTTTTGAGATGATCAATCGCGTTACGAATTTACGACAGGTGGGTGGGTTTGCCGAATCAAATCTGCGCATACATACTCATCGCATATTCCCACCACAAAACCATGGTGTCGACACTACATTCGGATATATATATATATATATATATGTTCTTATATGTACGTACATATTGGTGGCCGGCCTCTTCCTTGGAATGTCTTACAGTCCTCTGACAGTGACTTTGATGCCGCTTAAGCTGGACCTTTGGCCCTACCAAATGATCGCTTGACTGAAGGGATCGGCGGCTCCTCTCCAGACACACTACAGTAGCGCTGTGGTCCACATCAGTTACCTACCACCGATCACGTTCAATCCATTGTCAAATGACCCAATCAGTTGGACTATCCGGTGGCGTTAGTCTGTCTCCCCAAGGCGGCGGAAGTCGCCTCCGGGACGAGAGCATGTGGTTCGCGGCACAGAGCTGAATGGTGTTCGTGTTTTTGTAAATTTGTGACTTGATATTTGTATGCAATATAATATATTCCCATCGAACTTTCGACGGGACCATCACTCTTTCTGTTCTTCTTGCACTCAACTCAACTCAAGGTTGCTACGGCCTACAAGGATGGGACGACCGATCATTCTGCATTTTGCACTCTTCCTGCGTCGTCATTCTCATGGATCAGTACAAGACGGACAAGGTGTTGGCTAAGGCCCTGTACGGCAAGGTGCTTCTGTGCACCGACAAAAAGAGCAAGCAGGTCGTGGTGATCAAGCGCATCCAGCTCGATGCCGCCAAGAAGCGAAAGGCGCTGGCCGGCGGGGTCAAGGTCATGGAGGACGCCGAGATGGAAAAACGCACATATCGAGCCCTGCGCGAAGCCGGTGGCCATCCGCACGTCCTCCACATCTCCAAAGACTTTGTGGACGGCGGGTTCGACCACTTGGTCCTCGAATACTGTGCCCGCGGCGAATTGTTCCAGGAACTCGAGCTGCAGCCCGGCCACCGCCTCGGCGCTTCACGCGCAAAGGAATGTTTCTCGCAGATCGTCCATGGACTGTCCTTCATGCATGAGCAAGGCATTGCCCACGGCGACCTATCCCTCGAAAATGTGTTTGTCGACAGGCACGGCACTTGCAAACTCGGTGACTTTGGCTTGGCGACCGACATGAAGGCGCTCAAACGACACTGCGCCGGCAAGTTCTTTTACATGGCACCGGAAATGTACATGGGTCTTGAATACGATCCCGCCGCCGCCGACGTGTGGAGTCTCGGCATCATGCTGGTCATGATGGTCACGGGCACCCCGCTCTTTGACCGCGCCACGCCCGCCGACGCCGGCTTCCGCTTCATGAAGGCCAAGGGATTGCGCAGTATTTGCCGCGAATACGGGGTGGCGGTGCCCCCAGACGACGTGATGGACGTATTGGAGCACATGCTCCAGGTTCAGCCGAGCGATCGATGGACGCTAGCCCAAGTTCGAGATCATGGCTACGTCCAAGCACAAGTGCATTCAATTGCCGACGACAAACTGACAACGCTGATGCGACACTGCTCCGTGTCGAGCATGGCGGCTTGAGACGTCGATGATAGATTAGCCAATACACCATAGAATGTTATATATGTGTAAGTTAGTATTATTATAAAATAGGTTTGAATCAAGTGCAAACTCCTTCAAAGTGTACAACGTCAACCCAACCCAAAATGCCGCCGTCTCCAAAGGGCGGAAAACGTTCAGTTTCGTCGGCACTTGTCGAAAGCGCCAAGTTCCAGCAGCTCCCATAGCGATTGTAGTTGTTTTACTAGTACTTCGTGTTTGTTGTCGGCGAGTGTATGTAGTAGGTGGAGTTTCCCTCTGACATGTACACAAATGAAAGAACGTGATTATATTATATACATTGGCTACACATAAGGACGTTGGGGGATGCCGCCGCCGCCTGCTTGTGCATCTTTATTGGACGCGCCTCGACTAAACACTTCTTTGGGCGGGCGATGCGTGGTGCCGACAAGTCCATCGTCCGCTTCGTGGGTTTGGTTGAACTTGGCGAGGCGAAATGCAAACGCGGCGACCACGAGCACCGCTACGACGGCTGTCACGATGCCCACAAGAACCAAACTATTGGTGCGATTGGTCCCAATGATAGCAGCTGGCACGAGCGCGCTATAGTCGAGTGTTTCGCCGTCCTTTACAGCAGCTAGTTGCTGCATTTGGACGGCTTTGAGCTGCCCCAGGCCGTGGGATTGCAAGGCGGCCGTGAACGCCGTCGAAACCAGCGACTCGGTCAAGTTCTGGTACAGAGCGACGGTGGTGGCGTTGGTCGTGACAAACGCGAGGCGAATCTGACACGCGCCTGCCTCCCACGACGACGTCGACGATGATGTCAGCTCCACGACCTGCACGGGGACGCCCGCAAAGGTCGCCGCCGCGGCCACCGCCGCCTCCACGAGCGTTTGGTTGAAGTACGCGACGGCATACCCGTCTAAATCCAGCAGCGCGTGCACGTACGACGTGGCCTATGCACATCATACCCAAGCCAACGGCGGTTACATTCCATGAAGAATACACCAGTGAACAGTTACACGTCGAGATTGGTTTATTTCATGCAATATAAAAGACAAAAAGTACAGTACGTCGAGAGGCGGTAGGCAGCGATGGAACCCGCCGGCGCTGAATGAACCGATCGGACACGCCGAGCACAACGACGAGTTGGACGACAGACAGGCCGAGCCTTGGTCGCACCCGCACGGAATGCAGTTGGTCGACTCCCCCGTGGAATAAAACCCCTCAGCACACCGCACGCAGTCGTCTTTGGAAGTTGACGCGCCTGGGGGAGCCGAAAATCCCGTGGGGCAGCTCGCGGGTCGGCAGGCCGCTGACCCGCCAGGAGAGTACGTGCCTGCCAAACACGAGGAACACTGTCGGTCGACTACATCTGCACCCTACCCCGACACTTAATAATGAACAATCGAAACGAGAAGTACGAATAAGGGGGGGGGGTATGTACTTTGGGAGAGGTGGTGCCGGGTGGGCAAGCGGTTGGCAGGCACGGGGCAGACCCGCCGGGGGAGAACGACCCGGCCTTGCACACGAGGCAGGAGCTTGTGGGGGATGTCGCAGCGGAGGCGTTCGCGCCGGACCCCGGGGCACATGTCATGGGGAGGCAGTCACTTTGGAGACCTGGGGAATAAAACCCTTCCTCGCACACTCGGCACTGCGCGGTGCTGTCGGTGGCGCCTGGAGGAGACCCAAATCCCGGTGCGCAAGCGGTGGCATTGCACGAACTATCCCCACCAATGCTAAAGAACCCGCCTCCGCATTGGATGCACGATCCGTTGACTGTCGCTGCACCAATGGTAGAAGCAAAACCAGGTAAGCAGGCGGTGGGCCCATTGCAAGCTGCAGTTCCACCAGGTGAGAATGTTCCCAAAGGACACGGAGAACACTGAGCCAGCGCATCAGCTGCACCGACGTTGGCCGCCGTTCCTAAGCACAATCCGTCAAAAATCATCATATATTGCGAATGTACAGAGCTAAGAGGCGGCAACCACAATAACTAAATACGCTAAGTGTACCTACCTGGAGGACAAGTGGTAGGAGCACAGGCGGTAGACCCCCCAGGGCTAAACGTGCCTTGTGCACACTCGGAGCAATTGAGGGTTGCGTCGCTCGCGTTTCGTGGTGAGGCTTGGCCAGGCGGACAGTGGGTGACCTGGGGAATGGCAGAACCCCCAGCGCAGAATCGACCCGAGTTGCAGATGGTGCAATTCGCTAGTGGGTCTGTCGCGCCTGGAAGCGCTGAAGAGCCAGGTAGGCATGTGGATTCCCTGCACTGATTGGATCCGCCTTCACTGAAGTACCCAAGTTCGCAGCGATGGCACGAGGCGGTCGCATCAGTCGCGCCGACATCTGCCGACTCCGCGCCAGGCGGGCACAGCGTGGGGTGACACGTGTCACTGCCCCCACTTGAATAGTAACCCTGGTCGCACGGCGTGCACTTGTCCGTCGCCGTCGACGCGCCTGTAGAATTAGAAATGTCAATACTCATTGTAAGAGTATGTATGTGTTGGTTGGCTTACCGGGAGGGGAGCTGGAGCCAGGTGTACAGGTAGTATCAGCACATGACGTGGCACCACCAGGACTATAGTGGCCTCCAGGGCACTGTGTACATTCGGCCGTAGCACTACTCGCTCCAGCAGGGGCCGCGAATCCGGCCTCACACGCGGTGAGCTGGCACGCACTTGTCCCCCCCGGACTGAATTGACCAGCTGCACACAACACGCAGCTAGCATTTCCGTCGGAAGCTCCTTGGGGAAGCATGAAGCCGCCCAGACACGTGGCAGGCGTGCATTGACCCGAGCCCCCGACACTGAAATAGCCCTGGGGGCAAAGGCTGCACATGGCGTCGGGCAAATGGTTGGCGTGCACATCCGACGCAAAACCTGGCTTGCATGTTGTGGGCAAGCAGGGCGACTTTTGGCCGAGACTGAAGTACCCGGGCTCGCAGGCGACGCAATTCGCCTCGCCGTCGCTCGCCCCTGCTACTGCCCCAAACCCTTGGGCACAAGACGTAGACTTACAGTGGGCGTCACCGCCAGGGGAATACGTGCCGGCAGGGCACAACTCACAGTTGTCAGCGGTGGTGGAGCCTTCGGGGGCGAAGTACCCTGGGGCACATGTAGCCGGGTGGCAAGTCGACGACCCCCCAGTGGAATACGTTCCGACAGCGCAGCCAGTGCAATTCGACGCCACCGAGGAGGGCACGTTGGAGCGCCATCCTGGTGGACATGTAGCTGGTTGGCACGCGGCGTCACCTATGCGAGCTGTTTGGTATGGTATGTGGTGGTGGTGATAGCCGTACCGGAGGCTGCAAAGAATCCAGGGTCACAGGGAGTGCAAGCTTCCGCGGCGCCATTAGAAGCTGCACCGTCGGGACATTTGGTACAGTTATTTGGTGTGTTGGCAGTGGCAACGCCCGCCGACCCCGGGGCGCACGTCATGGGTTTGCATTGGGTGTCGTTGCCCGTGCCAAAGTACCCGGCAGGACAAGCTTTACACGTGGCAATGGGGTCTGTGGCCTTGAGCGCCGATGAGGCAAAGCCGGGTAAACACGTCGTGGGCTGGCACATGGACGTGGCGCCAGTGCTATATGTTCCAGCTGTGCATGGCACGCAGTCGTTGGGGTTGTTGGAGCCGAGCGGCATTTCATATCTACGTGGATTTATAGAGACCGAACACAACGCCAACAAAAAGTGTACCCTGGACTGCAGTCAGCAGGGTGGCATATGGACTGACCACCAATGCTAAATTGGCCTGGGTCGCAAGGATGACAATCCGTCTGGTTCACAGCGCCTGCAAACGCCATCGATCCCACAGGACATGTGACGGGCAAGCAACCTGCCGAGTCGCCCCCGACACTGAAGAGCCCTTGGATGCACTTGGTGCAGCCAGTGCTAGTCGTGGGGTCGTCCCCGTAGCCAGGCTTGCACGTGGCTGCCGTAGAATACTGTAAGGCCAACCCAAGCAGCAGTAGCTGTCGCAGTCGCTGCATTCTTGATCCTAGTTCACGACAAAGTAGCGAGTGGTGCGAGGGAAGCATCGTTCGAACAACAAGCAGACTTTCGAACAAGTGCAAACCGTATCACACTTGTTGTTCCGATTGTCCATCCAAAGGGCAAAACGGAAGATTGGAGTGAGTTTCCCCGAAGCGACACATGCGTGTCGAAAGTAGTTTGGGCTCATTTAGTACATCCCGGTCTAAAGATGCACCGACTAATCAAGGGCGTGCAAAACCAGCTTGTACCAACGTTAGTATGTGTAGTCGCGGCTATTGTGTGGCTTGACTTGGGCTTCCCATTATCAACACCCGAAACTGTACAGAGTAACGTAACTACGGTACGCTTCTTGGGGAGAATCAAACATCGGATGGCGACCCCACAGTGCACATGGATACATTGGGGTTTTATCGTTTCCGATGCAAAGGGGATTCGTCGAAGGGGTTGTCGACCATTGTTGTGTCATACTACCGGTAGTACAGTGTATCAGCGCCACTTTCGATATCGGTAACGTTACCCAGGGTCCACAATAACTTGCAGGCGTCTTTGGTTGTTAATAGGCGGTACTTCGTATGCAGGCGTATTTGGTTGTTACTAGGTAGTACTTCGCATGAGGTACTATGGCTACACGTGGTACTAGAACTAAAGTAGTATTAAATAGGAACGGTTAGATTAATTGCCAGCGGTCGCCTCCAGAAGCAGCTCGAGGAGTTTCACTTCATCCAAATCTAGCAGTGTATGATCGTCGTCGTAGGGGTAGCAATCACCCATGAGCATTGTGGAGGGGGAGCTACACAACGCGTCGCCCCAGAACCGCACGCCAGATTGTTGTTCCGCTGCTATCGACGGCTCGCTTTTGATTTGAAGGTGTTTTCGCTCTTGTGACGACAGAATTGCGCGCTGCCTTCCGTGGCGCTGGCAGTAGCCCCCATTGCGGGACTGCGACAAACATCCTTTCGCATCGCATCGTCTCCCGCCCCCGTGGGCGACGCAGCGCTGCCTGGCGTGGGCAAACTTGGTGCATCCTTCGACTTCACACGACCGTTTCTTCTTGGTTTGGCCGTGGCGGCTGCAAAAGCCACCGATACGGGCGTTCGCGTCACAGCCAAACGACAAGCACGGCCGCTTGCCTCCATGGGACACACAGTAGCCCCGACCACACGCTTGGTTGCGGCAGTGGTGGGCACTGCACTTGTCGCGGCTGCGGTGGAATATGCACTTCCAAGAGCCTGCTTCACTCGGGTTCTGGCACGAATTGAAAAAACAACACTCGGCAGCCAACATTTTAATCCCCAAATGAAGCAGCACAGCGCACCACAACACTATCGGACGTGAAAATTTCGCGCCCAAAAACTACTGTAAGTCAGCCACATGAGAGTTACTCACCAAGTCCCCTGAAACCCTGGTACTGCAGCAGGTGGACTGTGCAGTAATCTGTCGTCCATCAGCAAGGTCATGCAAACGCGAACGCTGGCACGAAGTGTGCACAACTAAGGCACCAGTTCAGTGTCTTCACCATTCATCAGGGGGTGTATGATATTGTCCCCACGTAAAAATTGAATGTGTACGAAAAAATAGCTTTGCAAGCCCCGTATCTACAGTAATTACGGTATTTGGCATTGAATTTTTGGGTTGTTGTTTCCACACAACACATTGCGCACTCAGAATTGCATTGTTCAAACTGGTGATGTATAGCACCAACCGATTGTGATAATATGAACAAATTAAACAACGAGAAAACCTCCGCCTACCAAGCCACGCACCTGGCACAACGGTTTATGGAAACATACAGTGTTATTACCTTCGAGGGCGTTCGCAGGGGGGTGGGTATAACCCCGGGGGCAAGCTTCCGAAGCGTCCCCCACAGATTGATTTCAGTGTCAAAATGGCTGTGAAATGTGATGGTACTGTACTTGACTCCCCAAGTGATGGACACTATCGATGGTAAAACAAACTGGGAGGTGTATCTACAAGTGCCTTGCGTACACAACCACGTTACAAGGGTCTTTGCGTGCCAACCAGGTGTGGACGAGACAGTCACCGACTTTTCCCTTGGAATGTTGGAAGAAGAACTTGTTTTTCCTTGATATTTTCCTTGATATTTTTGGCGCATGGAAGGTTGACGACAATAATGTACAGTATGTATCCAAGTGTCACACAGCCATACAAAACATTGCCAAGTGCAAATCCATGCGTAATCAAAATCTAACGTTATACTAACAATAGACGTGTGGTACCACCGACTTCAAATTCAAGCAAAAAGTATTGTATACCAAAAGTAAGTCGTGCCAAATGCAATAACCCCCCATTCCGTGTCAAATCGTCAAATGGGGTGGGGTCAGCATCAGCCTACATACTGTATTAACTGTAAGTTACTTTGCCGTAGAGTATGCCAAATGGCACAAACTGTCGACAATTCGAAATGTGCACCCAAAAACATACAGTCGTGTCGACACATTTTATCGATATCCAACTTTCAGGCAAGCTACCATGTACATAATAACCATACTAGTATCTATTCACAGCAGTTTTATAGTTTATTTAGCCCATCACGGTGCATTCACCTGAGTCGCCATCTGCTTGGTCTCCATCTTGCGTTGATGGGAAGATTGAAAGTTTTAGAAAGACGCGGCGGCGATTTAAGCTTAACGTTAACGTTATGGGTACAAGGGCCCTTCAACCTGTATAAGTCGGAGACGTATTGGCCCAACGTCATAGCCAGCACAAAACCACTCGCGCACGTAGCCGTCGGCGTCAATTCGAGAGCCAGGCCAGGTGGCTTGGGGCCTCTGGGTTTGGAAAGGGTTTCCAACATCAAGTAAGGCACATTCACAACGATGACCACGGCTACCACGGCCAGATAGATGTGTAGAAGATTAGGGCAGCTCCGTGAGTTGAAGGGCACACGTGCAGGGCCAGTGACACGCCGGCGATGTACAGGACCGCGAGCCTTCGCATGCAATACACAACGTACCCCGCGACCATGGCGACTCTCTCGTCCGTCGTCGTAGAGACCCACCGACGCAACGCATACACCAATATGATGCCGCAAGAGAACTGCAAAGTGACGACGGACGTTGCGGGGGCGCCACATCCGCCACTGAAACTCGTACGTAGCCAGGACAAACCAAAGCGATACGGCATTGAAAGCGACGGTCGCGACGATATGCGACGTGGTTGCAAGGCGGGGCGAGAAGGCGCCGTATATGGCGAGCGTGTGGACGAGCTTGCTGGCCGACCACGCGCCAAGGGACGCGAACAGCACGCAGACGGTGCCATGGGTCGCGTGGTGCCAAATGTGAGACCACTGAAACACTGTGCCACACGCTGTCCAGGACATGCTCAACGACAGACACAGGGCGACCGCAGCAGCATTATTGTGTCGCTTGTCGTACCGTGTATGTACGTACATGTGTATACAGGTTTGTGGATGTCATAATTACCGACTCAAGAGACGTGGGAACACGATAACATGCAAATCATCAAGTATTATTAATATCGGACTACGGTACAGTAATGTACTACTACCTAGTGCGGAGTACATGCTTTAAAGTTTTCCGGTAAGAAAATGCAATCTCATCATTGCAATTTAAATCTAAAGAAGTTATGGTAATTTTGTGCGAGTTTCAAGGTCGAATTATTCATTCGACAAAGTATGATGCGCAATATGTCGACAGAGGGAGTTAGCTTACAGTACTTATCGCCTGAACGGAATCAGCAAATATTCAACCCGAGTAATGTCTGCGCTACCAACCGTGCTTTTGAGAGAATCTATGATAACTGAGATGTCCATGCCTGCAATTCATTGATGGAAATAATTAAAATTGTAGTCGGTGATTGGCTCCTCTATTTTGCCGGTCACATCACCGGATTGCCGTCTCGCGGTTACTATTTATTAATATTTTTACTCCGGAGTAGTAAAATTTGCCGTGTCTGGTACTACTTCGAGGTATTAATGTTAATACCATATACTACGTAGTAGGTAGTAGTAGTAGATACTGTCGCGGGTTGCCCAAACTGCAAATTTGACCCCAAAAACGCAGTTTTATGGTGTGAATTGCCAAAACGAGTAGAAGTAACGTTAAAGCATAATATGGATAACGATTAAAATCTGACACAAATCGATTCTCGAATCAGCTGGCAAGCCCACGCTTCAGCTTGTTCAAAGCACGAAAATGCCAAATCAATCAATCATTTCCATAGTACGGAGGCACAACGACGGAATGCAACGCCTATCGAAAGTGAGCTTTGAGCTGTGGAGTGAGAGGCCTTTCAAGCAGGGATAGTTTCATTCGCCGTGTACTGTAGTAACGTTATTGTTGGTGTTGCAATGTCTTGTTATGAGCTGACCGTTGATTTGCCTTAACAAAGTAACTTACACAGAACGTGGGTGATGATGGCGTTCAATGTGCAGCCAATACAGTAATATCCTGAAGAGGATTGGCTGAAACCAACATTTCGAGGGACCGATAATTGGTACTAAGTACTACGTAGTAGTATTAACGTTATCGTAATTGGACATTCTCGAAGTGAATCGACAGAAATACTCCGGAGTAGTATGCGAGGTCCTTGATTTGTGTTTCACACACAATCTTATTCACGACGACACCATACGCACTGGTAGACTGAAACATCATCTATTTTCAATTCATTTATATGTTCAATCACCTTCGTACTGTAAATTGCCCCAAACAAAACCTCCTAATAACTGCAGAAAAAATGGAATTCATTTATGTAGTTGTGTGTTTCCTGGAACTTCGACGCTGTCCCACTCATATTACCAAATTAGTGGCGTTTGATTGGTTCTTGGCACATCAGGAGCGTCACATATCCACTCACTGTCCATGCAGCCGCCGGCCAGTTGCCTTGTTGGGTGTTGCTGACAGTCGCAAACTCGCACGCCGACAATAATGGACGAAGGGAGACGGCGCAACAATTCTTCCTGGAACAGGGGTTCGATCTCCACCACGAACCGCATGCGGCACTATGAGAACCAGAACACCCATCCCGCGATGCTCTTCTTCAACTGCATCGCGCTGAGTCTGTCCGTAAGCATGACGCTCATGGCGTGTGCGACGGTGTTTCGCTGGGCCACGGTGCGCAAGAGCCCGAACCACGGCACGCTCTTCATGGTGTTTTTCAGTCTTGGGATGTGGGCTATGGCGAAACTCGTCCTCCTGGTGCTGGTGGAGACGTTGTCGGGCAGAGATATGTGGATCGGCCGGCCACCAGTCATGTATGCCACGTTGGTATCCGATCTATTCTTCAACGCAACGTCCCTCTGGTTCATCTTTGCCACGTACGAGTTCCAGCGGTGGGTGTGGCGGCGGCGGCAGCATACCCGCTACGTCCTCGTGCGCTACCAACTAGTCGTCGTCGCGATCTGCATTGCGCATGCAGTGTCGTTGATCGTTGTGGACCGGCAGAACCCTCCTTCGTCGTCGTATGGGTGGAGACGACTGAACAACACGACACCATCGACACCTGGTGCCCCGCCGCCATCTCGGGCGCCGCGGAGGTCGCGCCCAACGCTCGACCTGATGGAGTACTTGTTCTGGACCATATATAGCATTCGGTGGCTGGCGGTCCTGTACATCGTGGTTGTGGGTCTGGTCTTTTCCTGTCGAAAGGAATATGACGGCGCCCACTACAGCGGAGACCAACACAAACACATGCACCGATCCAGGTCGAGCCAACTGTTTGTGCTGCTGCTGCTCCTGCTGAATCTGCCGTATCTGGTGCTTGAGCCGCTGTTCGATTTTGGCATCCTGGACAAGGCCACGATGCTCATCGTGTTCAGCCTCTCCAAGTGCGCCATGTACCTGTCTGGCGTTGGCATGGTCAACCTACTGGGCCTGTACTTGACGGATTTTGATGCACTGTATACGATCAAGGACGTGCCTGCGACGCGAACGCCGTCGGCATTTGTCGTGTTTGACAACAGCCAACACAACAAACCTACGCTCGTGCTCACAAGGTCCTAACGTCGCATATATGCTGCTGTACTTGTACTGCCATTACATGTCAGATCAGCAATAGTCTCAGCGTTGTGAAAACGAAATACAGATAATAACGTTAACTACATATATGAAAAAACATCTACTTCGAAGTACTATTAATATTAATAGTATAGCAGTTCTAAAGTTGTAGGTGAAAAAAGGAGTAACGTAGATGGCCAGTTTATGGTGCACGTGAAAGGAGGGCATATTTTGGTCGTCCATCGGGTCTGGTTTGTGCTGATAATGTACCCTTATCCGAATGACCGGATGGAGTAAATGGAGTAGTTGGTAGTATCCAAATAATGGATAGGATGACTTGTAGCGTAGATGGAAACAAAACAGAACCAGTGAGGATGGATGACCACGCCCCCACTTGACTTGAAGCATAGATTGAATCGATGGAGAGGTTACTGTTGCATGTACAGTACTCGCCTGCTACCCTTCACACAGAACACCTGTACAGTAACACGTTAGCCTGAGCACTTGACAAGCGTATTCGTCGCTTCACGGCACCACTTGTAGCAATGGCAAGCTGACGTAGTGTGTTTGTATGATGTAGCTAAATACTTGATTTTGTTGCTTCTGTACCGATGAGCACATTGCGCTGTCGATGTGGCAGCAACAGCGATGGTTGTGTTGGCAACGAAATCAGTGCAGTGACGTTATATTGCGAGGCGGGCGCCGCCAAGTGAAATTCGCATACCATAACATCCGCTGGTATATGTGGACAACGCGGCCTTGCCCGTGAAACGCTTGGTTGCCGCCCTCAAGCCCATCATCTAGACACATACAAAACCTATCGTCACGTCAATTGTTACGGGAGTAACACTGTTACCACCAAGGAGGCATGAATGCAGTGTGTGGAACCGCGGTTGTATGATCCGATGCAGGTGGGGGCTGTCAGTCGTGAGCTTATTATGCACCGGATACACTTTTATATACGCCCGAACCGCATCCGTAAGTCGCTCAAGGGGAGGCCTGGTTGTAGGCCTCTCCTCAAGTTACCTATAGATAAGCACTCAGTAGTGTTGTCTACCGGTAGCTACATGTGTGTATATTCATTTGATTATCGTCATGTTTGAACCAGAGGCCTAACGTTAAATGTACTTCGAAGTATATATTAGCGATCAAAAGGTATTAGACCGGGTGTGCCTCCCTCTGGGGTATGTAGACAACTTTCTAGGGGGATGCTATGCTGTTGAATTATTATGGCGGGGGGTCACTGGTTGTTGAAAACAATGTAGGCGATGCACGTCGACAAGCATCCCATGATAGGCTCCGTATGACCAGTCGTAATGTCGTGAATGGTAGCTGTGGCCACTTCTTTTCATGCGGATTTCGCCACTATGTTCAAATGTGCACTATCTTGCATATCTTGTCGTTGAGCCCACATTCTATCAACTTATATTCACACAACGCCACAATACACACACTTCAACACAAAGGAGTCGTGTGGTATTCGTTGGAAGGAAGAACTACAGTGAACTACTGTATATTAGCTCAAAAGCGTAGTGCGTTTACAGTTAGCTCAAGAGCATCAGCACCCGTACATGATCGTTGGATCCAGCAAAAGGGCGTTCCCGCGCACTGTAAACGCGTCTGCTGGAAGAGGATGATGGTTTCTGTTCATGGCTACGGTAGTTGCTTGGCCTTGGAGTTATCTCCACATGCCTACTTTAGTTCTTGCATCTGTGGACGACTCTACGGCGCCAACCACCCAATGTACAGTTAATGCCAGCACAGTGCATACATGGCTATCATACAGTAAACAGCACCACAATATAGAAGAAATAGCAACACAGCATGAAACCACACCATGTCAGTTTGGCATGGCATTGAAGCAAGGCGGTGTCGTGAAAGGTACGAATATCCTTGTCAAGTGCTTGGGCTAACTAACGATAGTAGCTAATTGTGTGGGAGGGCGCCGGGTAGTGATGCCTATGTCAGTAGTCTGTATAGGACACTACCCTCTCCATCTTTTTCGAACTACACAGCAAGTCATGCTGGAGGCGTGGCCATCCATCAGCACTGGATCTGTTTTGTTTCCATCTACGCTACAAATCATGCTACAGACGTGGTGATCCATCGCTGCTAATTTACTGATTTTCCACCTACACTACAATCCTCTTAATGTCTGTTAATATGGTGCATAATTCATCTAAAGACTACAGATCGGCCATCCTCAGGAGGAGACGTTTTACTATTAAACGCCTAGGTTATTTCAGTTAAACCCACGTAATGTTGACGTTAAATTATTTTTACTTACGTTTTTTATCTGGTAAATAGGTTAAACATCCTGAATAATCCGGATACAATGGAAAAGTTCATACGGATAAGTGCTGTATACAAAGACCAAGATATACTTGATGCTCCTTTTCGGCCAAAATGTGCCTGGCTCCATATATTTCCATACAAAAAGGCTGGTTGGTTTAAATTCTATTACTCGATCAATTTTTCACCAATCGAAATTTTGAACCGTAACTTCTGTTAGTCTTGACCAGTTCTATCGTTATTACGGCTTATTTTCCTAAAAAATATCAATACAAAGTTGGAATAGTTGTCGAAAGACAAGGCATTTTTTTGTAGTCTTTAGTTGAAATGCACCATACAAACTCCAAATATAAGTGCACATGACCAGACGACTACTACGTAGTAAGCAGGTACAAAACAGTCCCGAATCGAGCCCGTTGGACGACCATAATGCTTCCTCCTTGAAAGAGACTTCGTCGTAGAATGCAGCTGACTCGTCTCCCAGGACCGGGATTTGAATTCTGAAAAGTGCTGCTGCATGAAGCCGAAAGGTTGGGCATTCTTCTCATTATTTAATCGGCTTGAATAGACTTCAACATAGCGTTCATTTACTTTGATTCCACTCAAGTCAAGGCAAAATAGGAAGGACGGTTTATGGTGCACGGTTTAACCTTAAAATATGTATGCTGGTTTTGCTTATTTTTTAGTGATTTCATTTTTCTAGTGTTTCGATTGGCTACTCCAAAACTAAAGCAATTCCATTGGCCAATTTGAGTGCACCTTAAACTGTCCCGTGCACCATAAACTGGCCATTTACGTTAGAGACTTTTTACTATTTTAATCATAAAAAGTCTCTTGGACTGTTAAAACAGTCCACGCGAACGTACTATTAATATACGTATAGTACTGTACTCGTACTAGTTTGTGTCAAAATGATGTAAAGTGATTATTTAAAATACCAGCGTTCATACTAATATTGAAGGGGCATGTATTAAATTTAGCAGGTGACTCCACATTCGTCTATTGACAAAGGACGAAGTTCCATGGACACAACCGGACGGTGCCAGCAACTTGCGACGATGGGAGGTCCGTTGCCGCTGATTGAAGTGGGGATGGCGTTTGCGGACTCGAAGGAAGCGCTGCACTATGTCCAAGACTATGCTCTCCAGTCAGGAAAGCAAGTGAAAGTCATGGCCAAGAGTGGCGGCGGACACAAACGACTCATCTGCTCGTGCACGACGTGCTCGTTTTTCGTGCAAATGTACCAGCAGAAGAAAGCCGTGGACGAGTCCAAGGGTCGGCAATGGTACATTTCGTCATGCGACTTGAACCACGCCATGGACTGCCTCTCGGTTGCGAAACCCACGTGCCGGCAGCTCATCGAAATGCAGTCGTTGCAGCATGCCGTTCAAGCCAACTCGAAAATCTCGGCGAACGCGCTCATCTCCGCGTTGCCGTCGTTGGACCTCAAGCGGCTCCAGCGCACGGTTTACCGCGCCAAGCGAGAAATCTTGACGCGGGCGCCAGACGATGGGACATATGAGCGGTTGATGGACGCCTCTATGTTCCCTCCGCATGCCAAACAGGTTGTGAGTCCCGCCATGGCGGCACCGACGTCCAAGAAACGAAAGGACGGGGACAAGGACTTGGTTGAAATTGAGCGTGCACGACTGGAGATCAAGCGGCGGAAAGAAGCGCGACTGGAAAGGGAGGCCCAAGTGAATTATCGCATTCTCGTGGCCAAGGCGGAGGAGGCGGAGCTGGCGCTCAAGGTCGCGCGGGCCAAAGCAAGGCAGGTGCTGCTCAATTCAGGGATTTCCATCGAGGAAGTGGAGCACGTGTTGCTCTAATTTGCGAATTTCATGGGGGGGATAAGAGAGAGATCCATTGGCCTGACCACTTTCTTCACGTTACCCAATCGGTTGACACGGAAATTGTAAGCATAACGTTATTAGTGGAACCTCTCGAGATACCAGCACAGTTAAGCCATGTGGACTCGATGTACGAGTCTTGGTGTGCTTACAGAATCACTGGGATCACTGGAGCTACTTACTATACATGGAGGGTAGCAAAATCCAAACTCGCAGCGCTTATGGTTCGAACACTCCGCCCCAACCTGCCCACAAGGGAGTGATACCAATTACTGGTAGTATACCACAACCCATTTGCGATACAACAATATGTCACCAAACTGATTTATCTACCGATTTTTTTGTCATATCCGTCAAAATAATCATTCTGTACGTGTAGTAATTCTATGGTCGAGCCAAATAAGCTTGTTCGTCATGCTTGGTTAGTTCATATACCAATAAAACCACCTTAAAATCCAAGTTGTCGCTGGACTCTTCAACATTGTAAGCGGGGTAGGGTATGCATTTGATTGGCCCGTGGGCCATGTGTACATCGTCTTTTCGCCGTTTCTCATGGCGAGAGCTCATGGAACGGCGGTGGCCAGTCGAACGACGACAGTCTCATTGTGGAATTTGACCTGTGGCTGCCACTATGACCTTGAGCGAGACCTTCCGTCGTCAGATTGCCAACTTCACGTATGGCCAAGTGATTTCGATCTTGCTGGTGTGCACGAGCATCTTTACCAACAAGCTCCAACGCAATGACGCGTTGGTGGTCACGTTCAGCACGACCTTCTTGTACGTGCTGTTGGCACTGGTGTTCCTCCCGTACTTTTACGTCAAGCGGTGTGCGTCCGTGCACTTGCCGGTCTGGTTTTGGGTGTTGTTTGGGCTCATTGACGTTGAAGCCAACTACTGGGCCGTCGCCGCGTTCGCCGAAGACGTCAACTACGCGATCCTCGGGCTCATTCTGCACATGACGATCCCGGTCGTGACGGTCTTGAGCTACTTCTTCATGGGCAAGCGGTACAACTGGTTTCACGTGGTCGGGTGCGTGTTTGCTGTGGCGGGCTTTGTCGTGATCTTCGCGGCCAACAATGAAGGCGGCGAGTTCCCCAACCAAATGCGGGGCAACTTGAAGTCGCTGCTGGCTGCGGGGCTGTACGCGCTGTCCAACCTGCTCCAGGAGTTTGCCGTCAAGCGCAACAACACGGGCATCGACGCCAACATTGAAGTGCTTGGCAAGATGGGCGTGACGGCCACGATCGTGTCGCTGATTCAGATGGCCATCATCAGCGAATACGCCAAGGTCACGGACGTCGACTGGTCGGCGGAAAACGTCGGGTGGAACGCCGGCTACGTGCTGACCATGTTCTTGTTTTACGCGACCGTGTCGGTGTTTCTGCGCGTGTCCGAGTCGCTCCTGTTCAACATTTCGCTGCTCACGTCCGACCTGTACAGCGCGTTGACCATGATGTGGGTGTTCGACGGGTCTGTGCCAGGGTTGTACTGGCTCGCGTGGGGCTTGGAGTGCGTGGGCATCACCGTGTACTCGGTATATGAGCCCATCGAGTTGAACAAGTCAAAGGACACTGCAAGCGACGACGCCGTGACCCCCGAGGACACCCCCAAACCAGACCTATCGAACGAAGCCTACCACAAGGTGTAAACCTACACACACACAATCCACGTGGATTTGCTTTCTCCGTGGCGAGGGTGGCCTGTAACGTCAGCCACGCCACTAGGAATTGTACAGTGTAGTACGTAGATAACAACTATCAACTCGTACGATTGATCTCTTGTTTGGTTAGCAATGATATGTACTCCCAACACTAAAGCAATCGTTCGTCTTCATGGCAACGACGTCCGCTATGGACTAGTATTGTGTACCAGTAAGTTACATTGGACATCATGAGGTGTGGGAAGTGTAGAGCGATTTGGTATGGAGAAGCAAGCAGTGAACGGGTGGTTTTGGTTTGGTCCTCCCAAAGGGAGGTCATAAATTTTTGAAGTCGCATCGAGTCGAGTCAATTCCACGGTAATCTTTAGTAAAAGGCGAAAGATTAGTACGTAATGAAATTAACTCTGCGAGATACTCAAATTGGTCGAACCCACACTTTTGTTCCTACAACACAAACTCCCGTCAGTGAAATGACAACCACCTTTGGCTTGTGTTTTGTATAGTATACTCAAGACCTACATAAACATTAAGAATTGGTACACCTCTCCACCAAAACAAATAAACTTCCCTATTGTATCGGTTGTTCTGAAATATAAATATAAAGTCCATTTTAGCGGTTAATGCATGGGTCACGTGTGCTGCCATTGACGAGAACATCTACGTCGAAGTCGATGTCGGCCTCCATCCGCGTCGTCCTCAAGGCTGCATGGTGCTGAAAGTCATATTGTGTGTTCTACTCCAAATTTCCATGGGCGGTTCTTAAATCGCCCCGATCCGAATGTCCGCGAAATGACCCCAATGACAACAAGTGGGATTTCTCTCACAAAACAATCGCTACTGATCACCCTATCTATTATGACGCAGTTTCCTGAGCTGAGTCAATGAACGACGATCCAATCTTGCAGCATTAACACCTGAGCGCGTAGGCTTCGTATGCGAGTCTCTTCGCATCCCCAACACACATGCACACCTATGTACAGTACATACAAACTTCTCAAGTACACCAACTGGACGCCCGCGCTACCGCACGTGCGACTACACCTCGTCGTACTGCCCGTTGGATGTCCATTTTCTGCCCAAATCTTCGAAATTCTAACCAATGAAATCATCGCGGCTATGGCTCACAATTGGCAAGTTTAACCGGAAAGCACATTACAATGCTGAAATCAAGTAAATCATCATTTAACGGCACAAATGTACCCCACTCACGACCAAAGCATGACTCTTTCTTAAAAATGAATTTCAAAGTACGACGGAAACGATTCTGATTGGCTCCGTTCGTTTTAAAAAGTTACTTGGAAGAGGCCCTTAATAGGATAAATTGACGGCAATCTCGAGCTTATTCCTACGTAAGCTAGTAGATTCCACGACGACCAAGCTGCATTAATTTAACGTTTGTTTAAAGTTCATGCGAGATGTAGACTAACTAGTAACAGTCCTACAAGTCACCTACAAAGGTGAGGGGTTGTGAATTCACACATCGTTGTGATTACGAGAAGGAACCAGAGGTTACTCTCGCAACTCTTTTAATCGAGCGGCCAACTCGACATACTCCTTGAGCGCTTTGATGCTTTCCCTCTCCGCCTTATCAGCGTTGATGCTTTGGGCACTCTTCAATGCTTGCCCCAGGTCCTTCAGAAGAGGCGCGTCAGGGCCTTCGTGCTTTGCGAGCACTTTCATTTGGTTGGCATAGGCGACGACGAGCAAATTCTGCACTTCCTTGGATGGCATCGCAAAGAACGTGATGAACGTGGGCTTGCCACTGGCATTTCGCTTGTCCACAATCGAGCCCATGTCGTCCCCCTATCAAAACATGGCAGGCTCAATGGATAAAGGACGCTTCCGTACCTTGACACTGATGAACGAGCCAGGAAACCCATCCAAAGGTTGGAGATCGGGGGTCTCTTCGCGCTTGGTGTCGTGGGAAGGCCAGTCCAATGCATACCACCACCTACACAAAGAGTTGAATCACAAGACAGAGGGGCACGGTTCAACCAACCTGCAGAGCAATTCCTGCACCAAGCGACCCTTCAACGTGTCGTACAACGATTCCGACGCCTCTTGTTGCTTGTACGCAATGCTTTTGGCCTTGCGCTGCTTAGACGACGTCGATATTGTTCGCTTCTCCAACTTCACGGGGGAGTCGGACTTGGCTTCGCGCTTCACGGACACCGACGATACCTTCTTCTTGATGGGTTTGTCGTCGTCGTCAATGTGGGCACTTTCTTTCTTCACTTTGGACTTCTTCATGGCCAAGAGAGGCATTTCGTCGTCGCTGTCATCCAGCACGCGCTTTGGCGGCCCCGCCAACTTCGTCGCAGGTTGTTGCACTTCTTTCGTGGCATCCTTCTTCGTTTCTTTGACATCCCGCTTCACGTCCACATCCCTCCGTTGGTTCTGTGCCACTCGAAGCTGGGATAGAGGAACGTCTTCTTCACTGCTACGGAAGTGCACTCATCAGCGTCATCCACACCAGTCACTGCTACCTCGACGAGCTCATGCTTCACACCGTGCTAAAATGTATGGATTTATTGAATCCAACGGTGCCTCTCGGATCTTATTTCAAATTTGGACTTTCGAGCAGAATCGAATGAATTTGACAAACGGATTTGAAAATGTCCGAGCCAATCAACGTGCACTAACGAGAAATTTCAACCAATCATGGATTAGTATAGTCCAAGTATTCATCTTCAACTTTGTATATCTTACATTGAAGAAGCTTAAAATTTGGCAATAATCGATTCTCGACTCATCAAATTTCAGCGAAAGGACAATATGAATTCCAAGCAATAATCAACTTGGTTTTAGAATACTATACAATTGCATTGTCTAATTGGGACCGCGTTTCACGCGTGGGAGTACGATTTGGTAGCAATTGTAGGCCACTCGACTGATTAAAATTATCTCGCAGAGTTAATTTCATTACGTACTAATCTTTCGCCTTTTACTAAAGATTACCGTGGAATTGACTCGATTCGATGCGACTTCAAAAATTTATGACCTCCCTTTGGGAGGACCCAACCATCCCTTCAGTGCTCCACTCTCAACCAATTCATTTCATTCACATCGTTAACTTTTCCATGCTCCTTCCTCACCCACAACACTTCGCCCCACTACTACTCTAGTGTGCACTTCGGTCATGTGGCAGTATGTATGTGTAGCACTAATAATGAATTGCGCGAACGCTTTACACACCAACATGGGCAGTTTCAGCATGAAACGCTCAATCGTTACGAGGCCGAGGCCCCCAAATGTTACCATCTAAATTTGCGCATCAAGAACGCATGACAACACGACCTGGCGTGGGGCGATACAAAGCGTCCAAATACGATATTTGGGCCCTCGGAATCACGATCGTCATTGGGGGTCAGTACTTTTCGTGGAACGCTGGGCTGGCCGCGGGGGTGTGGAGCACGCTTGTGTCCATCGTGGTGACAGGCACCAGTTACGTGTGCCTTGTGCTCTGTCTTGCCGAAACAGTGAGTGGGCTGCCGTTTTCAGGTGGCGCGTTTGGCCTCAGTCGGTGTTCGCTGGGGTTTTATGGGGGGTATGTGGTCGGTTGTTGTGAATGCCTCCAGTACATCGTCTACACCGCATCGTCCGTGCTCGTGCTCGGCAACATGATCTTGGAGCTCATGGACCCCCTGCCCCACTTGGTGTGGTTCGCGCGCCCCCTCGCGTGGCTGTCCATCTACGGTGTGGCCCTCGGCTTGCAAAACTGGGGCCAGCGATGTTTTTGGCAGTGCAATGTCGTGCTGGCGTTTCTGTCGTTGGGCATTCTGCTGGTATACATTCTTGGCTCGCTTCCCCACGTCAGCTACGAAAAGTACGGCGGGGGGCCGACGCACTACTTTAAAGGAGGCATGCAAGCGTTCATGGAGAACTTCCCGCTGTCTGCGTGGTTTTTTGTTGGGATCGAGGCTCTCAACGCAGTTGCCAACATGGTCGACGCGCCCAAAACCATCATCCCATCAGGCCAAACGGCGTGCGTGATCACGTTAGCCGCCACCGCCGTCGGTGTGTACTTTGTGGCTATATGTATGCCCCCGGGCGTCGACACCACGGAAGTGGACCTCGTTGTGATTCGTGGAGGCATCATGGCATCGTTCGGCGCAGGCCCTTATGTGGCCACCGCGTTGTCCCTACCAGCCACGTTTGCAACCATCTACGGCTTCATTTTTCTGTACTCGACCGTGCTGGCGTCGATGGCGGCGTCGAAACTCATGCCCACTCGGTTAGGGTACCAGCACCCGGTGCACAAGACCCACCCCGTGGCGGCGGTGGCTGGCTCGGCCGTCAGCTTTGTGCTGTGCATCGTGGGCCAGTACTGGACCACGCTGCACCTGTTCAACATTTGCATGGTGTTTGGGTTTTCGGCCAACATGGCGCAGCTGTGGAATTACGTGTACATGCGTAGAAATTTCAATCACTTGACGCGGTCGTTTCAAAGTCCGGTGGGGCTGGCCGGCGCCGCCTTTTCCATGGTCGTGTCGGGGCTGCAGCTCGTGGCGCTCTTGGTGTTTCAACCGTTTGACGGCATCACCCCCTCCGTGGTGGCCGTGACGCTCTTGGTCCTCACGTGCGTGTACGTTTACTCTGTCCGCGACAGCCAAACCATCTCTCGAGACGAACACCGAGTGTTGTTTTTCGCTCACATTTCCAAAAGTACGTCGACCACGAAATTCTCCACTACAATAACGTGGTGTGTTATAGGTAACTATACCAAGCGGGAGATAACCAAGCGACGAACGTCCCTGGAAACTTCTGCAAAGCGCAACTCCGCACCTGCCGACAGCAAAGAGAGCACGACGACGCGAGGACCCCCGTCGATAATGTCGATGCAGACATCGGATTCGTTGCTGATCAACTTTACAAGGCGCGACCTTATGCACAGCTGGAAAAAGATTGCGCCCACCCCCGACAGTCCACTCCAATATGGCCAGCCATCGTCTCCCACCACGGACGATGTAGTCGACGCCGTTCCGTCGACGAGCCCCACAAAACACTCGTAATAAATACTTTCAGATGAACTCGTGCTTGAAGCAACAGCCATAACGTTACCATGGTCCATGGGACTGGCTGGCTACAAGTATACATTATAGGGCTTTTGACTTGGTATACCGATAGTACTATAGCATGCCACACCTGCTCTAACGTTAGTTTACGTCTCAACCCAATCTTCGGACTATGATGGCATGTGTTGTGTCTGGTGTACGTAGTACAGGCTACACCCCTGCAGCAAGCATAGTGAAACACCAGTGTCAACTTAGTATTTAAAAGGTTACTATAACCAGGTTCGTATGTACTGAATCTCACCAGCTCTCACTTGATACCACCGAGACTTGCTCACGGCTTGGTGTTGCCCATACACTAGAGCCAATACTGTACATCTTCGGAAAAATGTGTGTGTAAGAGTTCTATTTACTGGTTACTACGTCAATGTCGTCGATGACTGTGAGAGATGTCATAGTGAGTTTGCGCGAGTCGACAAGCACTTTGAACAGCTGCTCCTTGAACGTGTCCGCCACGTCCGCACCTGGCCGCACGACTTCGAGCCATTGCGCCGCCACAGCCCGCAAAATATCATTCCCATCACCACCATCTCGGGCGACCACGTCGCGGCAGTCGGCGGCCAGCGCGGCCATCGCGCCTTTGACGTACCAGTCCATCCACTGAACCGACCGCCACTTGAGGGCAATCACATCATGATGCTTCGTCGAAGCGCGGACGAGCATCGCGGCCTCGTAATCGTCGAGGGCACCGGTCAAGTCGCGCAGCAAACTCTTGAGGTCGCCGCGCCCGGTCAGCGCTCGCTCTCGCCAAGCCCCATTGTCCCCGGCAAGCTGCACGGCCTCGTCGCAGGCGGCGCGCGCAGCGGCCGCCGCGTCCGTCTCGTGTGTGTGCGGAACCAACGCCTTGGCGTGGATTGTGCATTGGTTCACGGCCAACTGGACTTGGACCATGCCGCCATCGTCATGTGCCAACGAAGGAGGACGACCTGAGGACGTCGACGTGGGCTCAGCCGACGATTGGGCGTCGGAACTTGTCAAGGTGGACGACGACACGGGCGAATCACTAACTTGGACTAGGTCGTCGCTCTTCTGCAGCGCAGCTGTGTTTTCATCTGGCAGCACGTCGACGGCCATGGCGGGCGGAAGGGAAGTCTCTTGAGCAGTGGAGCCCCCCCTTGACTTGTAGGGACAGGTCAAATCTTGATCCGAAGAAATAAACGGTGTCGCACAAATGTCTGGCCCCCACGCGGCAGCGCAAGTTTCTGTGAGTTTATGGCCGCTAGTGTCTTCCGTAGTAGTAGAGTTTGTGTTGTCGGATGGTTCCTTGTGGTGGTTGTTTCCAAATGTCCACTCCCCTTGGACAGGTTGAGAACTGGCGGCGATCATTGGGACGTTGTCGCTGGATGTGGGCAAGTCGTGTGGCCCTGCCACGTCATCATGGTCGCGTTCCATCGTTGTCTTCATGACTCCATTTGAAAGTTCAACTTGAACGACGTCGGGCTTTGACGGACGATCACTGTCCTCCTCCGCCAAGGAACTTTCCCCGGCCGCCGTTTCATTGGATTCCACCGGCGTCATCGGGGCATCGTCGGATTGAAGAACGTTCTCGGAATGTTCTTCGTCGACATCTCGTGGTGGGGATTCTGGAGGGTGCAACTCATGGTCCGCTTCGACCACCTCTGACACTTCTGCCGCGTGGGTAGCATTGGAGCTATCGTCTGGTGCGTCCTCGGCATGGGTGGCGTTGCTTTGTCCATCCACGCGGTTGTCGGTCGGTCCTTGAACCTCATCGCTTGCTGCCGCCAAGTCTGCAAGCAGTAGCTCTGCAACGTCAGCAACTCGATCGTCGTCAGTAGTTCCAAGGTCGGGAGAAACTGGGGTCGGTGCAGGTGATCCTTGCCACCACTCGAGAAGTCGGAACGGCGCCACTGTGCGCGCCACGTCGTAGTCGTTCCAAATCGCCCACCAATGACCGAAATACGCTGCAACCGTCAAGACGACAAACACCTGCTGCACCCGTCGCCACCATCGTTCGCGGCGGAGCTTGGCGCTGACTTCCGGGCGGGCTTCCGAGTCGATGCGACACCCGTACTTGCGCTGCCACGCTGCATTCGTCCGCTCGTACTTGACTGCCCATTGTTGTTTCTCCTTCGAACTCGACCACAACCTCGAGTCAATCTCATCGTCAGGAACAAGGGATGCATCCTCGTCTGTATCGATATCGTCGTCGTCGTCGTCGCTGTGGCCATCGTTGGACGAGGACGACGGGGCATATTCGCTGTCGGCCTCGGCTTCGTCAAAGGTCATGTCGTTGAATGGAGATGCGTCAGAATCCGAATAGTTGTCTGCCATGTCCTCGGCGTCATGTGTCTTGTTGGTGTCATGGAGGTCAGCAGTGTCCACAGGCCAGCCAAAGTTCGACGTCGGCGCCGTCATCGCCTGCCGCGAACGTGTGTTTGAATTTTCGTATAAAGTTAGTGGCCTCGTAGTTTTAAATGAAACCTGAATTGCATACCTGGTATTTGTAACGAATTACACGGTTTTCGATTAAAATTGAGTGTAATGTTTTACGGCCCAATCAAATTACTCGATTTTTGGGCTACCATCATCTTGACAGTTCATACCGTTCTGCTTTGACCGCCGCGTGGCTGCTGTACTGTACATGTACTCATGGACACACGGGAATGGTGATGGTTAATACTATTGATCTATTCTACGACTGTCCTCTTGCTGTGGGGTTTCTTCTTCTTCACGTGGGGCAGGGCTTGGGACGACGGCCTTGTCGCCGGCGGCAAAACAATACTCTCCCTAGACTTGACTGGCGACTTGTTGGCACTTCGCTGGCAGAACGGGTGTTTGCGAGGGTCCAAGTACTCGATGCCGTTGTTCACGCTCTTGTCGTAGGCATATGTAGACGCCGGATGCACGACCTAACGTCATTACATGAGATCCTCTCAATTCCACATACAGTATGCAAGTAACCTACCGTGACAAAGTTCTCTTCTGTGATCTGGCTGGCCTTTTGATATCTCTTTTCGCGGTCGTCGTACACCTTGTCCACTTGGTACACTGACGTGGCTTGCAGCGACGTCCGCACTGCCGGCGGCTTCGGCTTGAGCTGTGACTTGGGCAGGAGTTTCTTGGGAACAGTCGCAAGGTAATTCAGCGTGTTTGTCCGAATGTGGGTTTCCACGGGCACTCCAAACGCCGTAGGCTACATCACAATCATGACATGGTGCCATACACTGTACGTGATGTGAATCTCTCTACCTTGGATTGCAGGAACGGCGAGCTAAATATACCAGGCGTCACGGCCGTGCCCACCAAGTGATGCAAGTGTTGTGTGATTCGAACCAGCTCGTCTCGGGACTCTGCGTCCACTCGCGCAGCCTCTGCCTACCCCCAGTCGACACCACCCATATCCGTTACGATATATACAGCGCAGCAGAGGAATCCTGGTTTACCGCGCGTTGGGCATCCAAACGCTGTCGCAATGTATCACGCAGTGCGTGGCCCTTGGCTTCCAGGTCCTTGAGGTAGAGCTTTCGTGTGGCAAAGTTGAGTTTGTACTTTCGACTGGCCCACCCGCGGTATCTCGTCTGAATCACTCGCGCCACGTGGTGGAGTCGTGCCTGCGCTTCGAGATGGATCTGGCGCCGGCGTTCCTGCGACGCTGTGTGTCGGCCTAAATGCCCTCGAAAAACGCGGGCCACGACAATTTCGGCTTCTCTAGAGTTGAGAACAGCGTCACATGAGGCCATGGACGTGCCAGGAGTTTGGAGAGGCTTCAACCTGCATCGAGAAATATCGGCTCGCACGCGCTGTCCTCGATATATCCGCTGGATGCAAATGGCAGCGAGAAGTTCTTTGTTTGCATTGGCAGTGCAGTCTCTACGGGCAAGCAGGCATGCATAACGGTCACCACAGTCGATATATATGGTCGGCAGTACCGAAGAGACACGTCCAGGAGCTCAAGGGTCTTACTTCGGTTGACCCAACATGCATAGAACTCGGCCATGCTTGTCGGTCTGTCTGCCGCTTTTCCGCGGCTCAGCCTTTCGTAACGACTCGAGCCTGCGCTATGTTTAGCGCAATGGAGTTGTCGCATAACTTCCGACGTGAAATAGTGTATGTCGGTTACACTGGCTTATGTTCACAGGACGAAGCATTCATTTGTACACGGATAGTCACGTTGGTGCTTGTAGCTTTATTACCTGTACTGTGCTTATTTATCCCTAGCGACCGGTCTGCCACTTCCGCATATGAAGTTATGGCGATGCCACACATTAGCGGTGTTTCGAACTATAGTCCAAACATGGGTTGTTTAAGTAAGTATTGGTTGGAGACGAACTACTAACGTTATGTGTTACATAGTCAATTTGCCTATGCAGTCTGCACGGTGTGGTGATGTGAGTGGCGCGGGGGGCTTGGCAGCCATGCGACCAGCATCATTCGTATCATACAGTTGGCTAAGAGCACCATGGGGATGCAAAAGAAGAACGCGCTGGCGAGGCCAATGTGTGGTATTTCCAAAACAAGGCTCGTAAACAGAAGCCCAATGGCTAGGAACAAGCAGAACATTGCGCACATCGATTGGTATGTCCAATGCATCGCCCCTCGGCAGCGGCACGATGGTACCACGTTGGATTGACGCTGCTTCGGCACTTGAATATCCAGCTGTGCCAGCGGAGCGTACCCGTGGGTGGATGTCCGCTGTTGATGCCGGTGTTTGAAGCAAAATGACACCGTTGCGCTGGTCGTTTGTGTGTACGTTCGGGTGCATCGCGATCCGTCCTTGACGATCCCAGCGCATTGCATCACTTGGTCGCCAGGCATAGCCTTCTGGACAGGTACCCCCACGAGCCATGGCTTGGTGGTAGACTCGTCATCACTGCCATCGCCATCATCGATTTCGAACGACGTCGGTTCGAAGCGCATGATGCTAATACCAAATGGCAAACTCCCCAAAATCGGTTTCATGGTGTTGGAAGATAATTCATTTATAGAGGAGGAGAGGGTTTCTGAAACATGATAATTTGAAAATCACTTGCAATCGCACATTTGACAGACACATCATCATGGCCGGCCGGAAGTTTGAGGACCTCGTTGATCAGTTCGATAAGTCCAACAGCTACTGCTTGAACGAAGATCCGAGCTTCGGGTATGGGAACTTGTTCATCGGGGATGAGTCGCTCGTGTTGAAGAGCGAAGCCGACGGTACGATGCCATGTTAGAACTGACAAATGTGATCGTGTGCTTTGGTGTGCTAGAACAATTGCTGATCCACTTGGAATTCAAAGAAGCCGTCAAGATCCACTCCATTTCTCTCAAAGCCCCCAAAGACGGTACGTCGTGCTCTCCCTAAGGTCCCTGTTGAATGTGGCACGCAATACTAGACAGCGCGCCTTCTGTGGTCAAACTGTTCGTAAATCGCAACAACTTGGTATTCCGATAGGATCTACAATATGTAGCTTCACCCTGACGTGATGCTTCCATAATGCAGGGATTCTCGGACGTGACAGACATTGAGCCAACGCAAAAGTTGGATTGGACACAAGATCAGTTGCAGTCGGGGACGCCGGTCGAATTGCGCTTCGTCAAGTTTCAACGCGTGACGTCATTGACGGTGCGCCACTATATGACCCGATTCGAGCGATCGATTGAGATGTTAACATGCCTTCTCATTCCATGCAGATTTTCGTGGAAGAGAACCACGGCGGGGAAATCTCGGCGTTGTCCAGCCTCAAGCTGTTCGGTACGAGTCTTCCCATGAGAGATGACGCTAACGTCGCCGCCGGTGGCATGTTCATTAGGCGAATCAATCCAAGGTACCAACATGAACGACTTGAAGAGTCAAGGCCACGAGCATTAAGTGCACCCGCCTTGCAAGTCTCTTAGTACGACTTTCCTAGCACTTTCGTTAGCTCTTATCAACAACGCGCAGAGCACGACCCCATTGAAAGGGGATCAAATCTGGTCATGCCACGTACATCTACACCCCAATGGAGCAGCGCATACCATTCCACTTGCACTTGCTGCGTTGGCTGCAAGCATTCTACTCGGCATGAGAGATACAGGAAGGAGAACTAGCCGGGCACTTCAGTAGCACCAGTCCATCGCATTCGGAGTAGTTCACTCCATGCAAGCATGGCCATGGTTGACGTTGTGCCCACATCTGTTGATTCAATGTATGTCATTACTTATTTTCACAATTTATAGTAGTGTAAAAGCAATTATTTTCATGATTACTAGAATACAATACATATTACAAGTGTAAACACGGTATTTATTGTATTCTATTACACTTGACATCACTGCTTATTCAAACAGATTTCGATTGTTTACACTATTAGATTTCAAAGGGTTATCCGGATAAGGACATTTCAACGAACTCCACAATTATGGATCTCATTTCTCGATTTTGCTGCGCGACGATGCCGCGAATTGAAACGGAGACAAAGCTGGACTTCAAGGACGTGCTCATTCGACCCAAGCGAAGCACCTTGAAGAGCCGATCTCAAGTTGACGTCTCCCGCACGTTCACCTTTCGCAATTCGAAGCGAACATGGACTGGCGTGGTACGTCGTTGTACTACACACCCACCTACCCACGCCTGATTCTTGTGTCTGTAGCCGGTGATTGCCGCCAATATGGACACTGTCGGAACTTTTGAGATGGCAAGAGTTCTCTCGGCGAACCAGTGCATCACGTGCATCCACAAGCACTACACCGTGGACGAGGTAAATGCTACAACTTCAACCAACGACTTGTCAATGCCGTCTGTCTAATTCCAGGCCCTGTGATTTTTCCCCGTGATATTAGTGGAACGCATTTGCACAGAGTGACCCAGACGTGCTGCCGTTCATCGCCGTGAGTGCTGGCACGAGCACTGCGGACTTGGAACGCGTCTCGAGTGTTTTGAATGCGCACGCCGCGATTGCGTTTGTCTGCTTGGACGTAGCGAACGGGTATTCCGAACACTTTGTCGACGCCGTGCGTTTGGTTCGTGCCCAGCACCCGACGCACACCATCATCGCAGGGAACGTCGTGACGGGGGAAATGGTCGAAGAGTTGGTGCTCAGCGGCGCCGACATCATTAAGATCGGTATCGGTCCTGGCTCCGTGTGCACCACTCGCAAACAGACGGGCGTGGGGTATCCGCAGCTGTCGGCTGTGCTCGAGAGCGCCGATGCCGCGCATGGACTTCGCGGGCACGTCATTTCCGACGGTGGATGCACCTGCCCGGGGGACGTGGCCAAGGCCTTTGGCGCAGGGTACGTACTTTCGTTGCCCTCTCTCCCTCGTACAAGTGCCTGGAATATATGACCAAACCTTGTCATCCTATGATTTGACATGTATCTTTTCGATTTTGACAGTGTTTTTGTGTCAGAATTTGATATTGTCCTTTTACCCAAAATTTGACTTTTATGCCGATTCGCCAAACCTATCGATCGATTGTTTGTATTAATCGTCCAGTGTCACACTAATTGAAGTCACACACTAATTTGATGTTGCATTGGTCTGAAGAGTGGATATGATTGGCTACTTCATTCTTGATCTGGGTTTTGATTGGTTTATATCACTTGTGTGCCGATATTGGTGCTGCTCATTCGATTGAGAGCTCCCCCGACTCCAATTTCGAATCGACTTGAAATACTAGTACTACTATTAATACGTAGTAGTACTAGGCCATGCTTCGATATTTTATATTTATGATTTTCGACAGGTCTTAAATTCGTGGAAATAGTTTCTTGCTTTTGTACAGAATTCAATCGACAACTTATATATATATATATATATTGACTATAATGTTAGAGCGGACTTTGTCATGTTGGGTGGGATGCTCGCCGGGCACGACGAGAGTGGTGGGGACGTGATAGAAACGACCGATGGGCAATTGGTCAAGCGTTTCTACGGCATGAGTTCTGCGACCGCGATGAAGAAACATGCGGGGGGAGTGGCCGAGTACCGTTCCAGCGAGGGCAAGAGCGTCACGGTGCCGTATCGGGGGCCCGTGGACAAGACGATCAAGGACATCTTGGGCGGTGTCCGCTCCACGTGCACATATGTTGGCGCTGGCCAGTTGAAGGAGCTCACCAAGGTGCGTTTACCACATGCATGGGGGGGATTATACTGTAGCTCACAGAGTTCGAGTTGTGCAGCGCACCACGTTCATTCGAGTGAGCCAGCAACTCAACGAAGTGTTTGGCAAAGCCCCCAACGAACAAGAAGAGGACGCACGTGTAACGTTAGCCACGAAAGCCCAGACCACGACCTAGACGACCTGCAAGTGTCTTATCCCTTTGATTCCACGGAAAAACAACTGAAAACTAGTGCCAATATCGTTCATAACGTTATGACAAAGCGTGTCATCAATGCACTTTTGGGTGAGTCAGTTTGGGAATAAACGTTTCAAATAATTCGTCAGTGAAATAGACTGAAAGATCTAATATTCTGGTGTTAGCTCCTCGTTTTTTCCATAAGTTACATGGCGAACGAAATTGTACTAAGTTAATCAAGTATTTAGAAAAACGAGTGTCTGGATACCACAAAAAGTCAAATATTTATTCAGAACATTTCGCCAAAAATCCCAAATTGTGATATAAAAAATGTGCCAATTTCGTCATGTATAGCCAGTGCAGTGCACCTACTGTACCTGTCCGTACATTTGGAAGAATTCTACTATTATTACTACGTCGTAATATATATTTCAAATCTGCATCTAGATGATTTCACCAAGATTTATTTTGAATGCTCTATGGACTTTCGGCAAAAAAATGGAAATCGTGTATACTCCGGAGTACTTCGAATTAACTATTTTACTTCGAAGTATGAGTTAGTTTATGTTATGGTCTTGTCAAGTATCGGCAGACAATCGATCGACCATTCAAAACCAAAAACAATTTAAAATAACTTTTTTGGAGGCGTCGGAGTAGAATGGACATAACTTTAAGAGTCCGTTACGATATTTGAGTTTTGAGAAGTGATTCCAAAAGACAAGACGCGCCGCTTTCACCTCATAGTTGAATTATCTGTTTAGACAATGAACTTCACAGATAAATTTGTTACTTTCTAAGCATTTGGACTCACATTTTGATAATCAATTTAGGATATCTTTGTTTATCTTAAAGTATGTATGTGTCGGGGCATTGAAAGTCTGTGTTTAGGGTAAGCCGTTACAACAGTTTCATATATTTTATAGAAGGGTATTGTTTTATAGAGTTATATTTCTTTTGTGGAAGGAGCCCGTGTCGACAAGGGTACTTCAAACCCAATCCTGAATGACTGTTACCAATGTCTTCTGCGCCGTTTTTGAGTTTCATTCACGTGACGGAATGGCCAGCATTATATGACAGAGGTTTTGACTCGAACAAATAACGAGGTGTGATTGGGCAATTCAAAGTTGGTTAAGGGTGCGTCTGGTAACATTTCAAAAATAATACTACTATTCCATTTTCTCGCAAAATGGGATTAACCAAAATGCCATTTTCAAAATGGAGGTAAAAGGTCTATTTGGTAATATGGCGTTTTGAACCTCTTCAACAAGTAAATCCCACTTGGAATTATTGGATTTGGGTTAAAACTCTTCGAACAAGACATGTTTCAATATTGATCAGATTTGTTGAATTCGGCTCCAAAATGGGGTTTTGGGGCTGACTGTGAATTGCAATATTTCCGGTTACCTGACACACCCTAAGTTATCTTGTTTTTTACGTTAGCCAATCAAGTCCACTCTTCGACCCATTCAACATCGAATTAGTGTGTGTCTTAAATTAGTGTGTTACTGGACCTTTTTTACATACAAAAGTCAGTACAAATAATCGAATGATAGATTTGGCGAATGTTTTTAACCCATGAAAGGGGTAAAAGGGTACGATGCAAATCGACGGTTCTCATTGGTGGAAGGTTTAGAATGCTGGTCAGAAGGACGGAAGATTATTGCATTTCAAAGAGCATGGACACGAACTCACCACGGCTGTCCCAGTTCACTCGCGCGGCGCTGGTGGGTTTCTTGGTCGTGGTGCCGGTCATCCTGGTAGTTCATGAGTGAACCAACGCAACGCAACGTGTGTATCTAACTATGACTGTACATGGACATAGGTGCTGGTAGCGTCGTGGTCGGCTTTGCTTCCCTTGGCTATGTTGTACCTACCACCAAGTCTGTTCGCCCTGGCCGTAGCTACCTCTCACCGCCGCCAGAATACGCACATCCGAGACATCGACACCGACGCCCTGGTGCGTCTCTTCCTCGGAGGCTTCTTCCCAGGCGTGATCCTTGCTATGTTGGCCGAGACGGTGTTGACCGTCGCAGGACTCGGCGTCTTCCTCGCGCTAGACCACGGGGATATTCTCGGGCAAATCCAGCAATATCGTGCGCAGCATCCCCCTCCCGCCAACGCTACTTTGAATGTGGGGGACGTTTTGTCGCATATTCGCATTCGGCACTCGCTCAGCGTACTGCTCGGGATGGCCTTCATGGCGTTCGTAGTCGCCGGCGCGGTCGAAGAATCCATCAAGACTTGGCTCGTCCTGCGAGGACCTTGCTTCATTCGCCCTTCGACGTGGTCCCATGGCGCCACGTCATCGACCTTGTCCGTCAATCCCCCTACGGATGCCGCCGCCGCTACGCCGCCATTCCACTTCGTTCTGAGCTTTGCCGCTGTCGGGTGTGGGTTTGCAACCATAGAGAACGTCTCGTACGCGTTTCTAACCCCCACGCTCGCGTTGCAAATTTGGGCGGCTGCCGTCCGCGGCCTTTTGGCCACGCCGCTGCACATGATCTGTGCTACTCTCACTGGCATGCAACTAGTATTACTACCTCCGACGACTAGTACCTCCAAACTGTTCAGCAGACGCGTCGGCCGCGCCATGCTGCCAGGCATCGTCCTCCACGGCGCGTACGACCTCCAATCGTTTTTGTTTACGTTTTGGCTCAATGACGACGACAACATCATGTCGTTTGGAGCGTCGGCGCTGTGCTTGGTGGTCGGAGGTTTGTACTTGAACTACCTGCGCGGGCACATTCACTGGACCGACAACTACCATCCTGTAGGCCTCGTCGACGATGACTCGGCTTCGATGCTGGTCTAAGTGGTCGTGGGGATGGTAGGGTAGGTAGATTAATATCTTAACAAGCCTGAAAGGATATCTCGACTGGGAAAGATGAAGACGCTCATGCAGCAGGTTGCTTTGGGGGGCCACCGCGGCCACGGCCCCGTCCACGCCCGCCGCTGCTCTTGCCCTTTCGATGCTTCTTGTCCTGGTCCGGTTTCTTCAATGCTTGGACCTTTTTGAACAGTGGCGATTTCTGCAGCATGTCTGGCAAGATGAACAGCTTCACTTGGCTCCCGCGGACGTAGACCTGTTCCAGGCGGCTGATCTGACCGTCCCGACCCGTCAATGTGACCTGTTTCAGCTGGCAGTTCATACTGTCTTCGCTCTCAACCAAGTGGCCTCTGTAAATTTCTCCGTTCTTGAGCTCCAATGTGATCGCATGTCCCTCGCCTTCATGCAGCAGGCTCAACGGCACTCCCAACGACTTGGACATTTCTTCTTGCTGCTGTGTGGTGAGCAAAATGCGATTCCATGGCCCTCTGAAACTCAATACCTTGCACATATAATATTTCCCCCCGCACCACGCATATCCACCTCCAAGCATATCCGGACCACTAGATTATCCGGATAAATTGGTGTCGCACTTCAACATGAAATTGAAGGCGGCCAACGGTATCGCTAGACACGACACAACTGTACACAGTGCCCACACACGATGAGATGCTATGTCATCGTTTAGGTTTAATGTCGATGGTGGATAGCTGCTGGATGGCGCTGGATTCAATGGCGTGAAAAATCTGAACGATGGCATTCATAAGCCACTCGCTCATATCAGCCGCCGTGTCCTCGTCATCGTCTGGATGGGGTTGCGTGGGGCCTTCCGAATGTGGGGACAGTGGTATCGACGGCTCAGTTGAGTCTTTGGTGGCGCGACATCGAAACAAACTGCGGGCGTGTGTGGCTGGCTTGGGATTTTGCTCAAACCCGAGCCGCCTCCCGGACGCGACCAACGCACGATCGAGTACAATCCTACCACCGTGGCACATGAGTCGTTTGGTCGTTTCGAAGTCATGCATGTGTACCATCCACTGACACTAAAGGCAATGGACTGTCGCGGCAACGGAAATTTGGCGTCTTCGGCAATGTTGCGCAGCACAATCACATGGCGATCGACAGACTCCCGCACAAACTTGAGCAGCACGTTCAGCACCAGGGGGTGGCCAGGGCTGATGCCATCGACGACCATCACTTGCGTGTAGCACGTGGCAGCGTCCACAACTTCCAAGCACTAACATAAAAACCCATCCCCCATGACCCCCCCTACGTAAGGGGACGTTTTTCGGTTATATATGTACCTGCACCCTCCACATCGATGTCGTGGCCGACATTGTGAGTGCGTCCCATAAGCACTTGGCATAAGTGTCCAAAACCGTCATCACATTGCGATTACGCACGGCGTCGACGACGTCCCCGCCGTGGAAGAGCTTGACTTCGTGCTGCAAGTCGTCCCCCATGTAGCTCTTGTGCACGTCCAGCGCAGCGAGCGTTTTGCTCTCGACTTGGCTGATAATCCAGCGGTATCCCTTGGCTCGAAACGCACTGTCCACGAGCGTGTGGTTGGATCCTGGGTCGGGCTCCAGCATCTACAGTGACCTTGTTAAATATATAGGTTCCGTTATCACGTTCGTGGATATAATATATATAGGGCGTACGGCGTCGAATTTGTAGCCTTTCATGCTGCCGCCACTGGTGGACACGCCAAAGCTGTTGCGACTGCTGCGGTTGGAGTTGACGCTGCGGTTGCTCGTATTCAGCAGGGACAGGTGGCTACGGACGCTGGCCAGCACGCCTTTGGTGTGGTGCCGACTGTTTCTTCGGCCAGACCCCCCACCACCGGGCAAACCACTCGACGAGAATGCTTTGCTCAGTCGATGGGCTTTGGACGACGCCGTGGCCTCTCGCGAGTCGGTTGAGTGGATGGTGGTGTTGGGGGTGTTGGTCGTTGTTGAGGGGGGACGGGGAGTGATGGGCAGTGCGTCATGAGGGATGTCATGCACGGACACTTGGGGGCTGACTACGTGTACACTGGGGGGGGGCACGTTGACCCGCCTCGACTTGGACGCGAGGCATCCCATGCTAAAGCACGTCTATAAATAAGACGCGGTCGTTTTTCGCCGCCTGGAAGTGTGACATTTCGTGGCATGAAACTGTTTGCTGGGGATGACTTTTTTACAGCTTCCTAGTATTACTGTATGTATGGGGGTTGGTTCCAACAAGTCGTCATTTGGTGGTCGAGAGTCGTTCTCGATGAACCCGAATCATCCTGAGAGGGGATATCATTAGCTACCTGGTAATAGAGCTCGTTGGCCGTAACATGACAATGATTATTGGGGCCTCCACCAAGTTTCGCCGTCCGAGCGTAATCTTAAACTATTGCGAAACCGAACTTATTTGTAACTGCTTCAGTTTAGCAAAGTCGGAATCTCATTTACACTTTGAATGGGCCACGGCGCCAGCGTCGCGTCAACAGCGCCTCACTGGACCGCTACGAAGACGACTCTAAGGCTCATCAACGTCAAGGCCAAGAAGGGTGGCCATCGCAAAGATCGAAATTCGAGGACTCCGAGTAGCACCAACGCCGCCGATGATGACGAGGACAACTGCCCGCTGCCCCCGGGTCTGCACCACGCACCTCCTTTTCTTCACCACAAAACCACATCGCGGATCAAACCACGGTCGTCCAAGGGCAAACCTGACCAAGTACGTTAAGGTGCCTGTTCGGTGTTTCAGTCACATCAGCTCAACCGCTCCTATGGCACCAAGAATTGATTCTACACAAGTGCATTGCGTTTCGAACGTTAAGTTGCTTTGGCGTAGGACATCCCTTGTCACTCTCTAGTAGACATGCAATTCCGTGCCGATGGGTATCAGTGGATTGCCGATGCGCTGGAAAAGGAGACGAAAGCGGCGCTTCGACAGGTGCGCGACCGCGTCGGCCGGGATCGCCACGTCCCCCAAGTCCGATTCTTCACCACCAACGGCGACGGCATCGACTTGGTGCGATGCCGCCTCGTAGACATGCCTCTCGAGTCGTTCAGCCGTTGTATATGGGGCACGTTCACTTCCACGATGACGTACGACGATTGGTCTGTCCAGGTACTAAACGGTACAGTGATCAGTCAGATTTGTGGTCATCTGCAGGTTGTGTTATGTATCAGTGCCTCGAACGACTGGACGATAACACGTGCTACTGCCGTGTTGTGTTTGACCACGGCATTGCGACCAACGTACCCCTCCGCCTCAACATTCTGCAGCGACAAGTGCGAACAAAGGACCGTGTGGTGATTGTCCTGCGCAACGTTGTCGAAGACAACGAGTTCCCACTACCCCCTCAATCGGTGCGACTGCTCATGAACGGCTGGTACGAATACTGCAATAATCTCCATGGGCATGGCAAATGTGTGCTGGTTGTTTCTCACGATGACGTTGTTCATGGAACAAGGTTCGTGTTTGATCGAGATCACCAGAATGCCACGTTAGCGCGCACGTTGGTGCAATGCCATGCCACACGCACAGACAACAACTTGAGTGAAGAACAAGAGATCCAGCGAGCAAAGGACCCACCACATTACAACCGCCCGCGGACACCGTGGCTGCGGCAGCTAGTGGGTCGGCTATTCGACGCCGTCGACGCGACGAATACCGCCAAGCTCCACGTGTCCCCTCCAGAGGCTGCAAACCTTGTCATCCGCAAGCATAGCGCTGCCTCAAACGGCAACTACCTCGAGTCCAGATGACAGGAGCTGGGGTTCGTACAGGTGTAATCATCGTAACGAAGTCTGGAGATTGTTGTGTCGCATTGTGAATTTCACAACATTGACAGGGGCATGAAACGGTTTTCCCGGATAACGATAATTATCCGGATGTCCCATGCATCGTGTGGGATTGGTTGACCATTTCAGTCGTGAACGTCCCCGAAGCATCATGCCAAGCCAAGATTGGATCCGCGTCCTTCGCGGCGTTGGTCTCGTGGCCGAGCAAGTGGCTAAGAACTCCAAGCCACTAGAGGAGCAATCCAAGCGCGTATTGAGTCACGCCGCGGACTTGATCACCCTAGCCCCGCAGCTGTTTACGTCGGTCCCACCTACGTTGTCCGAGCCTTCTGCCACCACCAGTGCAACCGACGATGACAACTTACAGCATGAGTTTTCGTCCCTTTCCACTACTACGCCATCTAACGACGTTGCTTCGACTGCATTGCCCCCAGCATCGCCTGCACCAGAAGTTCCACCTTCAACTCCATCGCAGCCATATTCGCCGCCACGTCCTCAACCGACGCAACTGGAGGCACTGCGTCCGTCGATCGAGGCCAAGGAATGGACAGAAAAGCACGTGCCATCGTCGCCCTTGGCCCGCATCGTCGGATTCGGCGCGTTGGCCGCGCGCCTCGCCGTCGGCACCGCCACGGCCGTGATCCAGAACCAAGGCAGCAGCGAGAAGAAGTCGATCCACCAAGCATTTGTGTCGGACGCGAACGCCGAACGACTCGCGGATGCCCTCTGTACCATGCGTGGGGTACGACCCCTATTCCATCAACATTTATATTGTGATTTGTTCTACTCAAAACATTCCCTCCGGTGGTTGGTTGAATGAACCGCCGAACAATCACCGGACCTTCGAAATTTCATATAAAACTAAGTTGTAGGGGTATCTTTGTGACTGCAATACTACACTCAATCTTTTTAGCCAATCAAATTGCAACATTCATTCTCTATAGCCAATCATACTCATTTTCTAGATTAGTTGGCGATTTCATCAATCCCCCAAAATAGGCAAATTTGACTGAAAAGCACAATATATTCCCTCGTTTTAAGAACCTCCTCTCACACGGACGCCACCAACGTGTAGGCCGCGCTGAAGCTTGGGCAAATGCTTAGCATCCAAGACGAGAACTTGATTCCGCCGCAGCTGGCCGCCGCCCTCGATCGAGTCCGACAAGGGTGCGCACCTCGACAATCTGATATCACGATATTTAAAAAAATTTTTTTTTTATATTAACCGACATGAATTGCGGAACTGTAGCGCCCATATCATGCCCAAGTCGCAATTATTTGCCCAGCTGACCAAAGAGTGGGGCCCAGAGTGGCGTGATCACTTTGAGGCGTTCGACGACGTGCCCCTCGCCGCTGCTTCCATTGGCCAAGTAAGCTGTAAATAATATGTATATAATGATCTACAACATATTATTAATCTATTAGAATATTATTTGATACAACAGGTACACAAAGCCACGCTGGTCACTGGCGAAGTGGTGGCCGTGAAAGTGCAATACCCAGGGGTGGCCGAGAGTATTTCAAGCGATTTGCTGAATCTCAAGCGCCTGGTCACGTACATGAATGTCTTTCCCAAGGGTTTGTATATTGATGAAATCATTCGGTACGATTAATATATATATATGGTGGTTCCCATATATATATAAATATATATATATATATAAAAATATATATATATATATATATATATATGGGAACCACCCCCAGGACGCTGCATCTCGATGAATATATCTTTATTATTTTTGATATGTTGCCTGTCATATATTGATTAATATATGCAGGGTCGGGCAAGAAGAATTGACGGCCGAGTGCAATTACACTCAAGAAGCCGAAAACCAAACGATTTTCAAAACTTTAGTGGATGACTATGAGCTGTCGAGGCATTTCATCGTGCCGACGGTGTACCCCGATCTGTCGACGAACCGCATCCTGACCACAAGTTTTATCGAAGGCGTCCCTCTGGACAAGATCGTGCTGTTGTCTCAAGAGGTATATATATATATATATATATATATATATATATATATTGTCCTTTCAGCCAAAAATTGGATTGATTTGTGTGGTGATTCGCCAAATCTATCGATCGATTCTTTGTACGGAATTTTGTATGTAACTGCCGCCGATTCTTGTGTACGTTATTTGGTTGTGTCCATTCATTCTCCATGTCGATCTAGTTTAGAATAAACACTATATATATTTGTCGTTTCAGTTGGATTGATTTATGTGCTGCTTGGCCAAATTCTAGTGTTTTTGGACAGTAAAGTATTTGGGAAGCCCTTCACACTATTTGAAGTCACAACACACTACGTCGATAGTTGCAGGAGTTTGATTGGCCACTTGAATAGTGTTCTGAGGTTTGATTGGTCGATCGATTATCTGTCGATTTGGTTATTCTGCTCATTCGATTGAGCTTCCCACTGCAAATTATTCGAATCCAATGGACAATATATGTGTAACTCAAAAATGGTGGCATCCCGTTGGACACTTTTTCAATTATATATATATTATATCTTCTGACCAATATATATAATATATATATGTAGATTCGCAATCACGTGGCACGACAGCTGCTCCAGCTGACCATCCACGAGTTGTTTGTGTGGCGGTTCATGCAGACCGATCCAAACTGGAGCAACTTTCTGTACGACCCCGAGAGCGGAAAGATCGGCCTGATCGATTTTGGGGCCGCCCGGGCCTACCCCAAGGAATTTGTAGACACATATTTCGACATTGTATGGGGCGCCGCCCAACTGGACGCCAATGCCATGATGGACTCGTCGTTCAAGCTCGGGTTTCTTACTGGTATTGATTGTATATATATTGTCGAAATGATAGTACAAATTTGGGGAGGGGGTGCAATCGAATCGCGCCGACCAAACCGATCCACAATCGACCTGATTGGTTGAATTTCATTTAGAAGGTTTTGATTGGTTAATAATTTTGAGCTCATCTGAAGTAGCCAATCAAATCGATTTAAATTCCAACGAAAAACCACCCCACAACACGGAATTTCACTCGAAAGTTCGAGTATTATTTATGTATTACTGGAGATTTGGTATGAATATCTATCTATATGGCCCCAATCTCTCCCATGGGTCAGTCTAAGTTACTTGTCGATGATTGGCTACAATCCTTTTGACGTTACTACTGGAATGGGTGAAATACATATTAGCCAATCAGATGTCTTGGCACGGGTTGTTGCTCTTGGATGAACGCACCATGAAGAATTGGGGAATTTTCTTGAAGAATATCGACAATATATATATATATATATATTATTTCTATAATTCTCATTGATCGGTTGTAGGGGACGAGTCCAAGGACATGCTCGCCGCCCATGAAGCGGCGGGGATGGTCGTGGGAGAGCCATTTGCGTCGGCCGAACCATTTGACTTTCACGGCAGTCAGTTGACGCGCCGTCTCGCCAAACATACCGAGATGTTTATGTCAGGTGCGACATATATATACTAGTCTTTATATTTCGATGCTTGGAGCTATATTTATTTATATAGATTTGGAGATATATTTATATATATATATATTGACAACATGGGCATGTAGGCCGGTTGACGCCGCCGCCGCGCGAAGTATACTCGCTCCATCGAAAGCTCGCCGGCGCCTTCCTCATGTGCATCAAGCTCAAGGCTGTGATTCCATGCCGAGATGTGCTGGAAGATGTGGCGAAACTGTATCACAAACAGTAGCTGACATCGCCTATCGTCATACTAGTTTGCCTAAGAGCTGGGATAATCGCATTAGAATTCATAGCTGTTCCCTTGTCACAGAAACCCTTGGAGCTCCCCTCTTGTGTAGCATACTGTATCCCTTACGGACGACTATCCGGACGACTGGAGGTGATGCCTGACGATACTGAAGGGGTGGTTCTCGTCTAACTTAACGTTGATGAAAGTTATCATGGTAGAATACACTATAGTGGTTGCAATTTGGCCGCTACGTAATTACGGTAATTAACGTTAACTACCGTAGTAGGGACGGGCATGGCCGTTTCACAAACCAGCCAATCACCGACGAATAGTCTTGTCGCAACGGTACCTGTGGTGGCTGGCATCTCCATATTAATAATACCTCTCCATGTACTGTATCCCATCGCGTCACGACTCGATTGTCATGGTAGCAGTTTACAGTACATATTGTCCAATCGATTCGAAACTGGAGCCCTCAGCAGAATCGAATGTCGTAAGAGAATCGATGAAAGAACCACCAAAGCCAATCAAATCACGTCATGTCGAATTTCTGCCAATCCAAACGCTTGATTCGGCCAGTATATACTAATCGTTGTATTTTATACTATTAATAGTTTGTATGGATTATTCGAAGGCTACGTATTTGGTGAAATGACTCGCAAGTCCAAATTTGGGTGAAATGCACAATACCTATAACGTTACTGTACATCTATCTACAGTACGTACTATTAAATACAAATACCGGTAGTACATACTAGCATGTCGTGATGACTACGGAGTCTGGTGATACATCGTCACACAAGAACTACAATGATGACGGCGGCGACAGTATATCATGTGGAGGACTGGGTGCTGTCTGTGGTCGTGGGCTCGTTGCGTTCGTCGATGGATCCACGCACGAGGTACGTCGCTTTCAAGCGTCCGTTGGCCTTTGGCTGTTTCTTCTTCTTCTCTTTGAAAAACCGCATCGCAAACCACTTCCAGCTCCGGCCAAACGGGTGTCGACAGAAGCGGGGAAACACTTGCGTGTACAAGGCACAGAGCAGGTCGTGGGCTATCGGGTCGAATAGCGCCGCGTCGAGCTCGAGCGGGGCGACTTTGTTGATGCGCGTCCGCAACGCCGGGCGCCACGCGGCGGCCACGGGCGTCGTGAGCGGCCCGCCCGATGAAATGCACTGCTGGTACACATGTTGGGCGGCAAACAGAGAATGCAGGGGGCCCCGCCGGAACTCTTGGCAGAGGCGGAGCGCAAGCACGTCTTCGAGGCGAAGTTCCAGGTAACAGTATGACCGAAACGCTGCGTACCCGTCTGGTGAGTCGAGAAAGGCTGACCACATTTCGAGAGACTTGCGACGGGGCATCGGCGGCGCTTTCGAGGACGCGCGGAGGCGCCGGCGGCTCATGCCGCCATACCGAACCAAGGTCGTGGTGCCGCGCAAGAGGTAGAACGCGTTGAGTTGGACCAGAAGCGTGTCCAGGATGCCGTCGATGTGAAACGCTGGTGAATATTGCCAGGCGTTGGCTTTGGTCAGTGCTACTGCCACCACGAGTAGTACCAGCGTGCCGCGCGAGCGGGCTACGAGACACCGAAACAAGTGAAAGTAATCCATGCTGTGGTGGCTGCGGTATTGTCGATGCAGGAGGGTCGCGGACACGACGGTTAGCGCGAGCCACGGACCAGTAATGGCCACACTCTACATGATCCATCCATCCGATGAGATGAGACAGTGTCGCATGGGGATGAGACAGGGTCAAATTACTACACGGTCGAGAGCGATATGTGGGGACGTGCCAAGCAGCATCAGCGTCGTCGACAAGGGCCGAGGCATTGTCGCATATGCCATCCAAAGGACGAGACTGGCCACCAGCGACACGATGCTGAAGCCCACTTGACGCTGCACACGAAGACACTGGCGATATCTGTACATGGTCTTGAAGTGCGCTTGGTTCCACTTTGAATACCTTGCCAGCAGGTCCGTTGCGTGCACGGTGATGACGAAGCGTCCTTCGAGCACCAACACCCACGCGCTGTCCATATGTCAGAAACATGTGACTGGCTACGAGAGGTGTACAAAAGAAACATGACGTTTCACGGCGCGTACTTTACCTCGTGGCAACCACTCCAACCCCCCACGCCAGATGTAACCAGCACGGCAGGTCTATCAATGACAAGAGGGGTCGCGTGATGGCGAGGACCATGCACAGGCAGGCAGGGACGACAAAGCGCACTGGTGGGGCGTGGACGATGCCTGGGTTCCACCGCTGTGGCCATATGGACTTGTACACCAGCCATGGCATGTACCATGTTGTCATCCACACAAGGACGAGTGGGGCATCTTGGACCTGGTGACGCATGTCGTGAGGTTCATCTTTATAACTCATATGTTGAAACTGACAAGTTCCAGGCCTCCACCTCACAATCAGTCATTCTGGGGGTAATGCACTCTGATTGGATAATACTACAGATAACTAAACGTCTGGCATTTCCATTGGCTGGATTCTCACGGGTGTTTGGTACTACCAGTATATGGAGGGAGACTCATCCAAGTGGTGTAACGGGTCAGAACGGCTGCACGTTCGAAATGGTGTCAGCGGAATCGGCGCCGAGTCCGTCACGGCTTGCAGCGGCCATGTACGAAGGCAAGGAAGACCAAGGACTGCGCTCTGGCCAAGGTGAAGCAGCTCGTTGGTTAGTTGACATTAGACGCCAACATATCGGCACCGTGTATGTAGGAACGTTGACGTTTGGCAACGGTGACACATACGTGGGAGAGTTCTCCAAGGGATTCCGACATGGGCGCGGGCGCTACACGTACCTTCGCGGGACGGTCGTGTACGATGGCGAGTGGCGCCGCAGTCTACGCCATGGCCACGGCAAGGAAGTGTGTCGTGACGCTAGTCAGCGGATTCGATGGAGTTACGAAGGGGCGTACGAAAACGACAAAAAGCACGGCCGTGGCGTCGAGCGCAAGACAGCCCAAGGGACGTACGTCGGGTCGTTCGTCCACGACCTCAAGGATGGTGCGGGGGTCATGACGTGGCATAACGGGAACACGTACGACGGCCAATGGAAAGATGGGCGCATGTGTGGCCTGGGCAAGTACGTATTCACAAATTGTGTTGAAATACCAACCACCTTGTTAACAAATGGTGTCGGAACGACGATCACGGTTTGTTATGTTTCACAGATACGTGCGGCAAGCGGACGGGAGTTTTTACGACGGCATGTGGGTGCACGGGCTGCGGCACGGCCGTGGTCGGGCCGTTTCGAAAGCCGAGGTTCGTTTTTTATATTTTCTTCGAAAAGCATAATACAACGTTATAGTCGAGACAGCTGTGATGTGTGAACTACGTTATTGCGAAAAACTATCAAACCCACCCTCGGTTAGATCTACGATGGCATGTGGAAGGAAGGGCTCATGCATGGCGAAGGGATGGTTATTGTCGACGCCAAACAGCGGCGCGGGGTGTGGGAGCGCGGCCAGCGGGTGAAATGGACGTCGGCGGAAGCCCTAGTGCAGTAACTTTTGTTCTTCAAGCACCCCCTCAACGATGGCATTGTGGGCGTTGGTCGATGACAGGATGGTCACCAACCTGCCAGAATGAATAACCTTTAACTTACAGCCAACAGTCCCAACATGATATTTTTGATGTTCCTTCGACATATACGTTCTGTTGTAAGTAAATACTGTGCGTTTCACCGAAATTTGTCAATCTTGGACAAGTATGATTGGCTAAATAGAATATGGGTTGCCTTTTGATTGGCTAACAATAATGAATTTTGCAACTCGTACTATTATTAATAGTACCTCTCTATAAACGTCGTTCTATTTATTACGAAGTATATTTCACATGTCCATCGATTGTTGGGAGGTTTAATACTACTGATCGTAAGGTTTATTGTACTAAGTGCGTATGGTAGGACAATCGACTAGCCAATGAAATTTCTTCAATCCTACATTCCAACCAATGGAACTGTTGTGCTTTGGCCCATATATTGACTTGTTTATGGAATTCGTAAGGTGGCTGGCCTTACTTATGATTATTAACCAATCAGAGTGCATCATGGTTTCTTTACCATATAATTGGTCACAACGATCATTAGAACGATCCTATTGGCCAGATATTTTCACTTTTCTATCATATAATTGGACAGAAATTTGGTAAGGCAGCCTGCCTTTCGAATTCATCAATAAGATGTGTTTAAATGAATTTAAATCATTCCATACAAAGATGAAGCTTCATTCAATAAAATTTGAACTATTTCAGATCGATTTATGGTTCGAAGGCATCTCACCTTGCAAGCCTACTAAAACCTACTGTTTCACCTTACGAATTCTGTATTATGAATTTTCGTATGGTATACATTGTATGGTACACAATTGTGTTTCGAGTCTTGAATATACTGCCCAGTCCAAAATTTCAAAGACAATAATATTGGAAGTAACCTGGTGGTTTAAAAGATCTATTTTTGTCAACCAATTGCCGGCGAAATACACAATACTTCAATAATTAATATAAACCCTGATCGTAAGTCGCTCCACTTGCTTTTTCGATTCATTTGATCGAACGAGGAGCTCTTCTATCCAAACTGAATGCGAGCCCTCCTACTAGTAACACAATACATACGACATGTAGATTGATTTTATAGTAGTACGACGCGAGTTTCAAAACACAAGATGACGGGCATTTGTTATTTGCGGGCCAAAATATCAAAAAAGTACTGCGACTCCAACGCGCCATCCTCGGATAAGTCGGTGCAATGCACGGCGTTGTGCACGCGGTCCGTGCCAAAGCGAGCGCGAATCGTCGACGGTTTGAGCTCCCGCGCCATGTCAATGTCCCACGGCCCGGCCGCTTCTCGGAAACGCTGGACCTTTCGTAACGTGTGAGAATAAAACCCAATATATATATATTGTGAATTCGCTATAAACTTCCAAAATTCGCCTGGTTGTTTGCCTAATCAATATTGCATCACGCCGAAGTTCTGATTGGTTGAATATAGTTGTCCTTTCGAGCCAATCAAATCCACTCAAAAATGGATCAGCCAATAGCGTCGATTCGTGATTTGATTCGGCGGGGTCAGGAAATTCGTATTGAATCCACAATATATATTGTGCTTTGAGCCAAAATTTCGATTTTTGACCTCGTTTCAACCAATCCATTGGTCGATTTTTTGTACTGCATTGTGAATGTAACATTTGGAAAACCATGCACACTATTTGAAGTTACACATACACACACTAAATCGATGGTTTCACAAGTTGGGTTGATTGGCCACTGGAATGGGTACTCGGTCGATTGACCTAAATTCGATCAATCGACTAGACAAATCGACATAATCATCGAATATGATGGCACAACTCGCAAACAAAAAGCACACAAAACCAATACTTACCACGTCGCCGTCGCCGATGAGCTCGAGCGCGATGCAAGGGCCGCTGGTCAAGTGATCCACCGCTTCGTTAAAGTGGGGGACCACACCGTCATATAGCTACACACAAGGACCGTTCAACACCAACACTGTCTTTGCAATACTACGACTACATTGCATACTAGAAGCGAAGCAACACGCTAGGAAAGCATAAGCACAACTCGAACGATCGAAACCAGTAACTACCAGCAATATCCCCGTATTGGAGATAGAAACAAGAAGCATGTATACCTCGAGGAATTCTGACGCCGACGTTCTGTCCAAATTGAACAGTTCCATGGCGGTGATGGTCAAGCCGCTGTCGAGGATGGCGTCGACGACCGCGCCCGTCTGGCCTTCCTTGAGCACATGCGGCTGGATGACGCAGCACGTGCAGTTGGCAAACGTCGCAGGGGACGGCCACGCCTTGGCCATAAACTGGTCGTGCAAGCTGGGGATGTTGTCAATTTTGATTCAATCGACCAAATCGGCACACAATCGCGATCATCGACCAATCAAAAACCAGAGCATGAATCCAGGGGCCAATCAAAAACTTCTCGCTTCAACCATGCAACATCGAATTAGTGTATGACTTGTATTAGTGTGACACTGGGCGACCATTTTTACATACAAAATTGGCAGAAAATCGCGATCGACCAGAACACGAAACAAGGGGCCAAGCAAAAACTTCTCGCTTCAACCATGTAACATTGAATTAGTGTATGACTTGTATTAGTGTGACACTGGGCGACCATTTTACATACAAAATCCAGTACAAACAATCGATCGATGGATTTGGCGAAAAACCAGCACACTTTTGGCTGAAACGACAATAACATTACATGACCAAATTGTGACTCGAACATAACAATAGGTGACCAATACACAACATAACGTGTGCCATGGTGTGCCGATGACATATCGAGACCAAAATAACAAATGGGGGGCCATCCAACACTTCACAAAAGGAGTCCTGTATGTAACAAAACGTGTCGAATTTCACCCACCGTTGGGCGTCGGCGGCGGTCGCAGCGACTTCAAACCCGGGCTGGTTGCCGCCAAATCGGGACTGCAACGACGACACGAGCAACGGCAGACGCTCCACGGCGCTCTCCCCCACGACTTCGACGACAATCGTCGGGACGTTGCCGTCGCGGAGGAATAGCTTCAAGTAGCTGAGCGTGAAGTGATTGTGGTGGAGCTGCGTGAGCACTGCGCCCGTGGCACCCAGGTGTGTGAAGAGGAGGATCGACTTTTGCGCTTGCTTGCCCAATTGTGTGGCCGTGAACGCGTCCAAGTAATCGGTCAGTTCAAAGTGGCGGCCAAACAGCAAAAGCTTCCCGCCCAAGAAGAAGTCCTGCGGCGACACACCGGCAGGACACTGGGTTTTCTTCAGGAACAACTTGTTGCTCTTCACGTCGAGGATCTCGACGTGGTTGCCGTCGGGGAAATACCGGACGTTGAAGTTGCGGTGCATCCTACGGAATCGCAGTTCACGGCGGCGACGACGATAGAGAGGAGCCATACGTACTGTGCATGCTGGTCGAACCACTTGGCCTTGAAGGCGTAGATCACATCGCGAATGGCATTCATGGTTGCTCTTTGAGCTAGATGGAGGCTTTCTCTTGTCGTCAGGCGGCAGTGGCCGTTTCAATTTGGAGGTGAAACAGAATTACGATCGAGTGAAATTTCGTGTTGTGGTTTCTGGTTGGAATTTAAATCGATTTGATTGGCTACCTCAGATGAGCTCAAAATTATTAGCCAATCCAAACCTTCTCATTGAAATTCAACCAATCAGATCGATTCTGGATCGGTTTGGCCCTGCCTCCCCAAATTTGTATCAAATCGACAATAAATGAAATCTCATTTATACGATGTTTGTGCACCAACCAAGAGAAAACATGTCAAAAGCCCATTTTCATTTTATCGATTTATGCATACGTTAAACAAGGCTAATGATGCTTAATTGTTTTTGGCAATTGCTGGTTCGTAAATAGAATTGTAAAGGCACGACGAGGTTTTATCTTTGGATTTGTATGCTATAAGTGAGGATGTCATGCACATGGTCGTCGTGTCCGGTTGAACTTAAACTCTCCGAAATTCAAGTTGCATGGACCAATCAGATTGCGTCGAAGGCGCTGCTTTAAACTCCATCAACGATTGTGCTAGCGGAACGGCCATGGCGACCGACGTGGCGATGGAGTTTGACATGGACGAGTCCGAGATCCTCTTTGGATCCAATGGTGGAGACAGCGCCAGCAATAGTGACGATGACGATGACATGGACACAGCTACGACACTCCGCCACCACCACATGCAACCGAGACCCGAGGACATGGGAAGCAGTCCCACCCGGCAAACACAAAAGCTGCCGCGCGTAGAATCGTGGGCAGTAGACGGCCGAAGTACTGCGATGATGAAGAAGCACCCCCAGTGGGAACGACAGAGTCATTCGATGCCTGCCCCATCCTGCGGCTTTCTCGTCGATAATCGGCGAAGGCGGAACAAGCAACAGCATTTCGACGCCGACAGCCCACCTCTGGACCATCCAGGTGCGTTTGTACATTCGTTTGGGATTTTCATGAAGGGGATTAACAAGTCGATTCAGAATCGATACTCATCCCATCATCGGCATCGTCTCAGCAGTCATCGCATGTCCACGGTGCCGCCATTCCCATCCGCTTGTCGGCCCCTTTGCATTGGCGGCGGAAATGCTTCGAAGACGCCGACGACACCCATGTACCGATAAATATATTCCATCTTGTCCAATACTACTACACTTATATATCTTTGCCAAACCACCTAGTTTGTACCGCCGCATCAACTCGTCGAGCGCGACTGCTTTTCCCTCGGGATGGGCCATTACTTTCGACACAAACCAGGCAACATCTAGTATATACTACTAGTACTACTACTACTACTAGCTCAAAACCACGACGAACAAGGTAACTAAACGCACAACAACCTTGTCACATACTAAAGTCTGTTCGTGGGGCGGCCAATCTCCATACCATCCCTGCACACATCATCCTATCGTTTGAATATGAGCCGGTCCTTCTACTCCGCCGGAGGATGCTGTTACATGGTTGTCGTCACTTGAGTTGCGTTCGGTGGGTTGCATGTGATGGTTGTCGAGCCATACTAGGAGTAGTCATCGGCGCGTCCACCACCACCACCCGCTGCGATGTCTTGGCTTGGCCGCAGCAGATCACTCGGATGGAGTGGGCCCTACAAAACCAACCCATGACCGAGAGAACCAACATCGATGATGAGGATGGATGTCGCACCGGGTGAGGAAATCGTCTTCAAATTCGACGTGGGGACACGACACATACACACTGAGCACGCCCACGTCCAAGTGTTGGAGCATCAAATCGGGCATGCCGACCCCTTCGACCTTGACGCCGTTCCGCGCAATCCACCGCGGCGCAAACAAGTTGCCGTATGATGCATCCAGCACCGTGAACGGCGCGACGGCCGCCGACGTGACCCCGACGGCGGTGCCTCCATTCGTGTTTTGCACCACAATGTGCACTTCCACCACTTGCATCACGGCCACTGCGCCGTCCCGCCACACCGACCTACCATTGCATTGTGATTTCGAGTCCAAATCCATCGACCAATCAAAAACCATAACACGAATCAACTGGCCAATCAAAATCTCTCTTCAACATCATCGAATTAGTGTATACTGGCTGTTTTTTACATACAACATACAGTATAATAAATCTTTCGGTGAATTTGGTGATAAAATTCACATTTTGCCCCAATGCACACTATGATAAGAATGGGGGTCCACGGTAGATGAAGAATTGTTGGGTTGGCTAGATATTGTGCTTTCGAGTGAAATTCTCGTTGGAATTTAAATCGATTTGATTGGCTACTTCAGGTGAGCTCAAAAGAATTAACCAATCAAAACCTTCTAAATGATATTCAACCAATCAGATCGATTGTGGATCGGTTTGGCCTCTCCCCAAATTTGTACCAAATTCGACAATAGATGAACCAAATAAACAATGAAACGAGTAGTGTGTACCGCGTGGTGCGGGAGTTGGATCGCCGAGCCAGAATGGCCCACACGGCGATGCCACCGGCGCGTCCTTTGGCGACGACGGCGGCATCCTCATCGGACGGACATGATGCCGCCGATTGAGCGTACACGAGGCGTGGCAGTGCCATGGACTTGTGCAGATGGAGCCACTATCAAAACAAATATGTTGTCATATATTTTATCCATAGAGGTGATGCACATATATATATTTATACATGCAAAAAAATACGACGTTTTGACTGCCAAAGTGGTATTTAAATATATATATAATATACATATATATATAAGAATCCGGTGCAAAATCAAGCGTTCCACAGATTCAGAGAATCGCAATCAAACTCCATTGGAACTTTGGCAATGTGTCGTACCTTTTGGCGCATGGTTTGACCAGGGGCGACGGCGGCGAGAGCGGCGCCGGCGATCCGCCATCGGGCGCCGACGAGGGCTTCCCACAAGTAAGCTTGCTTGACATCGCCGAGGAAGATGTTCCATTCCGAAGAGACTTGCATCAAGCGAGCGAGCGTCGAGGCGTCAAAGTGACGTAGCACGTGGGGACACGTCGTGACCAAGGTTTGCAGGATGGACGGTGCCGTGGTGGATGTAGACTTGGTGGACGAAGACAAAGCGGTGGTTTTCTTCACGCGCTTGGAGCGTTGTGGCACGCGCTGATGCTGGGGTAGTTGTGGGAGGAGCATGGAAGTGCAAGGAATCCAGACCATGGCCCCGGCGGCGGCGGACGGCGGGAGCGTCCCCGGGAGCGGCACTTGCTGCTTCAGTCGTTCGTTTTCCTGCTCGAGCGCTCGAATGCGTTCGCATGCGTACTGAATGACCTTGGCGCGGCTATTCTTGCGGCTGTTGGGAAGGCGGAGGACCTAGCACGAACACGTGAGTTGCATGCAGACCATGCTGTCGGTGCACTCAGCAAACCTGGAGGAGATCGTCAAACCCGTTGTTCACTTCAACCCGAGTAATTTTTGCACGAGACTTTTTGCGTTCGTAGCTGACATCCTGCGTCGACGACATCATGTCGTGGTGGTTCAACTCGGCCAGGTCAAAGCTTGAGAGGCGGCCAATATCCTTGCGAGTCGGTCCAGACATCCCAGTTGAGTTCGTCGACGTCAACTGCCATGGAAGGCTTCCTTGATCGGGGGAGTTGAGTAAATGCGATAAGTCCTCGTCCCAAATGGGTTCGCCGCCGGCTCCGCCACTCAAGTTGCCGCCAGACATGTTCACCACGTGCTATGTTGCCGCCTGCCACTACTACTCACTGCTGAATTGACATAATTAAATACGCCAGTCGTTTCAAACACCTTGCTATTTGTATGTGAGGGCTTGTTTTTTAATCGTCGATTTCAAATCCCACCCACACTATTTGTCGGCGAGTTTTGACATAGTTGCACATTGCACCAAGTTCAAGTGCGCGGCACATACTAGTACCTAGTATAGCCCTACCTATGATCCTACGGTACTGTAGACCTGACCGGATCATGCTGCTCGTCTCAAAGGTCGCCATGCATCATGCATGTACTCAAGTCCATCGCATGCAGGGACGCACATACAGTTGTGAATGGATGACCATGCAGGAACTGAGCACCATGACGAGTGTGGCCATGATGCCAACTCGTTTGGACGACTTCCTTGTCGGCTTACGTATGTTTTCAAATGAACCCCTGCATGCATGGGCCTTTAGACACTGTGAGATACGTATATGGTAACCTTTGCCGTGAATGACGATGTCAGTGGTAGCTTGCAGTACTGTATGTACACATGACAACATTATTCCCCGCGGTACAGCTCTTTCCTCAACATGGCATTGGCCGCGTCGGCACTCGCCGACAAACGATCAAGTATTATTCTCGTGTCATGTTTGAGATGAACACAAGACGCTACATGTACGCCGTGTGAACCCACGACGATCGTCACGAGAAATGTGTGTGAAACCGTCGACACGTCGCTTGACGGGTGGTTTCACGTTGTAACCGCTATGACCCCCACAACTCAAGTGCCCCAGTCCCAGTTTTACTACGATGAATCGCGCGATCGACGACATGCAGCACCAGGGGGGCCTGGTCGAGTTCCCCACGCGCAAGCCGCTGGCCAACCTGCTTCTTGGCGGCATCGCGCTCTTCGCCATCAGCTTTGTAGCCACTTGGTACCGCGTGTGGTGGGACAGTATCATTGGTCTCGTGGTCACCATCTTGGGCTATTACTCGATTCGCAATGAAAACCTCGTGCCCATGGGCCTGTCGTTCGACATGGTACGTCCGCGAGCGGTGTGTTGGATCGTTCTAATCATGCCTGGGCGGCTGGATTGGTTCCAGGCGTACTTTGGCAGCATCCTGAGCTTTCTTCTGCACGGCGTGGCCTTTGGAATCATTGCCGGCGAGCTCTCCGTGAAACACGTCCTCACCATCGTCAAGCTGGACAACCCTCCCCCGCCTGGCCTCTTGATCTTCGTGCTCGTGGTGGAATTGATCTTGCTCGGATACAGCGTACATCACATACCCCCCTTATATACGCATCCACATATACAACATGCCTTGGTTAGGGTGTGGTCATGTCGTGGTATTACAAGTTCCGCGCTGAAATCAAGCACACCGAGGCCAAGGCCGACCAAGACTACCGGGAACTCATCTAGTAGTAGTCTAGCAGTAACTGGAGTTCCAAACGTAAATATATTCATCATAGTGAGCTTACTATGTTGTTTTTGATCCGGTGCATTATTCATATCCTTTTGATCGTGACCTTTGGGACTTCAATCACATGGTACGGATAAACGTTATCCGGGACAAATGCACCAATCGGCGAAACCAGTCAAACGAATATTGAACGACGACGATCGATGGCAGGCGCCAAACAAAAGGGCAAGCAGAGTGCGTCGACGTGCCATCATCGTATGATGGGTGTTGATCAAAGGTGACGGTCGTGATATAGATGATAAGGGCATGGCCAAGAAGAAGGCGGTGCATGCGAAACCTGCCGCGAAGAAAGGGCAGCCGTTCGCTTCCCTGAGCAAGCACAAGTAAAAGCAGCGCAATTGGTGCTGGCCGTTGACCTGCGATTGAACTGTAGACAGCAGCCGCACCAGCAGCAAAAGAGGCGATCGAACGGAGCGTCCAACAAGAAGCAGCTGACAAAGGAACAAGAGGCCATGCGACAGCAGCGCCTGGTGCAACAGCGCAGCTTTGAAGAGCGCATGCGGTCTCAGAAGAACCCTCCCCAGCCCAAACCCATGCCTTCCTTTGTCCTGGCTCCACCGACATTTACACTGCCGTCGTCGTCGTACGTCCACCACTGATTCATCGCTGAATCGCTGGCTCATATGTACAATCTAGGAATGGCCTGAATACTCGTGCACAGCCATCCGCGTTCGTGGCACTTATGGATCCATTGCTGGTACAACATCCACGTTGAATCAGCGCTGCTGCACTTGCGACTGTAGCTATGCGTGTAGACTACAAGTGCTCCTGCAGCGCCCTCTGGGCCTCGCATTCAACCCACGATTTCTCGCCCTGCCAATGTCTTCGCCGTGCTCGAAGATCACGATGACACCAATGCCGCCACAGTCGAGTCGGTCAACCCATTCGCCATGCGACCCCCGACGTTTCAAATCCCTGGACCTCCTACCTTTCACATGGCACGGCCGTCGTTCCAGCTGCCCGACGACGATGATGACGACCTATGAGCACGGGTTGGGCAAAATAAATTTGTGTCTTACCAATTGACTGACTGTATTGTGTGTTCTACGCAAAGCTTACCGCCCAACAATCGCGGGACCTGCGACATACCATGATACTAGTATATATTAATGTAGTAGTAGTACAGTATCTCCGTTTCCAGAGGAATTTCTGTGACTATTCATTCCTTTAGCCAATCATATCGCCACCTGCATTATTTTTATCCAATCATACTGCTTTGCTCGATTTCTTTGCGATTTCAATAGCCACCCATCCCCAATATGATGCTCGAGCGCCAACCATGACAATAAATAGTACTGTACTTGTGTACTACCCGTCTAATTGGAACTTTTCAGTTTATAGTTAATTGGAACTTTTCAGTACAGTAGTGTACTTGTGTCCTACCCGTCTAATTGAAACTACTGAAGTACTACTCAGTTTCTAAAATTGCCAAGGACTACTGTAACGTTAACGTTAGTATTAATCGATTCCCCAACCTGTAAGTCCTACTACTGTATCGAACGAAAGACCCCAAACAGTTCATGTTGAGTGACCACGTGGTTATGTGTGCATTTTCTGTCGACTCCACTCCCGCATGAGCGCTTCCTTGTCGGCCAGCTTTTGGCGCGCCACGTCCTGCCGCTCCTTGTCGTGCTGGGTTTGCACACAAGCCATAAAGTACACTTCTTCGTCGCGGTGGACGTGGCTCGCATGGTCGTGTCGGTCGCGCTTTTTTTGCATTTCCGCGTCCAGTTGGCGCCGCAGCATCGCCTTATGCGACTTATCCTCTTCTTTTGTGCGCCCCCTCGCCTGCCAACCAGCCACCATTGTCGTCGTCTTAGTACTACTAGTAGTACTACTACTACTATCGCTTGAGGCATCCGTCGTACCTGGGGAAGGATCGTCACGGGCGTCGTGGTCGCCGTGGATGCCAGTCGATGGTCTTCTTTCGCCTTGACCTGCTTCTCAAGCGTCTGCTGTTGGAGGTGGTTGTGCATGTCGCGATGTTGGAGCGCCGCCGTCGCCCGATCCTTCAAGTGCCGGATCTCGATAATTTTCATGCGCTGGGCGTACTCGGCGTCCATCGCGTCCGTCGTGGCCTTGGCTGCGCCCTGTGCCTCTTTGTGCCGGGCATATGCCTTTTCCAAAATGAGCTGCTGGAGGTGGGACGTTTGCGTGTTTGGGTTGGGCCTGGTTTCCGGAAGAAGGAAGCGCGGCAAAATGTGGTGCTGGCAATGGGAACGAATATCTTGGGTGGGCACTGTCAAAACGGCGCTGTCGGACGCGGATTTCATGAGCTGTGGCGACGGCGCGGGCTTGTGCTGTCGGCTGTGCGTGTTGTGCTTGTGATGATGGTGATGATGGTGCTTGTGGGCTGGTTGGTCAGATGACGTTGTATTGGCGCTCAAAGCAGCAGCAGCAGCAGCCGAAGCAGTGAAATTTGAGGCTGGAGATGAGCCAACCATAGCATTGGTTATTGCACTCGATGGAGCCATGTAGTTGTTGACCGTGAGCATCATCCCATCGACTTGTTGACGGGAAGAAGCATGTTGGCGAGATGGATGGATCCCTGCCATGGCTTCCAGGGCGTCCATGTGGGTCGTTGGAGTTGGTTGTTTGGACGGAGCAACGATGTTGTTACCGCTGCTACTGCTTTGACTCTTGTTGGCCTGCAATGTACGGAGAAAGGCTGGATCGTATCGAAACGCGATGCACTTGCCTTCGATCGCGATATGCCCCACGCAGCCAAAGCTCAACCGACACGACCGTGTACCTAAAGGTACCAAATGCATGATGGATGCATGTGACCTCGTTCACTTGCAAGCACAAGGGTTACCTGCTTGAGTGACGTCCCCCACGTGTTTGAATATCGCTTCCACGGTATGTTGGGCTTGGTCCTTCATCATGCGCGCGTCGGCGGCGACAGTCGAGTAGTTCACGTCCCCACAGTGCCACGTCAACGCCGGCAGCGGTCGCTTGGACGTCACTCGATACGACTTGAGGAACTTGTCTGTGAACGCAAACGTAGGCGTCGGCACGTCCTTTCCCTTGACGAATGCAAACTTGCCGAAGACGGGGACGACGAGCCCTTTCTCCAGCACCAAATGCCGCTCCACATGCGCCGTCAAGCCGAGCCACACGTCAAGGACACTTGATGCCAAGATGTGGTCGTAGTCATAGGTCGACGTCTCCAGCTCCCTCTTGCATTCCAGGAGCAGGGCGGTGCTTGATCCCATGAAGGCCGATCGAACGAACTTGGGCTATTTAAAGTTCAACTTGTACGGATAATCCTGAAAGTGCGTAACCTTATCCGTATATGTACAATCGTCAAATGGATCACGGTGGGGATGGCGGCGGCGGCGGTGATTCCAACCCGGCGGGATTCAAACCCAAGCTCATTGAACGGATTCTTCGCAACGTGTGGGACAATGCCAAGCAAGACGGAGCGGACATGTACGAGACCAAGTGCGATGACACAGATGATGTCTTGGCGGATGTGCGCGACATCACCAAGATCCAGCCTGACGCACTCAAAATGACCGCGGAACTCATGCGACTCTTTGTCCTGGAAGCCCTCCATCGCGCGCAGGAAGAAGCCATGATCGAGGATAGTTCGCAAGTCGAGTCTCGACACGTCGAGCAGATCTTGGCGCTACTTTTGCTCGATTTCTGACCCGGCGAAATCCCGTTCTAGCAACTATCAAGACACAATCTCATGGACAAGTCGTTCAGTTCTCGCTGTCAGTTGACAGTTTTTCCAAATCCGATGTATTTTCTGAATATTGATACTAAGTTACCGTAAGTCAGTACCATAGGTTAGTTGGACGTTAAATAGTTGTAGTAATTGATATTTATATATTTATTTTATTGCTCTCATTGTAGTACTAGTATTATACTTGTACAGTACTGTATATTAATATTAAAATATTAATATACAGTACTGTACAAGCAAATTACCTCGAAGTACTTCGGAGTATGATATTATGATAGGTCATCCCCATCACCATGCGAATGTACGACGTTCGTGAGTTTGACGTATATCACGTCAAAGTATATAACGCAATTTAGTTGCACCGACGAAGCCGAATTGTGTGGTTGCACAGCATAAAACGTGCCTCTCAACTACGTTTAAACTTGTTCGTTGGTTCGGGCAACTGTCGTTCGTTATTTCCACTGTCGTTGCAACAACTGGCAGAACGCTCGCATCGCCACTGCATCATGCTCGCACCCGAGCCGTCGCTCCTGGCGCCGCCGACATCTCCTTCGCCCCTCCCATCCCCGCCATCCCCTCCGCCCACATGCAGGTTCAAAAAATGCACTAGACCCTTGCTCCCTAACAGCGACAAGTGCTTGTTCCATAAGAACCGACCGCACTGTTCCTCCGCCGGCTGCAACAACCAGGTCGTGTCCAAGAACCTGTGCGCGCGCCACGGCGGGAAGAAGATATGTCATGTCGAAGGATGCACTGCCAATACGCGGGGTCGGAAGTTCTGCCTCGAGCACGGCGGCGTCGTGCCCAAGCGCTTCTGTTCGGTCGACGGGTGCGAAAAGCAAGCCCATTCGTATCAAAAGTGTGTGCGGCACGGCGGCGGTCGGTACTGCAAAGCGATCGGATGTTCGTTCCATGCCCGATCGGGCGGACTCTGCCGCTTTCACCGGTCCGGGACGCCTGCCGCTTCCACCAAGAGCCACGAGTCGCCGTCGTCGAGTTCGTCCGACGACGATGGCGGCAGTCCCGACAAGAGCACCCGCAGCTTCCTACTTGCGCCGGCAGAGCTATCTACCCACCACGAACACAACCTCGCGTTGCTCAATGCCCTGAAAGCCCATTTTCTACCTCGCGACAAGCCAGACGTCCCCCGACCGCAAGTCGAGTTGATGCCTCGGCCTTCCCCGCTCAGCATGCTGGCGTCCCTTCGTGTCCCATATCCACCGCCTCGAGACACTCCCAACGACCCGATTGAGCCGCCGGGCGCTGGATCTGGTGGCTGTGCCACGCCGACTCGGCTCCCGTCCAGTCCGACCGAGGTTGCCCACCCTGTTGATGGAGCAGCTGCTGCCACTGCTGCCGTCGTCGGCTCTTCTTCTTCGTCTACCACCAGCGTACTCCAAGACCACACGCTCATGTCAATGGCCAACTTGGTGCACGCCATGACCACATCCTCTTCTTCGTCGTCGTCGTCGCTGCTGCCCAAGTTTCGCTCATCGTTGTATTCCCTTCCCCGATGCAAATTCAATTCATGCGGCAACCCCATCTTTGCCGGCTCGGACAAGTGTGCGTTCCACAAGAACCGAACCAACTGCTCGTTTCCGAAATGCACCAACCAGGTCGTGGCCCGCAACCTGTGCGTCCGCCACGGGGGCCGCCGGCTGTGCCAGTTTGAAGACTGCACGGCCCATCGCCGCGGCAAACAGTTTTGCCTTAAGCATGGCGGCGAAGTACCCAAGCGCTTCTGTACCGTCGAAGGATGCGATAAGCAAGCTCATTCGTATCAAAAGTGCGTGCGCCACGGCGGCGGCCGCTACTGCCAGTCGCCAGGGTGCTCGTTTCATGCACGGACGGGCGGGTTCTGCCGCAACCATGCGACCGGAGAGGCGGCGGCGGCGGACGGTAACGACGACGATGATGATGACGAGGAAGTGAAGAAGGCCAAGCCCGTGGACGGACTCCTCATGCTGCAAATGTGTGCGACGGGAGCTGTCGACGGCTTGTAACAGGAATAGAGGTGGTGTAGGAGGATGCTGCATTAGCGTGAGCGGCAGTGTATGATAGAAGTAGCTAGCTACCTTACCATTAGCACTTGTAAATGCATGACGCGAGTACTACTGTAGTACGAGTGGCTAGTGTCCCAATTGGAGTACTGTAACAGGTTGAGTGCTGGCTTCACAGCATTAGCAGTTAGTACCTGGCAGTGCCATCTGATTGGACGATCCTTTGAAAAAATGCCATAAACTACTGTCTGTATGTGGGGGACATTAACAGTAAGAAGGCGACTACGATTGATGTACTACCGGTAGTATGCGTTGCCAAGTTGACACTTGTATTTTTCGAGCTCGAGCTAAAGTATGTTGACACTAATCATGATGTCGCAAAGCAAGCTCGGTCATGTACGCTCGGATGAGGTACTCAGATGCCTCTTGATGCACTGGGAGTTCGTTATCACTGGTGAATGTGTGAAGTCAAGAATGAAGCCCCTCAAGTGAAACGTCCTAACCAACTCGTGATGATGTAGGACAAACACCCTACTGCAAAGGCGGGCACATACAGAGAACCTTCCACAACAAGTAGTTGGCACTAAACGAGTTTAATCTTATGTCACTGTGCTCGCTTGGCACTTCGGTCGCGAAATGCAATTACGCTGGCGGGGTTTCCTCCGTGGGCGTCGATTTGCACTTCGATTCGCGAGCCTTGGCGAAGGAATTGGCCCGACACAAGAGGGATCAAGGCAGCCACGACCAACGACACGAGCTGCATGGTGGTAGGCTTTGGACGGATGGATATGTGGAATGTGATGTGACGATCGCTATTCCAAGCTAATAATAGTCATCCCCTCTTGGGCTATGGCGGCTACCCGCCACGGACAAGAAACCCTAGAGCATGCAACCGTCGGTGGTGTTAACCTAAACGCCCCATTGGAGCTAGGGGGAGCGTGACGGGGGGACTGTAGAGTGTGACATTGCACACGGTTTGCGGATGTTGCTATCTTAACCCATGTGGTGCACGTTGCCGGCGAGATGGACACTCTAAAGTTAACGAATCAAATGATGATGGATCGGAGAGCTCATCGGAGTTACTATGTGGAACTTGTAAGAACGAATTGTGGTAGAGGGAATTACAGCAAACTTCATGTTGCGAGCATTCGCGTGGTGCACCTTTTGCACCCAATTGACGAGTTCAGTACAATGCCCCCCCCCTGCATGCAAATTCGTTGGGGGCTTGGTGGTGTACCTACAGTATTGTAACGTTACTGTACATTATTGGCATGATGTTGACGTACCGTAGGTACAGGTTCTCTAGTCCTTGAAAGTACTACTACGTACTGTAGTAGAACTGGAATGCCCAAGGAACAGTGCGGCAATACGCTGCGTCAGAGCGCTTTTTCTTGCGTTTGATAACACCACAAAACCGATGGAATGGTTTAAACAAGGACAATACTGTAGGGTTGCCAAATGGCACTTCTTCGTATATACTCCAGTACTGTACACACACCACTAAGCCTAATGATACAGTACAGTACAGTAGCGCTGCGTCATCGAGGTTTACAACAACCAGGTAGACCAGGCCAGAATGCCACCAATGCCCTGACCAAAGTGACGAGGTGACCGCTAAGCTTACAGTTTGCGCAGGTGTAACGACTTGTACACTGTTACCCCCTGCAGCCATTTCTCTTGTCAGCAAAGTTGTCGCAATGATGTTGCTGGTTTCAACGAATTCCCTCGTCAAATTCTCAATCACGCACGACAGGCCATGTTGAAGCGCGAAAAATTGGCTCTCCACATTGCACAATGGAACCAGTTTACAGTACACTGTAGTTTAGTAGTGTTGACTACAAAAGTCTATGAATCTCCACCAGCGCCATGTGACGTGACCTATCCAGCTCCTCATTAGCATCGCCAGCTCGTCACCCCGTTCATTTGTTGAGGTGGTGCCACTACTGGCGCGAAACAGATCAAATATTTTGTCTAAGACCTGCAACACACGATTCGAGTGGGTGGAAAAGTCGTTGGTGCCAGTCAAAAGATCGCGTGGAAAGTTCAATATGCTAGACCCATTCAACCTGGATTTACTGGTTGTGGTATACTCAAGTCCACTCGTACCTCCTGGTATGTGGTCGGGGGAGGGGGGTGCAAAGGGGTGCAAAGGAGCGCGCTTGCTGGTTGGGCATGGTGTGTTTGCATCGGATAACCAACAATGCCAAACACTGTGTGGTCAGCGTGTACTTGACGTTAGGTAGTCCTTCACATATGATGAACTAGCCAACAACGTGGGAAAGGCCGATCCTTTTCCAAAGAACATGGAACAGGCCTGCAGTGACCACCACCACCACCCACCACCTACATACAGTACCTACTTACTACCTTCACCAAACCCACTCACTCCATATGACGAGCCCATTCCACTGTAATGGACTGCCAATCACGGGTCAGCAATTGTTTTCAAAACATTGCGAGTCACGTTGTTGGAAGAACGCGCTTTTTCCTCGGCGAATGTGCGCAAGTCTGAACACTGCCGGCACCATCTTGAAACGACCGTCGACGGTATACTTGGCGTTTGTATACCGTCGGGCGAGATGATCGCAAGATGGCATTGGCCTGACCAATCATGTGATGGTGGACTATAGTATACTACTGCTTCCAGAGTACTAGTAGTTAGAAAGGCAGGTAGGTACTACTCAGTAGGCTGGCTACTGTTGCCCTTCCCCAACTTACAACTGCGGGTGATCACTTTTCATTTTGCAATTGACAACACCACCACACCACAACACGACGACGACCAACATGTCTGTTTGTACGTTCAACGACTGCACCAACCACGCGATTCCTGGCTCGGTCAAGTGCTCATTTCATAAAAACAGGCGCCAATGCAAGTCCAAGGACTGCAACAACCAAGTGTACGCGCGGAACCTGTGCGTACGCCACGGCGGCAAGAAGCAATGCCACTATGACGGGTGCGACTCGTATGCCCGCGGCGGCAACTACTGCATCCAGCATGGGGGAATCGTAGTCAAACGATTTTGCAGCGTCGAAGGATGTGCCAAACAGGCGCATGCCAAGCAGCTGTGCGTCCGCCACGGCGGCGGCCGCCTCTGCCGCACCACCGGCTGCCAGCACCACGCGCGGGAAGGCGGATTGTGCCACAAACACAACCAAAACAGCAACCCCCATGCATTGACAACGACTGTCAAGGCCGAAGTGCGCACCCCAACGACGGATGCAGTGACGCCTTTTACGGCGTCTACCCACGTTGATTTGGACCAGCTCACGCCGTTGCCTCTCCTCACCGACGTCGATTTCGTCTTGCCCGATCTGGCGTCTAACATGTACAGCAAGTGGCTGCAGCTGACGCAAGACGTTCTCTGGACGTTGCATCCCGACTTGATGGGCATTTCCTACGCCGGGTTGCTGCCTGCCGCCATGACGACTGCCTCGCCTCCCATGCCCCCGCCATTCGTTCCAAAGTTGCCACCGACGTACGACCTTGTGGATTCTACCAAGGACATGTCGTTCGACCCATTCACTCTCCCGCACGACCCGTCGTCGTCGTCGTCGTCGACCAACCTCCTCTTTGACTTGTTTGCCCTCGACAACGACCTCCTGAACGCGCACGATATGTTTTCAGTGTCGGGCGTGTTGGCCTAGAACGCCGACACAATCCAACGCCGCCGCCCTTCAAAAGTCGCGTATTTATTACCACAGACAGTACAATAACACCATTCGTATCTATTTATATCGATTATATCCCGTCGTTCTGGTTGCCACCACCACCTTCAGCTCCACCTCGCAACATGAATGGCGGATATATTTAAGTACAGCTGGGCCATGGCGCGCCACGACCGCCAGCTACCATGTACGTACAGCATGGTGATTGTCATTTGATCCCACTTGATCGTTGTCGCCAGCACCACTTGGATGTGCCAACGATCCAGAGTGCTGACTACAGTTGGCCGTTTTCAGTTTATATTTTCCTTTTGTGCATGTCCGATTACAGCCAATCAAATCACAGGGCCAAATGTTGAGTTGTCTACGATTAATACTTCAGTTAATACTCAGTACTACGTAGTATTAATACCTGACACTGTGAAGTACTTCGTACTATTAATAGTACTCGAGCAATTAATAGTAAGTAGTTATACCGTTACCATTAATATTACAGTAATATTAATAGTAGTATGGAGTGCTGTTTTATCTCCCGCTTCTTGGCTTTCGACCACGGGATCTTCGTCAAGGTAGCAAATATAACACACACTGACATTAGTGGGGTTAAACACGCCACGAGGCGCCTACTGACTACCATTCATTAAAGTACTCGGTACCTCCACTAAGGTATCGGAACCTTTGACACGACACACACACAGAGTGTGTGTGTTTGCAATGGGTCAAACTAACGCGCGACCCAATTGCTCTGCACGCTGCAGAACACTTCCTCCCTACGGAAAGTCCAGTGTCTTGATGAGGGCGGCCACGGCAGGCTCTTCCTTGTTGGCCGCCGCCCACTTGCAAAATACGACTGGAATGTCGTCCAGCAAATTTGCCGCAGGTTCCCAGGATGATTCTTCATCGTCCAAGCCGCTTCACCAAAACTTGGTGTTGGCCATCCACGCAGCGCGCTTCGTCCAGGCGCTCCACATGAAATCCGCCATCACCAAACGCGATCTGCGCCTCGAGGTCTTCGGTTGCCTCTCTAGCACCTTCGTGGTACATCTTCAGTCGGCACGCATGATGGACTTTCATACGGTGGCACCAGCTTCTGAGTCTCCATCACATCGTCTGTGATGACTCTGGTCACTTGGCAGGTTCCGCGCCAATGTAGGGCCCATTTCGTCGGACGGTTGACGACCAATCCGACAAGCACAAACTCGCCGACCGAAAACCCCGCAAACTTGACTTGGGATTTTCGGTCGCGGCGTCCACGCACTTGCTGACGCAACTTGTCGCTTCGTACTGCCACGTTGTGGTGCATTTCTTGAAGCGCCACTTGGAGGTCTGTCACATGTTTCTGACCGGCGGCGCCAAGCCAGTCCGCGACGTAAACTTCCTTGGACGTCGGGTATACAAATCCTGCTAGCGGGGACTTGGCTAACAGGCCGGTAAACGCTGTCACAGGCCAATTCTTCTCAGCCGGTCTACCGGCTGATGGTTGAGGGTGCCTTGAACGAGGGGCAACACATGCGGCCATTGGTCCGCGTTCAGCTTCATTTCGCTGAGCAGCGCCTTCACGGCGCGCAGCATTAGTCGGTTGACTACTTCTACTGTCCCGTTCGCCCAAGGACTGTAGGCTGTCGTGATATGATGGTGGGCACCCACCAACTTCCGCACCTTCTCGATCACTTCGTTCTTGAAGTGAGAACCGCCATCTGACACCCGTGGTAAACCACGTCATCAGGCACTGGGCGGTCGCGGCGGTGTCAGCGGACTCTGCCGCGAACAGCTGCACAAAGCCACTCATGTCGTCCTTCACGACAAGCACTTGTTTTTGGCCAGACTTGGCCATGGGCATCGATAACCAGTCGAAGTGGATGAGCTCATTCGGCTTCTCCGCGTGAAGCGCAGAACTGAATGGACGGGGAACCATTTCTCCGTCAATGCACAGACAGTGCATACAGGCACGCACGAACGCTTCGACGTGGAAAGCATCTTCCACACAAACTTGTCGGACACCGACTTGATCGTCGCCGCGATGCGACGGTGACCGCTGGCTCCTTGGTGAGTGATCACACAAATCCGCTGCTGGAGGTCAACAGCACCGTCTGGGATCCAGATTCGTCCATCTGGGTCCACGTAAAAATGGGAGTCGTCGTCCCAAT